ATCAAATGTTACAGGGGCACCATATTTTCTGATTGGTTGGGAAGTCCTTCTTACCAAAAAATGACTCCTGTGCGACTGGAGAAGTGCACAAACTGTTGCATGCTTCCTCCCCCTGGGCAACTCCCTGCTCTGAAGAAATTATACATTATTAGATTAGAGAGTGTAGTAAGCATTGGTGATGAATTTTTGAAGGGTGATTATTGTGCTTCAATGATGCCATTTCCATCCCTTGAATATCTTCACTTTTCAAGGATGACTTCCTGGGAACAATGGTATTCTGTTGATACCGAAGCTTTCCCTAAACTCTAGGTAGTCACAGTATCATTTTGCAACAAATTAGCTGGAATTCTACCTCACCAACTTCTTTCTTTAGAAACTCTGGGAGATTAAATTTTGTTCATTGTTTTCTTCTTGTATTCCAAGGTGTCCCAAACTTCAGAACTTACATACATTCAAAAGTGGAAATATGGTATGGCAAGAGCAAGAATTACCTCCTTCCCTTTGCACTCTATATATTTCAGGATGTTGGATGTTGGAATCAATGTCGGAGGCACTCGCTAAACACTCGCATCTGCAACAATTAACTATCAGTGATTGCTCCAGCATATCACATTCAATGATTCATTTGCCCCCTTCATTACAAGAACTAAACGCACGATGGTGTAAAAATGTTAATTTTGTGATGAGTTCAACTGGTCCTCTTCAAAATCTCCAGTCTATTCATATAGGGGGTTGTGTTTTTCTGAAGTTTATATCAGATGACACGGAAAGTCTCCTCCCAAGTTTAAGAAAGCTAGGCATATATGGTGTTCGCAAGATGGAAGCATTTCCAGAAGGGATTGTGGTGTCGAGTTTGAGAAAACTTCATATTGAATGGTGTAATATGGAGTTCATGTTATCGCATCAAGCAGCATGGCACCTCCTAAGTAATATCACTTACCTTCGTATTTTTTTCCCACAAGATAACGATGTCAAGTGTTTCCCAGAGGGGTGTTCTCTTCCTACCACTCTTACCACCTTGGAACTCAATTCCTTTGGTGACTTTGAGACATTGAATTGCACAAGACTTCAACACCTGACCTCTCTCCAACATCTAAATGTCAAGTCTTGTCCCAGGCTGGAGAAAATGTTAGGAGAAAAGCTGCCTGCTTCTTTAGGCAAGCTTGATATTCAAGATTGTCCGTTGCTTGAAAAAAAATACCGTAACAAGGATGAACAACTTTTGCGTCAGATATCCCACATCCCACTCATCAATTCATCTGAGATATGAGATACAATATAATCATTCATGAGGTATTAATTGTCCACACTCTTGTTCCCGAGTACTACGTTTTGCTACTTCATGAACTAAATTGTGATGGCAATCTCGTGTGTTTATATTAAATTGTTACAAATATTTGATGACAGAATGAAAAATTGATGATGGTTCATATCATTAATTTGTTACTGTAGCTACCTTAATCACATATCCTGCACTGACATATTAACGATTTTAACTCGTTTATGTAGTCCATGATATTGACATTTTCATTACTTCAAAGATTAGTGAAGTAATCCATTTGGTTTCAAATTTATGCAGAGATGCAGACTCCACGAAGCTTATATCAAGAGCTCTTCTAAGACATGCTTCAAAGTTTCGTGTCTCATACTTTATTCAATCTTGTAATGAGGAAATCTTTGCAAATTGTAATCATGAAGGTACACTTGCAGACAAGTTTCTGTCTCTATTGCAAATACCATTTCTTTGTTTCTTTAAGCATTTTTTTCTTTAATCTTACCCGTTTGAGTTTTTCTTATTATGGGGTTGTTGCAAGTAAAGTCTGACATGGTTTTTTAGTTCTAATTGATAAAAGAAATGCAGTGCTTCTTCTTCAGAAAGTATAATGCTCAAATCAAGATCCTTCATATATTCCTATTGTATAGAGGTTTCAACTGAACCAAAGCTTTTGATTTCTTCTTTCCCTCGTAATTGCTTGTTTCATTATTATTGGTGTTGTCTCTTGACTTCCCTTTTGTTTGCCTAAAATGCAGCATCAAGAAGGACAGAAAGGGATTTGCAGACTTGAACCTGCACTAAGAAGAAATGCTTATCATCTTCTTGGGAAAAGATTCTCTGATTTGCTAGGAGTGCCCTTTGTGTGCTGTACATCACTCTATTGATTTCTTTCGTTTTGGGTCTGGTGTGTAAATAATAGGATGAGTTATGTATACTCATTACTTATAAAAATTCTCAAGCTTCATTCTTGGGGGTTGGATGTAGGATTCAATCTTTTGAATCCGAACCTCTATATATTATGGTGTCATCTTATTTTATTTTCTTTTTGAATTTCAAGTCATCAAACGGATTATATTTCCATTCAATAAAAGAGAGAACCATGGACTGATGCACAGAGCAGATCACTATGCATGTGCTGTTAATTTGATGCCAACATCCGGCTTATTCAAAGAAGCAGACAACCTCAATGATAAAATGCCCGTAAAACAGAGTAAACTCTTTTGGGCATCCTTAAGAAAATGAAAGAGGAGGGATATGCCTCAGACACAAACTTTGTCTTGCATTTGGAGTCGTTTCAACTCCACACCATGAACACCAATCAAGTTTTTTAAAAACCTGAGAACCTGTGTAGACTGTCACAGTGCTATCAAATATATCTCCAAGATTGTTCAGGGAAAGAAAATTGTGGCACATCAACTTAACTGACTTGCCAAGTGCAGTTTATGGTGTTCAATAATGACCAAGATGCATGCCATACAGGATTGGGCAACGAGAGGTCATCCAATGATATCTCATCTTTGAAGAAGTTCGCACTAAAAATCTTCTTGTAATAATGGATTAAAGACAATATATGTCAAGCCTTCTGTATTGATTTGTTGAAGAAAATTGAGGCAGGAAATTGTGGCTACTGAATAATTATAACAAATTATCTTAAACAAGCCATTTAGTCTTAAATATCATTTCATCTGTTTAAAGGACGGAAGAAACTTGGCCACCCTGAGAGTTATGACTAATATTCATGTGAGCATCTCACACATTGCTCATTGTGCGTTGGTGCTATCTCCCAACCTCCTAGGATCCTCTGGATTTGTCGTCGATGATGTCATTTCACTCAGAAAGTTCAATCTCATTTAAATGTTTATATTCGTATGTTAATGTAGTGGACAATAATTAGAATTCTCAACCTTTTATTTTAATGACATTTGATTTTTTTTCGTTCTTCATAAAAAGTAGTTATGATTTATGAAAGCAAGTGGGAACTGATTTATTAGTTTCAATTTGGAGAGGGATATTCTTGTGGAATCAGCACCAAGTGCGTTTACATTTTCCATGAGAATGACCAGCTCGAGCGTCACATTTTTCTTCGATCATGTTTAATTATTTATAATTATTTTGCTTTGGTCGGTCCACGTGGCCATGCTTATCACCAATCTCTTAGCCTAGTTTGTTTGCTCAGAGGACCTTGACGTTCCAAAATACCGAAACGACCGAAGATTAGTAAACAAAGATTAGGTATGTTAATTTTTTAATGATTCTTTTAATATATATAATACTAATTTATATTTGACTCATTACAAGTCTAAGTAAAGTTGATGTTTTTTACTGCCGGACAATTTGAGTTTTATATTCAGTAGATTAGCTGGAAGAAACTGACCGCATAATTTTCTAGTTCAATTTGGACGGAATATTTAATGCTTCTCACGTCCTTAATACGAGATTTTTTTTAGAAAAATAATGCAGAGTATCTTCAAGTTGATTGAGATTATCTCTGTTAGGCCAAAAGCATTAAAGTTAGAATCCTTTCAACAAGTATGCTTTTCGAGATTTGAACTTGTTTTTTTTTTTTATGGAGTGAGATTATTTACCATCTCAACTAACAACTTGTTGGTTTTAGATAGATCAAGAAAGTTAAAAGACTAGGCATGTTAATTTTTTTGACGATTTTTTTATGGTATGACACATGTTTTTTTACTTTTAAGCTTGTTGTTTAAGCGTTGTGTTCTTGTCAAGGTTTGTTTGATAATTGATACACAAGAGACGTGCACTGTCTTGGAAAAAGCAGCCACTCGCCTCAAATGTATTTTACATCTAGGAGAATTATAATGATATTTCAAAAAAAAAAAACTATTATAAAGTCTCAATGATGTGTTAGAAATTGTCATTTTTTATTTTAAAATTTGTTATTATAAGCTTTTCAGTAGTTAATAAAATTTTTTAGTAATTATATTTTTCTAGAGACTTTGTTACAGTTCTCCCTTTATATTTATGTTAATTTGAATTTGACGCATTGCAAGTCTAAGTAAGTTAGTAAGGTTTATGTTTTTATTGCCGGACAAATTAAATTATATATTGAGTACATTTAATGGGATTTATGGAAGAAAGTGACAGCATAATTTTCATTCCATCTCCCCGGCTGAGCATGCGTGACATATGCGTTACGTTTTAAAATCTACGAGTCAATAAGTTTGTGCGATCCCTTCGTGATTCTATATTATTCAAGGATTAGAAAGAAACAAAGCCCGACCCACTGTAAAGCGGAAAACCAGGACTTTAACCAGTTGTGGGGGCCACCTTTTTGTCATTTTCACCATTTTTTCCCCCTAGCTTTTGAAATCAGTCCCACCTGCATTATTTTATCTCTCTTGCTGTACGAGTTTATTTAATTGTTGAAGCTATCAAGTACAAAAGAAATATTGAAGGAAACTACTACGCGTTTGCAAGAACCCGTGAGATGCTAAAGTTTGATTGGCAAGTACAATTCAGCCATGTGTACAGAGAGGGCAATCAATGTGCGGACAAAATGGCTACTATAGGATTGGAACAAGTTGGAGAAAAACGCTACTGGCAGGTCCCCCGGATGAGCTTCAAAAGCTGCTACGTGATGATCTCATTGGCTTAGAAACTTTGGTAGGAGTAGAAGTTAGCGTCTTGAGTGTTGTCTTTTTGTATCTCTTGTCAACAAAAAAAAGAAGAAGAAGAAATATCACTCGTTCCCAAAGAGATCATGGCCGAAGCTCTACTTTCTGTTGCCTTCAATGTGCTTTTGGAGAGGTTAACCCCTGAACAGGCTGACTTGATCAACTTCATTTGCGGGAAGAAGCTGGATAACAAGTTACTTCATCATTTGAAGCCATCCTTGATTGCTGCAAGAGCTGTGCTCAACGATGCAGAACTCAAACAACTCACAGATCATGCTGTGAGAGATTGGTTAAATGAACTCAGAGATGCTGTTTATGAACTAGAAGACTTGATGGATGAAATTTCCACCCAAGCTGCCACTCAGAAACAGGTGCAATATTTCTCCTTTGCTTCCCTTAATTTGTGTGATACAAGCATGGCAAATAAGTTAAAACGTATAACCGATAGAATTGAATATATTGTGGGGCAAAAAGATGCCCTCAATTTGAAGAAGAGCAGTGGATCAGAAACTTTGTCATGGAGGCCTCCAGTTACATCTCATGTGAAAGCCTCTGAAGTATATGGAAGGAAGGAAGAAAAAGAAGAGATAATTAAGCTTATGTTTAATGGTGACGGTGGTCAGTTGTCTGTGATCCCCGTTGTGGGCATGGGTGGGGTTGGGAAGACCACGTTGGTTCAATTAATTTATAATGATGAAGATGTGAGGCAAAAATTTGATCTTACTATATGGGTTTGTGTTTCTGAAGCATTTGATCTTTTGAAAATTGCACAGACTATAATAAAATCCATTAGTCCTGGTTTTATCTGTGATAATATGGATTTAAATCTTCTCCAACCTCATTTGGCGGAGAAGTTGGAAAAAAAACAGTTTTTGGTTGTTCTTGATGATGTATGGAATGACAAATACACCGATTGGGATACTTTGAGGAATTTGCTTGACAATGGAGTGGAAGGATGTAAAATTCTTATTACAACTCGCCTAGAATGTGTCGCTTTGATGGTTAAAACTATCTCATCATTTTATCGCCTAGATGTTTTGTCTGACAAAGATTGTTTGTCAATTTTTGCTGCACATGCTTTCCATTTTAGAGATTCAACAGTGAATTCATGCTTAGGAAAAATTGAAAGAGATGTTGCTAACAAGTGCAAAGGATTGCCTTTAGCTGCAAAAGTACTTGGAGGACTTTTTCGATCAAGGCTTGACTTTGAAGACTGGAATGATATATTGAAAGATACCATGTGGGATTTATTGGACAATGAGATTATTCCAACTCTAAGAGTTAGTTATCATTATCTCCCTCCTCATTTAAAACAATGCTTTGCCTATTGTTCTTTATTTCCAAAGGATCATCTATTTGATAAGGAAGAATTAAGCTTGATGTGGATGGCAGAAGGTTTTTTGCGGCCATCAAAAGGGAACATGACCTTAGAAGAAGTTGGTTATGGGTACTTTGATGATTTAACTTCAAGATCTTTCTTTCAACCCTTACCTGAAAAAGATGTGCACTTTCCTCTTGCTCTTGGGCATGAAAAAAGAGATGGGTGTTTTGTCATGCATGATCTCATTCATGAGTTAGCCACTAATGTTGCTGGAGATTTTTACTTTAGACTAGAGAAGAAAGGAAACAAAATTGGCACCATGACACGCCATTTGTCATGCAACTTCCAAAATTATTTGTGCCTAGATCATGAGGTTTTTCCAAAAGCAAAAGACTTGCGAACATTTATAGGTTTGAATTTTTCCAATATCTCGCGGTTTATTGGAAATGCTTCTCATGTTCTACTATCAAATCTAAAGTGCTTACGTACATTGTCGCTTCGAGATCTGTCTGCTCTAAAGATAGTTCCTGAGACAGTTGGGGAATTCATCCATTTACGCTATTTGGATCTATCGAAGACATGTATTGCGGGTTTGCCTAATTCAATTTGTAAGTTGCATAATTTACAAACGTTGAAGTTGTGTGATTGTACTTTTCTCAAGGTTTTGCCGAGTGACTTGCAAGATCTTGTAAATCTTCGCCATCTGGATCTCTCTTGGTCAAGAAATATTGTAAGTTTGCCTTGCTCATTATGCAAATTATACAATCTAAAAACATTGAGGTTGCAACATTGTTGGTCTCTGAAGATGCTTCCGAGTGATATGCAAGATCTTGTCAACTTGCAGCATCTTGATGTCAGAGGCACTTGGTTGTTACAAATGCCTAGGGGAATGGGTAAATTAAAAGACTTGCAATTTTTGAGTGACTTCATCATTGGTAAGGAGCAAAGTACTGGGATTGAGGAACTGGGAGAAATCTCAAATTTGAAGGGTTGGATTGCAATTAGTAAATTGGAGAATGTCAAAAATGGAAACGAAGCCTATGAGGCGAGGATGATAGAGAAGAAGCACATTAAAGGTTTAATGTTAGCATGGTCAGATTATAGTGACGTGGAAGATACAAGGACTGAAAGAGATATTTTGGCAAATCTTCAACCTCATTGGGATTTAGAACAACTGAAAATTGATTGTTACAGGGGCACAATATTTCCAGATTGGTTGGGAAGTCCTTCCTATCACAACATGACTTGGTTGAAATTAGAGAATTGTAAAAGCTGTTGCATGCTTCCTCCCCTTGGGCAGCTCCCCGCTTTGAAGATATTAAAAATTAGCGGATTAGATGGGGTAGAAAGCATCGGTGATGAGTTGTTGAAGGGCAATGATTATGCTTCCATGATACCATTTCCATCCCTTGAATTTCTTCTATTTTCATACATGACTTCTTGGGAAAAATGGCATTCCGTTGACATGGAAGCTTTCCCTAAACTCCGACAGCTCAAAATATCATGTTGCGAGAAATTAGTTGGATATTTACCTTGCCAGTTGCTTTCTCTAGAAAATCTGCAAATAGGAGGTTGTCCATTATTTTCTTCTTGTATTCCAAGCTGTTCCAAACTTCAGAATTTAGAGATAGAACGAAGCGAAAATGTGGTATGGCAGGAGCAAGAGCTACCTCCTTTCCTTTGCAAGCTAGTAATTGTAGGTTGTCGGATGTTGGAATCAATGTTGGTAGCACTGTCCAAACATTCGCATCTACGACAATTTACCATCGATAATTTATCCAATATATCACATCCAATGATTCATTTGCCCCAGTCATTAGAACATTTAAACATACGCTGGTGCGAAAATGTTGACTTTGTGATGAGTTCAAATGCTCCTCTTCAAAATCTCCACTCTATTACTATTGAACGTTGTAATTTTCTGAAGTTTATGTCGGATGACATGGAAGGCCTTCTCCCGAATTTAAGAAAGCTGAGCATACAGAGTTGTCACAATGTGGAAGCATTTCCAGTAGGGGTCTTTATGCCCAGTTTGAGAGAACTCCATATTAATTGGTGTAATATGGAGTTCATATTATCCCTTCAAGCAGAGTGGCACCTCCTTCGTAATCTCACTTACCTTTCTATTTGTCTTCCACATGGTACTTATGTCAAGTGTTTCCCAGAGGGTTGTTCTCTTCCTACAACTCTTACTACCTTGGAACTCGATGGCTTTAATTGGTTAGAGACATTGAATTGCACAGGACTCCAGCACCTAACCTCTCTCCAACAACTCAAGATCATGCATTGTCCCAAGCTGGAGAAATGTCTGGAGAAAAGCTACCTGTTTCTTTGAAAAAGCTTCACATTTGGGAGTGCCCGTTGCTAGAAAAAAAATACATCAACAAGAATGAAAAACTTTTGCGCCAGATATCCCACATCCCACTCATCATTCCATTCCAGATATGAGATACAATAATGCACGAGGTATTTACTGGCCACACTCTTGTTGCCAAATACTACCTCCGGTCCTTAATATAAGAGCTAGTTAACTAATTTAGGAAGATTGAGAAAGTTAGTTAAGTTAGTTATTTGTAATAAATAGTTGTCTTTTCTAAAATACCTTTGCTAATAATGTGTATTAGAATTATTCTTTCATGGCAACTTTTAACATGTGCAACCAAATTGAAAGTGGTCCTATATAAGGACTACTTTGGAAAAATATGGATAAATATAAAAGAAAAAGTGAATTGGATTCTTATATTTAGGATCAAATTGAATGTCAAACTAGCTCTTATATTAAGAACTAGAGGTAATATTACATTTTGCTACTTTATAAATGCATTCAGAGACTATAAGTGTGCATATGCAGAACTAACTTATTTAATTTGTTATGTTTGATAAATTTAGACTTTATACTCTGTTTTTTATTATATTCCTAATGAAATTTAGATGACTATAAGTGTGCATATTCAGAACTAACTTCTTGTAATTTGGAAGTTCATGAATTAAACTGAGGTAGCAATCTCGTGTGTTTATGTTAAATTTATTTTTGATATTTGATGGTAGAATGATGGATTTTAATAAACAATTGATGTGGCTCAAAGCTTAATTCATTGCTTCAGCTGTTTTATATTACCTTTCTTTTACCGAAAGTAAATGATCTCACACGTTTACTTTTCCTACTCTTATATTTACATTTTCATTACATCCACTTGGTCTCAAAATTATGCAGAGATGAAGATTCCGCGAAGTCCAGATCATGCTTTAAAAAGTACTGTCTCCCCATCCACTGTTTTGTGGCTCATACAATATTCAATCATGTAATGAGGAATTATTGGAAAATGTAATTATGGAAGGTACACGTATACGCTAGTTTCTGTCTCTATAACAAACGCCATTTCTGTTTTCTTTTACACAAATTTTTGTTTATCTTCTGTGTTTGAGTTTTTCTTATTTTGGGGTTGTTGCAGCTAGAGTCTAACATGTTTTGTTCGTCCCAAGTGATAAAAGAAGTACGGTGCTTCTCCTTCAGAAAGTGTAACGCTCAAATCAAGATCCTTCACACATATATTCCTATTCTATAGAGGTTCGAACTGAATCAAAGCTTTCGATTTCTTCTTTCTCTCGTAATTGATTGTTTCGTTATTTTACCCTATATTTGCTATGATTGTGATTAACTTACCAAGTTACTTGAGGATAATGGAGTGCCATTTCCATTTTTTCTTTCACCTCTGGACTTCCCTCTCCTATGCTTAAAATGCAGCATATCAGCAAGGACAGGAAGAGAATTTGCATACTTGAACGTGAACTGAGAAGAAAAGCTCATCATCTACTTGACAAAAGATTCTCTGATATGTTGGGAGTGTCCTTTGTGTGACTCATGCGCATTAGATTTTTTTTCCTTTCAAAGATACTTTGGTGACAGCGTGCAATACATCTGCATATTGATGTTTTTCTTTGGTTTGGGGTGTAAATGATATGATGAATTATGCATATTGCATTATAAATAGTCATTACTTAACAAAATTCTCAAGCTTCATGCTTGGGGAGAGGATGTAGGATTCAATTTTTTGAATCCCAACCTCTATATATCATGGTGTCTTTTTTTTTTTTTTTTTTGAAATTTCAAATGTCATCAAAAGGATTGTATTTCCATCCCATAAAAGAGAACCATGGACTGATGCATACAGCAATATCACTATGCATGTGCTGTTAATTTGATGTCAAGATCTGTCTTATACAAAGAAGCAGAGAATAATCTCAATGATAAAATGCCCGTAAAATAAAGTAAATTCCGTTGGGCATCCTTAAGAAGATGAAAGAGGAGGGATATGCCTCAGACACAAACTTTGTGTTGCATTTGGAGTCGTTTCAACACCAATCAAGGTTTTTAAAAACTTGATGGCTTGTGCAGACTGTCTCACTGCTATCAAATACACCTCCAACATTGTTCAAAGGCAGATAATTGTGAGGGATTCAAATTGGATTCATTGTTTTAAAGATGGAAACTGCTCATGCAAAGACTATTGTTAATACTTCAATTGTACAGACTTGCCAAGTGTTCTTTATGGTGTTCAATAATTATCAAGTTGATTGCCATATAGGATTGGGATACTGAGAGGTCATCCAACGGTATCTTATCTTTAAAGAAATTTACACTAAAAATCTTCTAGTAATGATGGCTTAAAGACAATTTATGTCAAGCTTCTGTATTGAGTTGTTGAAGAGAAGTTGAGGCAGGAAATTGTGGCCACTGAACAATTCCTTCTGTTACGGTGAAAGTGACGAGGGTGGTAATGACCAAAACTACAGTGGTTTTTGATAATTTTGCTGATCTCAGGCTTCAGTTCAAAGTGACCACTCTAGTTCCCATTTCCTTCTGTAACACTTTTGTTCTGTTTCATCTTGAGATCGGGGGACTGGATTTCAGTTTAATACCCGCAGCAGAAACCTGCTCTAAACATAAAGCAGTTCTCTGTGGGCCAGCACTTTGTGAGCTCTGGTGTAGGCAGGAATTGGTCTTTGCCTAAATTGTAAACTGGATAGTGGAACTATACCTCGTAATGATTTACTTCTCCACTGTGCATTTGTGCTATCTCCTAGCCTCCTAGGACACTTTGGACATGCAATTATGAAAGCAAACAGAAGCAAACATCGTGCCAGTATTTTCCTCCTGATTCCTCGGCTCTCCACCTTTCTCCGTAGGTGCTGGATCACCGGCAGGAGGTTTCACTGTTTTCTGAAGCCATTGTGGGCCCTTTATTGTGTTGGTTTTCTTGAACGGACAATGTTCACGGTCATGGCCGTACCGCCCACAAGAGAAACAAATTAAATGAACTCCTTCATATTCCACTAGCTTCTCCATCCATTCATGAAGATCATCGGCAAGAGAGGCTTATTTAGATCAAGCTCAACATATCCTCGCAAACCGCCCTTTTGAATGCTTATATGTTGCTTTATTTAACTTTAGTACCTTCCCTACCTGACTACCTAGCATGAACAGAATTCCACTATCATAATAATCTAAAGGCGACTTAGGAATTCTAATCCATGCTGAGATTTTCGAGATAGATTCCACATCAGGGTCAAAGTCCTCCTACCACGGTTGTACAGCCAAGTAGTGATCCATAGTGAGCTAAGGACCCCCGGTCAAGGCAAAATCATAATCCAAGACTTTCTTGAATTTGATCATAAAGAACCAGCTCCACATCAATGGCATCAAATTGCTCACCATGTAAGCCCCATTTGTTGAAGCTTGTTCACCAAATAATCCTCCCGAACCTTTCTCCCTATAAGCTTCACAATCAAGGTCCTCTTCCACTTCCTATTTAGCTGTTTTTTCTCCTTTGGTGGGATAAGTACATTTGTCCTTTGGCTATATGTTCCACACAAATTCTCTCCTTCCAACGGTCATCACTCCACCAATCCTCTTCCTTAGCATCCTTCTCTCCATCCTCGCTCGATTTATCCCTTTGGACAAAAGCATCCTTATAGGACTTCTTTTCCTTAACCCCTTCTTCCGGTGGCGATGGAGAAGGCACTTCATCAGTAACAACCCCCTCCTCTTCCATCCATCCCTCAGTCCTTGGTGGTAGCGACTGAGCCTCTGTAAACTTCTCCTCGCCTTTTTGAAACTTTTTCCTACCGCGATCTAGATTGTTTGATTCCTTCGCCATAAGCGGCGGTCGAACTTTTTCTCCACTCCCGTTCTCTCCGCTCATACTTGGCTCAACTAATCATGATTATTTTTAAAATACTATTTATTGATTAGCCTTACGATGTTCATCACTGTAATAAGTATTGAAACTAGTTCTGCACTTTCAGCATGTTTTATATAAACTAAAAAAACCTTAAATTACATTAATTCTATTAAATATAATAAATTTTTTAATTTTACCTTTATTTAATGTATACATCTTTAAAAAATTAACTATGTATATTATAATAAATAAAGGATAAAAGAGTACATTTATACTAAAAATTTAATGAAATGACTTATAAATAGGACCAAAAAAACCCTCCTCTATCTGCCTTATAAATAGGATCTGAGAGTATGGTATCTTGGAAAATGCAACAAACAGCCTGAAATGTAATTCATATTTAACATATTACAAGTAATAAAGTTTATGTTTTTATTGGACAAACTAAATTTTATTATTTAGTAGATTAGCCGTGATTTAAGGAAGAAAGTGACCACATAATATTTAAGTTCAATTTGGACGGACCTTCTTTGAGAATAATTGATAATTTATTTCATCTCCCGTGCCGTGCATATCACTCTCCTGTCTTAAATATAAGAGCTATTTCATAATATAAATTATATTATAAAATTAATTTTACATTTAGAACCAGAAAAATAAGTTAATACTATTACGGGTTTGGTTTTAAAGTCTATGGGTCAATTAGTTTGCGCGATCAACTTTCGTGATCCGAGGATAGAAAGGGAAAAAATAGGGGTTAAGGTATATTTAATGCTTTGAAGTATTTTTTTTAGTCGAACATCTTAATGCATTTGGTAGTGTATGAAGCGGCCTAAAATATATTTTTTTTGCCCTGGCGCACTAAAAAATATTGTTAGATACTAAACACATCTAAAAAAATATTTTAAAGTACTGAACGTATTAAAAAACACTTTAAGATACTGAATGTACTCAAAAATATTTTAAAATTCTGAATATACCATAAAATATTTTAAAGTGTTAAATGTATCTAATAAAATATTTAGAGAAACTAGATGCATTTTAATTTAGAAAAACTAATTTGGAGATCCTTCTAATTTTCTTTAATTTAAAATTAAGTCCTTGTATTCTTTTTTTTCTTTTTTTATTGACTCCTTAAACTTTTCACCGTTAGATATGTTAGTCTTACTGTTAAATATATGCTAACACCTTTAAAAATATGTCTTGCTAGAACACCTTCACCTTCTTTCGTTCACACTACTAACTGCACCACCCTTCAATTACCGCACTACCCCTCACCTTCTACTCCTATTTTGTCTATCTCTCTCCTTGCTCTTTCATCAATATCTTCTCTGCGCCTTCATCCTAAGTTTTCTCCTATTGTTATTATATATATATATATATATATATATATATATTAGTGAGAAGATCACTAGGAACTGTTGAAACCAATACAACGCTTAAGTATACCATATCGTAATATCAAGCTGTTTATACATTTTTCCAAAAGAGAAAATGTGTGAATAAGTATATATAATGCATAATAATTCAAGCAAGACAAGAGAAAGAGGGGAAAAAAAAAAACCCAAAAAGAAAAATTGGAGGCATGCATAGATAAAAAAAAAAAAAACGAACAACACAGAGAGAATCTGGAAAGTAATCAAGGTGATAAAATAAATTAGAAGTGTAGAAAATGAAAATAATCGCTTGGTGATTGTAAAGTCATAAAGCTTGCCCTTATTTTTGTAATAGAAAAAGAGTTATTTTAAGGCATCGATGGAACAGATGCAATATAGTTACCACTTTTCAAATTTTTCTATTGAGGATAGCAAAAGTTGAAGGTGGGCTGTCTGAATTAGTATATCATGTCCAGGGGCAACACACATATCATCATGTTGAGAAAGGCCAATTGGACGATCAAGAATCTCATGAAAATCAGTTATCATTATACCCAAGTGTCTATTATACTCCCTCCGTTCCTTATTATAAAAAACATTTAATGTTTATGGCATGTTCTCATATATAAGAGACACTTAAAAGTTGTCTCTATTTTTTTGTATTGATTTCCTATTTTACCCCTATTTATTTTGTCTCCAACTCATACTCTTTCTTCCTCCCACTTCTCTTTCTTTTAATAATTTAATTGTTCTCTCTCATACTCTCTCTCCTTATTAATGGGGGCATTGTTGGAAAAATATTATACTTTTTACACATTAATTGTTCTCAACTAATTTTAACTGTTTTTTTATCAACATAATTTGGTTATTTGTCTCTTATAATAAGGAACGGAGGGAGTATTAAGTTGCCCAGAACCAATGCGCCCTTTACGGGCGAAAATAAACAGCAAACTGATGAAGATAGAAGACCGAACAATTTTTTTTTATTGACCAAGCAAGAAGTAGGCAAAGCAAGCTCGAGCACTGGAGGTTCCAAACAGCAATAATGTTGGGTGTTGAAGGGGAAGATGTTGAGGAATGAGCGAAGGAGTGGAAGAAGGTAGAAGGAGGTGCTTCAGATTTTCTGACAGAGATATTTAACGGTGTTAGCACTTATTTAACAGTAGGGATTAAGATATGTAACGGGTGAAAAGTTTAATGAGTCAATAAAAAGGAAAAAAATAGGGACCTGAGTCAAAATAAAAAAACTATTTTTCCTTTTGACCCAAATGGCCAACAAACTTTAAAGCAGAAAACCAAAACATTAATTAATTAATGGGAAAATTATTTTGTTAATATTTTAACTTTTAACTCATTTATAACTCAGTCCCTCAACCGTGACTCTCTGTGACTCAATTCCTCAATTTTTGACTTGGTTATAACTCAGCCTTTTATCTTGGGAGAATTACATGGAGGTCCCAAGCAAGGGAAAAAAAGTAAAAAACAAGTCCCAGAGGTTGTTATTCTTACTATAACAATTGTCATTATAAGCTGTTCAGGTTGTTATTGGGACTTTTTGGTAATTATTTCTCTTATGTGAAACTTGATTATACTTTCCCTTTTTATCTTTCCTATTTTTTAGAAAATAATTTTTTCTCATTAATAAATTAGCCCAACTCGTCCAATCTGTAAAAAAAGGTTATTAGCGCGGTTACTAATTACTTCTGTGGGTGCCAAGTCAGAGACGTGGAATTTGTTTTCCCTTGGGGGGGGGGGGGGACTGAAACAGAGGTGACCGAACAAAGGCTACGGGCAGAAGGGCGAAGAAGACGGGTTTTCTTTTTCATGGCGTCTATATTAAATGATTCAAAATATAGTTAACCAGAGAAAACAATTCAAATACTACTTCTGATCTTAATTATAAGAGCTAGTTAACTAATTTGAGGAAATTAAGAAGAAAAAATTAAGTTAGTTATTTGTAATAAATATGTATTATCTTTCCTAAAATATCCTTGTTAATCAAGTGTATTAAGTAGAACTACTATTATTAGAAGGATTATCTTGAAAAAAATACATAAATATTAGAGACAGCGGATTGGGATATTATATTTAGGATCAAAATAAAAATCAAATGAGGTCTTATATTAATGACCAGAAGTAGTATCTTAACAAAAACAATACTTTCTCCTGCCTCCCATGTGCAATCCACTATAAATATTCAATTCTTACAGCTTTGTTTTTTCAATCTATATAAAAAGTTTTTATCCTTGTTAAAATATGTTTAATGTCTGTCTCTTTTACTTCTCTATTCATAAGCGAGTATCAATACTAATACACTGTTAGATCCAACACTCTTACTGGCACCAATCAACTTACGCTTCAGTGGCAGGTTTTACTCAGTATCAGCAAGCTGAGCAGTGCCGTGAAAAACCGAAAATACGTAGTTTTACTTTTATCTTAACATTTGAAATATCCACCTTGGCGAAATTTATGTTAAAAGATCTTAAGAATCAACATCAATAATCAATTTAAATTATAAAACATATAGTACACTTTGTTATTTACAAATTGTGCAACACATTTATCAAATGAAAACTCCACCTAACTATAGCCATTTCCAATAACTGAAAATTACTCTCAAATTTTAAAGGCAATGATAAAGTTTTAAAGAAAGTTATAACCAAATTCTAAAAATTTTAATGTAAACTAAAACGTTGACCCATACATTGCACAAGTTAAACCATACTCGAGTGACGAGTCCCATGCGGGTGTCTCTTAGGTATTGTCTTGTGTAATCTAAGCATGAAACCCACAAACGTGACAAATTATAATTCCAAAAAGAATAAATTTTTCAAAAACTACTTGTCCAAAGCAAACCATATCTGTCAAATTCTACCATTTTTCATAAGCTTCCTAAAAACTAATGATTGTTTTTATTGAGTCTTTAACTACATAGTCTTCTTTACATGGTTATGAGCTATCCACTTGCATCTCTAAAGGAACTTGCATCAAAATTTATTTGCGGATGTACATATAAGAGCTGTGAAACAAATAGGTTTCATGAAGATCAGTACCAAAACCCTGCCCCGCAAACGATATTACTCTACAGTCCTTAGCTTTAGACAATCAACAAATAATCAAGTTCTATAGCCTATAATTGATGGCCAAAAAAGGAAAAAAGTTCTATAGCCTACAGTGTTTCACTCATTAACATTGAAAGAATAATCATCAGCTATCGTGATCATTCTGTGTTTCCAGCATATAATGAATAAATATACCCATAAAATATGAAATAATCGCAGAATTTCTCACGGAAATTAATACGATTATATAATTAACAATAAAAGTAGATACCCTAATCATTGGCCTAAGCATTCAACACCAATACGTATGTGGCAATCTCTTCGTTGCTGCTCAGCTTCCAAATCACAGAGCTCTAAGTTACTAGGCCGAGCCATTAGCATTCTTTGTGCTCTCTCTCACCATTGTCTGCACAAACAGCTCCCCGGCCCTGTATGAAGACCGCACCTGAAACACGATAAGGGATTTCAAGTGAGGATCTCATTAGTCCATAATGAAGATGAGATGATTACATATTTACAAACAGGGACTCTTGAGTTAGGTTGGTCCATATGTATACTCTGCCCTGCACAGTAGAGCTAGGCTTGAACCTAACATTTGGATTAGTGTTAGGTCTATGCACTATAAGTCCAAGTTGGTTTGAGCCAAAAAAATATAATTTTTTCGCTATTTAAATTTTGTATTATATCCATTCTTTACTTTCTGTTTCACCACTATATAAAAAAAACTATTTCTAATAAATCAACACAGATTTGAGATCAAAACTAAAACCTTATTGGACTTTGGCCCAAACCCAATCCAGCCCATATACGTATATATACAGATGGATATAGCACTGCTTATTGATCGTGGCCTATCTAGGACAATCTGTTGAAAGTACAAAGTACACTTAGTCCATTTGTCAATGGTTTGTCATTTAGTCCCAAAATGAGATCAAGAATGATCATGTATACAAGTCACGAAAAAAGAGAATGCTAGATTAGAATTTTATTGCATTGGTGATGAGCTTACCAGAGGTCCACTGGCTACATATCGGAAACCAATAGATTCCCCATATTCTCTCCAGAAAGCAAATTTCTCAGGACTGACATACTCTTTGACAGTCAAGTGCAATGGAGTCGGCTGCAATGAGAACATATTTTGAATTAACAAGAAAAGTAACAATTTGTAATGTCAGCCACGACAGTTGTACATTGCGCAAATTGTATATAACTCAGAACATGTTATGGTAATTCCAGGAGCTTCAAGATTGGAAAGAAATTTAAGATCCAATTTCTAATGTTTTTAGCCGGCTGGGACAGACAGAACCAATGTATTTTTAAATCAACGCACCTGCAAATACTGACCGAACGTCAGAATATCAACATCAATAGACCTTAAATCAGCCATAGCTTCCTTCACCTCATCATCGGACTCTCCTAGGCCCAGCATTATAGAAGTTTTTGTTATCATGCCCTCCTTGCTATGTTTTGCATGTTTTAGAACTGACAAGCTTTGTTCATACCTGCATAAGAGATGGGACCAAGCAAACGATAATTCAGAATGAAGCAAAACAAGCCTATGAGAAAAGATTGTTTACGCCTTCAATCATGCATCACTTGCCCAAGCCTAAGAGTCAAACATTTTTCAGAAGCAAAACAAGCCTAAAAGTCAAACAGGTTTCAGTACTTTTGTTCAGGCTTTGATATAATTCACGGTAATTTTTTAGATTTCTGAGACATTTTAACGCACATGAAAATTACTTTCACACATTCCAAAACTTTCCAAACCAGTTTAGAGCATTTGCTCAGAATCAGATAGGAAATGATTTGGCCAAATCAATTTGGGAGTATAGTTTAGAGATTCAGGTGCATATCACATAGATCCATATCTCAGCCAGGTCCAAGGATGTACTTGTCGTTGGTATTTTTCCACAACAAATAAAAATGGTTGATTTTCTTATTTTGTACGACAAAATAATTGGATTAGATCAGCAATGCAACTGACCCAGCCCTGGGATCTCTAACAATTCTTTGAAGCCGTTTCACTGTTTCAATGTTGTGAGCGAAGACATCTAAGCCTGAGTGAACCAGAGTCTCTACAGCCTTCAAGTCACCCCGGAAATCAGATGTTAAACACTCAACCATGATCTCTGGTTTCAACTTCTGCAAAAACAAGCATAGAAACAATTTTGCATCTGTTGGCAATAAATGTTAAAATGCATTTCAAACCAACAATCCAAAATATTAATGAACCTTCATAGCTTTGACAGTCTGAGCAAAATGTCCACTTCCTCCATCAGGTATGTCATCACGATCTACACTTGTTAGGACAATATAATCTACACTGAAAAAGTTGGAAACTTGTAATTAACAAGGAAGTACATCTTGTAAAATTCATACAAAGACTATAATAATCTTAGTAGATGTACATGAGTTGATAGGAAATGCATTAGCACAAAGGTGTGAGCTCTATAAGATTTCAAAAACTACAGGATTTTATGAAAATTTAGTTAGTGTTCTATATACACCTGTGCTGAAGGAACAAACCCTACCAAATGATTTCTTAGATCAGAAACGCTTGCCTATCAGCATAAAAGATATAAAGATTATGACAGGCATCTAGCAGTCATTAGGCTACATGGAAGAGATCAATATAACTGAACATATGCAAATGAGGACATCTGTGTGTTCCAGTCACTCTACATAGAAATTTAGGTCATTTAAAATTGATGACAGTTTCCCATACGAAAACGATATCAAGATTAAAACACCCATGTCAAGCTACAGCCACAGGAACCAAAGCTATTAAGAAAACAAATCCCCGGTCAAAAAACTACACATTTCATCAACCTGAAAATGCTGCACCAATGACGGTTCGCAATAATCTTACATTTGAAAAATTAGTCAAATATAGGGACAAATATGTTCGTTCTTATTGTGTTAGAAAGCTCCTTGCAGGCTCTCACATTATATTTGCACTTATTGTATATTTCTGTAAAAGAAATTTCATAAGAAAGAGGAAAAAAGGCACATAAATAAAAAGGAGGGAAAGATAAGACAAAATCTCATCAACAAAAACCACTTAGCAAAAGCACAACAATGAAACACAGCAGGGGGAGGGGGCTCGTAATAAAGCTCTCTAATACCTTATCTGTAAAAGACAGCCTTAAAGAACCATAGTCTGGGTGTGTAAAAAAAAAGCAACAAAAACAATACCATTCAACAACAAATCTACAGCTTATCCCTCTAAATTCAAGCATTTGATTTCAGACAAATGCACCAAGTAAAACTAAGAAAGTGCCACTTCTTTCCCTCCCAAGCATATTGCTGCGGCAAAATACAGACAACAGATGCATCACATCATCATCTAGACTAGTCGGGATTATGCTCAAGTTGTGATATGACCAGGATGTTAGTTAAAAAAATAAAAGTTTAAAAAGGAAAATGAAAACGCATTTCATTAATCATTACACACCCCCAGCTTGCAATGGCCTTGGCAGTATTTTCTGGTTCCATTGGATCAGGTGGCGCCGGATTTCTACTGGTCTTCACAGCACAAAATCTACACCCACGGGTGCAAGTATCTCCCAGAAGCATGATTGTTGCTGTTGCTATACCATCCCCCCCTCCATTCCAACACTATCCATTAGAATTCAAATGTCAATAACATTATTTTTACCCTTAAAAACACTAACCTAAAACATTTAATATAAGTATTCATTACATTTAATATGTGTGCACGTGTGCGTTCTATCTTGATTTCATTCCTTGATATCATATTGCTCAAAACAAAACGCAGAGAAAATAACATGCTTCGTCCTGAAGTGATGCAATTTCATAATATATCAATTTCTTACGCTGCCCAAATGATGAAGCAATTTACAGAGTCATTTTTCACCATTGAGTTGCTTACAATTCTCAAATGAATGAGTAAGCTAGTGCAGGATCAAATTTTGTAAACATTGCTTAAATATATAAGGAATCAACTCAACTCAATAATATACTTCAATAGAAGTTCCCAAAAAAAATAAATACATAATAAAACTTTCGCTCGCCTACTACGATTCTGCTGATCAAATCAGTCCTTATCAGTCATTAATGAATTTTGAGAATTTTCCTCTTTCTAGTGCTTAAGTAGAGAAAAGCTAGAAGATATGAAATTGAACTGGAAAAACGAGCAAGGATAATTGAATAAAATGAGAGCAATTAGCATTGAACCTCTCCAATATTCGGGCACTGAGCCTCCTCACAGACCGTGTTAAGTTTCAAATGGGACAACGATTTCTTAATCTCTTCAAACCGATCACCTTGAGGAGCTCTCTGCCTCAACCACGCTGGCTTCTTCACATTCGGGTCTCTTCCGGTGTACGGGCCCATCCCACCAGGGTACGACCCGCTCTTCTTCTCCGATTCCATCAACTTTGCCATCTCTGGAAGCGACGTCGTCGTTGACGACAATGACGCTCGTTCCCCACCAATCTTAGACGACGACAATGATGAATCCGCCGCTTCACAACGAATTAATGAAGGTAAGGGGTTATTATACAAGTTGCAACATTTGGGGACTCTTTGAAATGGGGTCGGGAATGAGACAGAAGAAGGTTTTATCAATATCGAATGCTGAATCATTTTTTTCCAAGAAAATTTAGTATGAATCCGACGGTGAAAGGGGAAGCTTTTCTTGAGCTTCAAAATACTCGCACGCTTCTTCGGTGAGTATCGTGAGGCAGCGGAATGAGTGAGGAAGAAGATGAGGGACAAAGAGTTGGTTGAAGTCTGCTGCTTGCTCCAGCAAATGATGCGGGAAGACTTCGGTTTCTCCGTCCAGGAAGCTCAACTACATTTTTATTGAAAAGGTGAAAAACTGAAAATGGATTCCTTCTCCAAACAGAAAGAAAGAAAGAAAGAAAATTTAGTGCTTTGCGCCCAAAAAAATTAGCACTCTTAATATGTATTTGTACAAGTGGAATCTACAAATCAATCCAATCCTTGGAACTTTTTGAGAGGAGAATCCCATTGACTCCCTCTTTAATATTCCATTTCTTCTTAAATAATCCTTTAATTACACATATTAAAAAAATTTCATTCAAATTTTTACGTAGTTGTCATTTTAAGAAAAATAATACTATCTCCTGTCCTTAATATAAAACTTTATTTGATTTTTATTTTAATCTTAAATATAAGACCCCAATCCACTTTATCTCTTATTTTTATATATTTTTTTCAAAGTAATTATTCTAACAATAATAGTTCTAGCCAATATACTTGATTAGTATGGATATTTTAGAAAATACAACACATATTTATTACAAATAACTAATTTAACTTATTTCCTTAATCTTCTCAAATTAGTCAACTAGCTCTTATAATTAGAACCGAAGGTAGTACTCATTTATTATAACTAATTAATTTAATTAATTTTTTTAATTTTTTAAAATTATTTCTCTAACTCTTACATTAAAAACTCTTCTAACACATCTCACAAATTAATATGAACATAAGCCGTGTTAGCTCTTCTCCGATTCAACTTGCTTCTTTTATTGATAAGAAAATATTGCCAAAAATAATAAAATTTAATATTACTCCGGTCCTAAATATAAGATCCACTTTATAGTATAATTTACTCTACAAAGTATATCTTATATTTAAGACCGGAGATGTATTATATGATATTCATTTTTTTTTCCAACAATAATAATATTCATTGTTAAGTAAATGTAATATATGCTTGGATATATTTTAACTTCTAATAAAAAATGTCTTGAAGTATTGCTACAAAAATTGAGCATAATAAGTGTTGGATATAAATGTATAAACATGGAAAATTAAAATTTTGTCCAAGTGAAAAATATATTTTGATACTTTTCCAATACATATCAACAAAATATATCGACGTGTTAGGTAACAGACACATATTGCATATGATACATCAAAAAGTTAAAGTATTAATGCTTTATAGGATATCATCCAAGAAGTGAAATTCTCTGTTTTGACTCCCACTCCTTTAACATCTGAAGGATTGTTCATGTTTGTTAAAAATGACAAGTTAATTGACCGATCTACTGCTATAATATATGACAGGGGCGTTGATAAATTGTATATAAAAGGCAAATTGTAGAAATTTGGAGCGTCTAATTTTCATTGCCAATGCCACATACCTCTATTACAATCTTATTGATGTGTCTACCTAATTCACCCTCTCTTTTTCAAAGTCATAAATGATATATAATCATGTTCCACCTCCTTCAAGAAACCAATCTTTGTGGAGCACAACTATTCTTTTTAAGGTCTGTACATAGAACACATCACATTTTGATTCTGAATTTAAAATTACATGCATTGAATCTTTCTTGGACAATTAAGCTTACTAATTAGTGCTAAAATTACATATAGCTTAGATTCATTTTTCATTCATTCAACATTAAGTTAAATCAAACAATATAAAAAAACCTTAATATAGTCAAGCCTGAAAAATTAGGCCGAGTCTTTTTCTTTTGCCTAGAAATATGCCTTATTTTGCTTTTTAAAAAGCTTGACCTGGGCCTTGATCAAGTTATGTCACAGGCTACTTGATAGGATCCTAACTAGAACTAGTAAAACATGAGCTAGCCCGTGATAATATGGACTGAAGTAACCTGCACCTTAGCAAAGCTGACTCGCTAGCCTGCCTAATTTCCCCCCCAGACAAAGCTATTATTATTGGTATAGATTTGGCCTATATAACCACACACAAATATAAAGTGCTTAATTACGTTTGCAAAGATATGAACGAGGCAATGTCTATATGAAATTTGAGGGTTAAAATCCTCCAACTATATTATATAACATATTGGGAATTTCATGAAAAAGTTTTTTTAAAAAAAAAAAAAAATCAGGCTAGCAGTGTGGCGGGCCAAAAATGGTGTGGGCTGGAGTAGTCTGCATCTTGACAAACTAGCAAAATGCCAACCCGAGCTCGCCGACTCAGCCCGTAATCCTAACCTATTTCCATCTCTAATCACGAGGCATGCAATAAAGCAACAAAGAGACGAAGAGTGTAACCATATAATGATATTTATACATGCTAAAATCAGGCATCAAATAAAACAAACTTCACTGAGCCTTGTAGGAGCACATTACATTAAAGTTCAAATATGAAATCAAGGACATCTTTTTATTTCAAAAAACTGTCACTTCTTCGATAAGTCATATGCAATTTCGAAGGATCACAAGGAATGGAAGAAAACTCAATTTTGCATGTCAATTTCAAACCTCAGAATCAATCTTTATTTTCCCATATTTGTAAACAACCATCCAAATACAGCACCAGAAGATGCAACGATCATCAAATAAGCCCCATATCCTATTTCAAAGGATCACAAGCATGTAAGAATAATTAAGGCAGCTTTGCATGTCAAGTTTAAGCCTCTAAAACAATCTCAATTTTCCCCCCTTAGCATCAAATGACGCATTGATCATCAAACATCACAAGTGCACAACCATGGAAAAGTTCACCAAGGGAGAAATACAGACCGTATGTAAGGAGTCTATAAAGCAGCAAAAACATAGGGAGTATAAGCTGAAGAGCAAAAATAGACCCCCATAGTTATATTTATGCACATTAGGATTAGGCATCACATGATATAGACTTCATTGAGCCTCGTAAGAATGCATTACATTACAAGTTCAAATATCAAACCAAGGACATCTTTTTATTTAAAGAAACTATCAATTTTGTTTTTTATTAAGCCACAGATGCAATTTCAAAGGAGGCATGGAAGAAAACACAAGATACCTTTGCATGTCAAGTTCAAGCCTTAGAATGAATCTTAATTTTCCCACATTTGTTTTCCTAGAATCCAAATGAAGCAATAAATGATGCCATGATCATCAAATAAGCTGTAAGCAATTTCAAATATCACAGGGCATGCAATAATTATTAAGGAAGTTTTGCATGTCAAGTTCAAGCCACTTAATACATCTCAATTATCCTGCGCTAGTAAATAGGCATCAAAATCGAGAATCAAATGATGCTTTGATCATCAATCTTTGCCCATCCACAAACATGAGAAATTCTCCACAAGGCAAACATCCAGCATACATGTATGGGGTCAATAAAGCAACAGAGACACAGAGAGTCTAAGTTGAAGAGAAAAAATAGACCCCAACAATTATATTTATGCACATTAAGATTAGGCATCAAATGACATAAATTTCATTGAGCTTCGTAGGAGTGCATTACATATACAAGTTCAAATACCAAAGCATCGGCATCTTTTTGGTTTAGAAAACTCATCTTTTTTCAATATGAGACATGCAATTTTGAAGGATCACAGGGCAAGCAAGAATAAATAAGATAGATTTGCACGTGAAGTTCAAGTATCAGAATCAATATCAATTTTCCAACATGGACATTGAAAAGAAGCATCAAATGATGCAATAAACACCAAATAAGTCACATATGCAATTTTGAAAGGTCACAACACATGCAAGAATGATTAAGTTTTGCGTTTCAAATTCAAGCCTTTGGATCAATATCAATTTTCCCATGTTACTAAATAGGCATCAAAATCAAACATCAAATGATGCAATGATTATCAACCTTTGCAAGTGCACAATCACGAGAAATTCACCAAAGGAGAAATATACTTCATATATGTAGGGTTCTGCAAAGCAGCAAAAATATGGGAGTCCAAGCTAAGGAGCAAAAGTAGACCCTAATAATGATATTTATGCACATCAGGTATCAAATAATACAAACTTCGATTAGCCTCGTAGGAATCCATTACAAATGCAAGTTTAAAATACCAAAGCAAGGACATCTTTTTATTTCAAAAAAACTCATTTTTTAGATAAGTCACCTGCAACTTCATATACTCACTAACATAGATTTCCCAGACACTACTTAGTGGAATATAAACAAAAAATGAAAGTGATATTTATCCTACTGCAGGTTCAGGGCTGCTTGTAGATCGTTTGTTAACCCAGACATTAAAAGCTTGACTAAAACAAGCATCCTTATCACATCCTTTATGCCATGACCCAAAATATTAAAGAGATAATAGCAAGGGAAAAAACATAGGACATCGCTTAAAAGGTGGTCATGCATTTTAATCCATCCAAATTCAATCTTATCTGCTAACCATATTGAATTTAATGTTGATGACCAGATGCTACTAGTATCAATCAATTCCGTCATCGTTATTCTCTTAAATTGCTATGATACTAATGAAGTTCCTCCTCCCAAAAGACACTGGCTTCATAGCGTGACAATCAAAAGTTGGTAATATATCGAACAACAAGGTAGATGTTGGGTTCATTTCATGTAACATCTAAAGAATGTCAGTTCCATTGTGATTATTCCCTTTTAAAAATGAAAAAGAACATATCATATTTCAGTCATCAACATCCCAAAAGTAATCGCTCAAAACAAATTTAGCTGCAGAATACTTTTTAAGTAGGACAACATCAAGCATTAAGACAGCCAGCACTGACTTGGTGGTGGAAGGTAACCTCGTCTAGAGGATGTTTTAACTAAGTTTTTTAAGAACAAAAAGCCCCATTAAGAAGAATTTTCATTCACAATTCAAAAAAGTTTTTGCTATGCTAACGTCAAAATACCAAGTCTTAAGAATCTTAGACAAATCATTATCTAGCATCAAACATACCTCACATCATCAGAAGAGAGTCGCCGAGGCAACTATCCATTCTTTGAACTTAACAGAACACGTGTGAAAGGAGAAATTCTACATCTAAGCTATCCTGTAATGTTTCCATTTGAAGCTGACAACACATGCGTCCAATAGGTAGGACATCAAAAGGAAAAAGCCAAACACATTGCTACAAATAATTCAGAGAACCCGGTCACAAGTCAAGGTCTGCCTCATACATGAGAAGGAAAGCATCAACAACAATAAGCCTTATTCTTTATTCTATTAAGTGGGATCAGCTATAGAAATCACATGATGCAATTATACTCCATTCAGAACCAATTCTTATATACTAGTCACCAATGGATCTCAATTGATAACTTCCTTAACTATCCTTGGTCTCTCTCTATATCTCTGTAACTTCCTTGATTGATAACTTTCTTGTCACACTTTAACAAAAGTGATGGTTTCATTATTCTTAATGGTTCACGTGATAAGGAAAGCATCCCTTGTCCTAAAATTTCATGAGATATTTTAGAGTGCAAATGACTGAATTTGGTAATCCATAGTGACAAAGTTACCCAACAAACCTTTGCATTTTGTCCAACTTCAGGCTACAACAAAATCAGGCAACAAAAATCATAGTTTCACAATGAAGTACAAAACCAATGGGCTTGAGCAAATAAGAGCCAAAGAAAGCAATGCCAATGCATGAGTTCTGACGCAACATTCTCATAAAAGAGGGTGTTGGAAAAAAAAGAGAATAGCACCATTGAGTCATTACAAACAATGTTATTATTAAGTCACTACGACCTAAAGTAAACGTTTTAGCTGATTAGTTCAATTCCTCGTGCAAAATTCTCAAGCCGCGCACTCCCATATCCTTCAAGGTGAAGATACTCCTGCAATTGATTGCCATTAAACAGCTTAACCACTAAACCAAAAAGAAACAATCTGTTCATAGGGACAGGTTGGAATAAGGGAACTAGCAATCTTCTTACCACTAAATCAAACTGACTTCCTTTGACAAATGCAACAACCTCTCAAGCTCCTTCCTAGACATCAAGTAGCTACCATGGTTTTCTAAAATATTCTTAACAGAATTAACAAGCACTCTGCTCCTTGAATGAGGAGCTGATTTTTTTTTTTTTGGGGGGGGGGGGACCTTGTTAGGATGGACATTCACTATGTTTGTACATCTACCTTTTATTCAATGACTGCCTTTGTTGACTAGAACCAGAAAGAAAGCAACCCAAAAATCTGGAACACAGTGAATCACTTGATGCATGATCAAATCTGCTACCACATCTTAGCAAGAGCCTCACCTAAGGACCCAAAAAAAATAATTAAGGAAAGGTTATAAGTTCTTATATAAAGGACATGCTACTGATCAACCAATTAAATAATAATACTAGTTTCAGAACAGCACCAGATCTCCAGCAAGCTTTTACAAAGATTCATTAAGGGTGGCCTTAGTTTCAGAACAGTACCAGATCTCCAGCAAGCTTTTACAAAGATTCATCTAGGGTGGCCTGCATATGTTTTGCAATCTTCATCATTGATATGGCTTGAATTGATCAAACACTAATGAAGACAAAATAAGCAAAACAATTTAGCTCAAAACTATAATAACCTTAAAGCACAGTACTAGCAGGGCCTTCGATTTCAGCAATCACCCTTTATATTTAAGATGGAATTAATAGATCATCTATTCTAAAGATCAGGATTTTCTCTTTGAAGAGAAGGACTTGGACATTAAAGGAACAAAGATATATTAAAAAAGAAGAAACACATAAGCCATAACGATTCCACAGGTTAAGGGTAAAATATATATATATATATATATATTTACATACACAAATATATAAAGGTAAAGTCATGCTTACGAGTATGTAGCAAGCACCAGTGCAGCACCATCTACGTTGAAAGCATTCTACAAACAATCTACTTTAAAAGAAGAGAAAATCGTCTATACAGTTAACATACAACAATAAAACAAGCGCTATAGTTTACACTAAGAACTAAGGTAAAATTCAGGTTACTTCATTTAGGAGAAGCAACAAAATAAAAAAAGATGTTCATAGGGGAGTTAATATATTCCTTTGCATTATAGAATAATAAAATTTTATTCAAGATAGCAGAGATTGTGTCATTCTAATTCTAATTCTAAATAGCTGTGCATCTAAACCATTGTTGTTTATAAGTTAGAAAGTGTGATCATTGTCAGGCTTCAATTTTCTTCATATCATTTGAAGAAGTAATTTAGAATAATCATAAAAGTGACAAGATTATTCCTCACTTTCAGGGTTAGAAACAAACTAGATAGAAATTTATGGGTGATACTGGCAACCAAAACATGTTTAGCTAAGGCTGCAAAGCGGATCCCAAAATTTATCTTTGCACCTTGCATTAGGCCACTGATAATTGAAGTTTATACAGCGCCTCACTACTAGTGCATTGTTGATTCGAAATATGATGCAAGAAATTCAATAGAAAACCACAGAAACATTTTACGTTAGGCAGAGAAGATATTGATATAAAACCAAAGGTTGAAACAAAAACGCAATAACATCAAAGCAAGAATAAATAAAAAGAGCGACAGGTCTTTCTGCCGGAATTGTAAGTTGAAAAGGTACAACAACAAAAATATAAGAACTAGATGGTAGACTGGACTAGAAAAATTTTGCTAGATCAGGGATAGCCAAGACACTCTGTGCTAGTAGACTTAACTGGTCACTGGGAGAAGAGATCGGGATCGATCTTGGCTCGAAAGTCCAGAGCGAAGAGAACTATTTGTAGCCGTTTGGTGATCTCTACGTTCCGCGCCCCCGAGAGTCGGCACATCGATTCGACCGTTGTGATTAGGGTTTTACATCAGAGAGGGCCGGTGCAAACAGGAACCTTTTAAATTCAATTTTCGCCAAACAAAAGATTAAAACAGCCTAGGCTGGCCCGACTCGTTTAGCCCCGCATGTCACAAACTAGTTAGTTTTTAAAGTCCGGTCCTTATGATGGGCCTTCAGGTCTGTTTAGAACCTTTTGCATTTTTTAAATATTTTAATATGAATAAAAGTACGATAATAAACTTCATAAAATTCATAATTCAAACCATTAATAATAGTAAAACAAAATGCTAATTTTTTATCTAAATTTTTAAAACTAAACCAAACTAAGGCATTCTCCTAAACATTGATAAATTGTTATTTAGAATTAAACAAATGACACAAAGCACAAACTAATCACTAAATAATGGCAACATCATATTGGACTTCATTATAAGTAGGCTCTTCTTTAGTGGTAAAAATATCAAATTTTCTTCTCCAAATAAATTCTATTTTTAAATTTTGTAGTCTAGTTATTATTTTACTTTAATTTGAAATACATTATTGTTGAAACTCATAAATTTCTATCTCAAATTATAAAAACATAAGTTATACAATTATAAAATACTCTCTTGTCAAATATATATAGTTTAAAAATATCAACACATATAATGTAAATCAAATTATTATCTAAAGTCCAAATTAATCCATTTTTAAAGTTTAATTCAACTAATTATTGTCCAAAACCAAATAAATCAAGCTATTTTATGAAATTTGATTTTCAAAATGATAATAACAACTACATATTTAAAATATTATTAACAATATAAAAAAGTTAATAATATTAGCATTATATAAAAAAATTTATTAAAAAAATATATAAAAGGGCCTAAACGACAAGCCAATCTTTTTAGGCACAAGAAAAAAATCCTAAACCCAGCCCTCACAATTTTTGAGGCTAAAAGAGCTGACCCGACAGGCTCGATCCATTTTTTTTTTTTTTTGGTAATCTAAGGCGAGTGACCCGCGATTCCCCCGGTATCTAGCGCCTTTTCCTGAGTCTCTGGCCTTCTAAACTGGACCAGGTAACCCGGGGCAACTAACTAATCCGGAGCGGGGTTGAGTTTAGGCATGCCCATTTAAGGTGCTTTGCACCAAAGGCGGTAAACCCCTCCCAACAAGCGCGGCTCCAGGTTCGAACCTTTGTCCGCCTGGAGCGTGTCAGGTGCCTTTACCACTGCACCCAACGCTTGTTGGTAGGCTCGATCCATTTTCTTAATTAGAGTTAATGTTATTCATTTATTTGTATTTATTAAAAGTATTAATGCATTAAGCAGAAGTCAGAGACTAAAACTTGTTTAGAAACAAGAATACACATTAAGTAAATGACTTAAGACATTAGGTGAAAACTCGGAGGTAAAAATACAAGTTCTTTTCAATACAGTTTGTCTTTTCAATACAGTTTGTGCTCTAATTGACATGGTTAAACGTAGGGGTGTTCATCAAGCCCGCTAGCCCGGTATGCCCGCCCGAGCCCGCAAGAAAATGGCCCTGCCCAGCCCGGAAAAAAAATAGCCCAAAAAAAAATGGGCATTTTTGGGCTGGGCATATTATGGGCAGGGCAGGGCTGCGGGCATGGTATGCTGCCCTGCCCATTTGGCCCTGCCCGTGATATATATATTTATAATTCTTTTTTTTTTGCCAAAAATACTTATAATAATATATAATATATAATAATATATATTATTCTCCCCTCTTTTATTTGCCATAAATACATTTAGTGGTATGCGTAATTCTTCCTTCTTAGTATCTTTTTAATTTTTTTTAATTTGGTTTAGTATCTTTTAGTTTGTTTTTATTGTTGGTTGTCTTGCAAAGATGCAAAAGCAAGCTCACTTTAGTGTTATATTAAAAGATATATCAATTTAAGACAAAGCAAAGTTATTGATTTGTTGAATTTATTGTTTATTCAAGTATTTATTTCTTTATAATTGTTATAAGATACCTTTACTTTAACTAAAAAATTTTCACCAAGGTATCACTATTTGGGCTTGGAAGCCCGCCCTGCCCAGCCCGTTATTGCCCAGCCCGAAAATGGTTAGGGCTTCTATGGGCAGGGCAGGGCAGCGGGCCGCAAAATGCAGCCCGCTCATTTTTCGGGCTGGGCATCGGGCAGGGGGCATGCCCTGCCCAGCCCTGCCCATGAACACCCCTAGTTAAACGTTAAGTAGAAAAAGAGATGAAAAACACTTCAAATGCCACAACAGAGCCTCATGCTAGGCTTAAGTTGTGTGTTAGTTGGTAGCTGTTTTCAGTTCAATTATTTCCTTGAGTTCTGTTAATGACAAGTCTCAAGCAGAGGACCCGTGTCAATTTAATTTCCCAACTTTATTTTGTGCGATAAGATTGGTCCAAATCTACTGCTAATGGGAAGAACTTCATTATGAACCTTTTAACAAATAATACAAACATCCAGAGCCATATATTAGAGATGGTGCCTGAAGATCATTCATAGTAGTTGTGTTTAGCACAACCACATTAGGAGCGTGAGCATCAATATTGGAAATTAAATACTCTACTGGTAGGTTAATATAGAGAGAATCTACACGTTTTGGAACTAATTAATGAGCTACTTCCTAACAAGAATTCAACGCAATAATAACCACTTTTCATAACACAACCATATCCAACGATTATGCAGATCAATCAAATCAACATAAACAAGTGCAAATAACTGGAAGAAACTGGCTAAAGACTGGCAAGTGTAGCATTGGTCAACCTCAATGACAATTTCCAACATACAGCAAGATTTAGGATATCAAGTTTCCTCTTAACTTTCTGTTTATGGCAAATACTTTAAGATAATACGTTTGTAATAACGAAAGGCAAGAAACCATTTGAATAAGTCACTAACTAATGCCATATGTCATATGCAGCACATCACACAGGTCAATCTAGATAAGCATTCCCTGTACATTTGAAATGCTTAACAAAGATACAAAAATATCTAATTCAAATCTGGAATGCAACTTCATAATGGAGAAAGATGATTATTTGTCTCTAAAATTCTGAAAATAAGCAAGACAAACATCCAAAGCAGGGACAGAGTCTGAAGAAGATTATTCATATTACTTCATGATAGCAAAAAAAAAAAAAATTAAATCTTTTCATGATATAACCATGCAATGATTATGTGGGTTCCCTATAGCTAACACAGACACGTGAAAATAGCATGAAGAAACCACCAAAAGGCCTTATATTAATTGAGCCTAATGGCAAGTGTAGCATGAGTAAACCTTGGAGATGGTTTCCAACATATGGAAGTTTTGGGAATAAATCTGCATATCAACCTTCTGTTTATATCATGTACTTTAGATGAATTAATATATGTGTGACAAAAACTAGTGTAATGTATTGGCACTTAACACCATTTTGCTACATATTTAATTATTTCTTCTTTCTTGTTTATCAAATGGAAAACCACGACTGTATTTGGTATGTTTATAGACTTCAAGCGAAGGAAGGAGCATAAAGTTCCTTCCGGCAGCGTGCTATTTTTGCACATTGTGGTGGCATTGATTAGAAGGGAATGCCGGTTTTAGTATGAAGTTTCTTCCTTCAAATCTTCCTTGGGAAATAGTTACTTTTGAAGCTTTCCTTTGGGTTATGATTTCAGCCAATGGTTTATTTGCAGGGTTTCTTTTGAGAATCTCTAAAGGCATTGCCAAACTCTTTTAAGTTGTTCTTTCTCATTCTTTGTCAAGGAGTACAACTTGTCTTTTGTTATTGTTTTGGTAAGGAATATCTGAAGCATGTCTGTGCGTTAAAGAAGAAGGTAGTGTAAATATATAACATGTAAGTCCAGCAGTGACCATAGAAACATTCAATGTGTGCCAACCCAATAAATGTTTTTGTCTCAAATTGTTTTCAAGAACGGCAGATTGCAAAATTGAAGAAGCTCAGGTTCAACCATCAAGCATGTGAATATACTGACCTGTGACCAAATATTCATTTGTTTGTCAATTACCACGCAAGAAAGTGATAGTAGAGGCTCGCTATTGTCATGAGATCTTACCCTTCAGGCTATTAGGTTGGACTTTGGAAGGATTAAGTGTAAAATATGGGCAAAACTGACGCAATACAAATCACAGAAAAAGAAGGGGCAATGCCAATGGGAATATCTGTCCCATATTAGAGCCATGTGAATTATTTTTTGCTGTAGCTAATAAGCAGCTCTCTTCGTTAAAGATCTTTTCCTACTATTTCCTTGTATTAATTCGCTTTTTTCAGGAGGCTCCAGCTGTGGCTAGAACTAATGGCATACAAACATTTGAAAGAAAGAATTATGCAGGAATCTCAGTCCACTCATCACGGCCTTCCATGCATATTGAGAGTGTTTTTGTCCCTTTTCGCAGCGGCTTTTGTAGGCCCCAGAGAGGTTATTTCTCTATCAGAGGCTCCACAAGAGCAGTTATTGACCGTAGCAACACAACAAGTAAGGACTTGGCTGTTAGCTTGTTCCAAATACAACTTCTCAGCATCAACTAGCTTCCACGCAAGATCAAGCTCTTAGAACTGCATTCTCAACGAGCCACCTAGTGTTTGAGTTGGGTTTCGAAGGCTCATGGATGGTCCAGAAGTTGGACCCCCAGCTGTGAAGAGATATCTCATTGGAGACAACGAAGAAAGGGGGTGCATGTGTTACCATGGAATGGCAGTGTCAAGAGACGGTGTTCACTAGACTAGAGGAATTCAAAATGCCAATTCAAGTAAAGATGCGGGCTGCGTGATGAAACCCGGCAACAAATGGTGGGCTTCAGATGCAGAAAGAACTAGACCTTCCCAGATGGTTGTCATGTCCAATCAACTTCACAGTTCTATGTACTGGCTTTACTACACAGTATATAGTTCTGAAGAAGTGAGCTTTTCTGGTTCAACAAATCCCATTGTTCAAGACCAAGAAAGAGTATTTTACCCTAAGTCAGAGAATTGGCAAAATTTTCAAGTCCCTTCTAGGTCTGGTCTAGCTTGCAGCAAGAATGGAAGGAGACCATCACAGTGGAGTAGTGCTTGTTGTTGGAACAGGCAATGATTGGAATAGTGAGTCATATTCCTATTGGCAATGGTATATAGATTGATCGGGTTCATCTTAGAGTTTTTTATAGAATTCACTCATTTAGACATAACAAGTTCAAAAATCAGAAGTAGAAAAAGCTCAGAAACCATCTGAGTAGTTTAATAAATAATATTATGTGGCATATGCTACACATTGTACAAAATCAATCTGGATAACCATTGGCCTGTCATTGCAATTTAGTAGTTGGCATTTTTCTAATTTCCAAAATCAAAGAGGCAAGAAATATTAAAGAGAAATTAGGGTATCATTTCACAAAACAGAACCATGTCCCTGCACTGATGATGCTCAATGCTGCATGTATAAAGGAGCACAACATTTGGTTTCAAAACCTGTTTGGAATGCTGATGGCTGATGATAAGTGAGAGAGATCATTTTTACAAGTACTTCACAGTACCTCGTAGTGTACAGGCAGTACAGCAGGCTCTTCAAAATGCGCTGCCTTCATGAAATCCTTCCATTTCTATTGGTGAAACTTAACAACTTCCATGACTTCCATCTTGCTTGAGTATAGATTCTCACTTAACAAGAAATAATCACCCTGAGATTAGCTTACCAAAAAAGTAAACTTTCATTGAAAAAATGTCAAACCTTTTGTGAGAGGGGTCATTTAATTTTCCTTCCCTATAATGTCAAAAATAATATTGAATTTTTGCATGATCCATATGACAAGAACTCAACCTGTTGATATAGTCTACAGAATAACCCATAACATTCAGTGTGGAAGTAGGCAACTCATATTACATGTTCGATATTTCCCCTTCAATTAGCTGATTTTGCAAAGCTGACACTTTCATGTCTACAATCTATGACACTTCACCTGGCTTCTTTGTAGGTCAAAACCCTTAGAAAATAGCAATTTCTAGAGATGGCAAATTTGCACTCTAATACCATTTCTCCACCAAATCTTAACTATTTACCTATGGTATGCAATGTGACCATGTGGGACTCCATCACCCTACCATTGATATTAGAGGTAAAATCAGAATTATCTTCTCTGTCTGGGGGGAAGGTTTAGAAAGAAGCAATTCTAGAATTGTAATTGAGAACAAAAACTTGGAAAACAAAATAAACATGACATGGATATACAATTTATTTGTCTACACATACAACTTTGTGAGAATGGAAAAAAAACCTAACCATCATACACAAAAACATCATATATGACAGAAATAGACCTCAAACAACTACTAAAAGACAGAGATCTAAATTCATGGAGAAAATGGGTTGTAAAACGATGGAACATATAGGTAATTGGCAATTTTAGATGGTGGTTGTGGCATCTCATATGCATCAATTCCCATATAACCTTCCATATTTCCTATGTCCATGCCATGTTGCAGATGTTGGTCAGTAAGATTTTCATTCTGTACATTAAATACCAAATCATTCAGATGTTGATGGGGTTGGAACATCTATTCTGAACTGCTGAAATTAGTCTGTCTTACTTCTTTGGCAGATTCTTGCTCAGTCCAGTTTATGTTCTTCAAAGTCTGCTCCGCTAACATCTTCATATCAGGCCAATCTTTTTGGGAGGGCATTGTTTTCCCAGCCATACAGAGGATCATAAGTTGGGAAATCTCCTCTCTATGGTTTTCTTCTCTTCTTCTCATCAGAAGTTCTTTCCCTTTGTTAATCCTCTTCTGTATCGATTCCTCCCCGTTCAAGTTCTTCTGCTTAGCTTGGCACCTCTCAATCACTTGCTCGACACCTTCATGGTCCGGCCAAACCTCTGGTTGAGGATCAGAGGGGCCATTGAAAACGATTGCCCCAGCCTCAACATCACAAAGGATGCTAAGTTCACGTACTTTTTTCATGATACTTGCTTTCCTTTTCACGAACGATGCTTTTCTTTTCAACTCATCAGTGATGTACTCATGTTTCACCACCTCTCTGGACATGGTTATGCTTAAGGAGACCAGTTTTTGTTTAGCACACTTATGTTTAGCACACTTATTCCTTGAGAATTGAGATCTACCCTGCCCTTTATATACAGCTATCTCATATTCTAAAGATGAAATTACAGCTGACTCATTAAATGGTGTCAGAGAATATTAGAATTTATGATGGGATCCATAGTCTGCTTTATTTCAGAAATCTGGAAACTATAGCCAGTATTAAGGATGAAATCTGTGGGTTGGATTAAAGGTGCTAAACTAATTAAATGTTTGATATTATTGAAAGGAGATGTGAAATCTGAAACTTGGATATTCCTAACAGTCCAAAATATAAGAATTGATTGAGAGATTCATTTTGGTCATAAATATATGCTCTCAATCTCTTTTGCCCTTCTGGTTGATTATTTTTTTTCATAAATAATCCTACAGTTAGATTTAAAGTTTAATGGCGAATTTATTTAATTTTCTAGATTAATTATCTAGCTTATATATTTTAGATCCAGGTAAGTATGTAAGAGTAGTGATGTAAGAAAAATTTGAGTACTTGACCGTTGAGATTGGAGATGGTACGGCACAATTGTTTTTGTGGGATGCTCTACCCTCATCTGGGATCAGAAGGAAAATATTAAAAGCCAGACCAATTATAATAAGACAGGCTCAAAATGATATACTACCTCTAATCCTAATTATAAGACTTCATTTGTAGTCTACATATGAGGTCTTATAATTAAAACCGGAGATAGTATTCTAAACTATATACTACCTCCGGTTCTTAATATAATACCCTATTTGACTTTTATTTTGGTCCTAAATATAAGACCCCAATCCACTTTTTCTCTCATATTTATGCATTTTTTTCCAAGATAGTCCTTCTAATAATTGTAGTTCTAGCTAATATAGTTGATTAATAAAGATATTTTAGAAAAGACAATACCTATTTATTACAAATAACTAACTTAACTTCTTTCCTTAATCTCCTCAAATTAGTCAACTGGGTCTTATAATTAGGACCGGAGGTAGTATTAACTAAGAAAGACAGGTTCAAATAAGAAAGACAAAATAATGGCAAAAGACATGAGAAGTTGATTCCAAATAAAATAAAATAAAATAAAAAGTGAGTGCAGATAAGAAATAAAAATATTATTTTCAAAAGTTGACAAATATTTTACAATTTAACAAATAAAACGAGAACATTATTAGATTTGAGATATTTATAATGCATATGCTTCTTTTATACTACCTCCAGTTCTTAATATAAGAGCTAGTTGATTAATTTGAGTAGATTAAGAAAACTAGTTAAGTTAGTTATTTGTAATACATAGGTATTATCTTTTCTAAAATATCCTTGCTAATCAAGTATATTGGTTGAAACTATCATTATTACGAATACTATTTTAAGAAAAAATGAATAACTATGAAAGACAAAGTGAATTGAATCTTATATTTAGAACTAAAATAAAAGTTAAACGAGCTCTTACATGAAGAACAAAAGGTAGTAATTTATAACTTTATAATACTTATAATTTCTTGTCCATTTGCCCATTCACCAGCTTTCTTTTCTTTTTTTTTTAGGGTTAGGCTTTATTACCTTGGTCAAAACTCAAAAGCATAGCGACTTTTTGTTTGGTGGAAAAAGTATTAACCATTTGCCGTGCAAGTAAAGCTTTGTTTTTCTATCTTACTTCCTCTTAAGTCTCATCAAAATTTGTGTCATAATTACATGAGAATAAATAAATGATATACATAAAAGGATCTTCATTAATTGCATTTATTGAATTTATGATGTATGAGCATTTAATAAATTTGATTCTGTATATTTATGAAAATTAAGAACTGATTCCAAAACAATACTATTAAAGTTGGATAGGATATTTGAATAAACTGGAAGGTCGATTTAATTAGCTTTTAAAAGAATTTCATAGAAATAAAAGCATTTAAATAACAAGTCTTGCTTTGCCTATATTTTGTATACCAAAAATTTATTCAAGTACAATATCCAGTTTTCACAAAACTAATGATTTATGTTGATTTCTTGGCTATTCAACTATTAATATTATTGATAGTATGATTATATTACAAAATTTCATACCCAAATTTTCATAAATAATTATATGACTATCTTAACCAACCTTTACTAGTATTTAAAAAATGGACTTAACTTTTTACTGTATTAGTTGTGACTATTTAGGTTTAGTTATTGTTTTGTATAATTGTTGTTTTTTAATATGAAGCAATCATTAATACAACACTTAAATCTCAAATTTACCTTTTCAAAGTATCAGTTGTCCTTGTTAAGGTATCATTGCTATTTCATATTACTCCGGTCCTAAATATAAGAGCTAGTTGACTAATTTAAGTAGATTAAGGAAATAAGTTAAGTTAGTTATTTGTTATAAATAGGTATTGTATTTTCTAAAATATCCTTACTAATCAAGTGTATTATTAGAACTACTATTATTAGAAGGACTATTTTGAAAAAAAAATGATTAAATATGAGAGATAAAATGAATTGGGGTCTTATACTTAGGACCAAAATAAAAAGTCAAACGAGATCTTATATTAAGGACCGGGGGTAATATAACTAAAATTATTATTTCTTAAAATGCGGTCATTGTCATTGATCTCCAGATCACTCCTTCCCAATAATTTTCCCACTGCTTATGTTAAAGCTTCGGTTTTTTTTTTTTAAAAAAAACCTTAATTTCAATTCAATTCCTAAAGGTTATAATGGGAATAAGGCATTTTAATGTATCAATTAATAATGGATTAATTTTGTGAGTTTCATGTCTTTTTTCCATTTAAAATAGAATTAGATCTAGTACAAAAGACTAATCTCTATTACAATAAAATGAACCAAATTTTAAATTTTTACTTAAAAAAGTCATATTTAATATCTATGTTATACAAGTATTGATGATTGATATTGAATATATATATATATATTAACTTGTACAAATTTCTGAGCCCTTTGAATTTTGAACATATATATATTGTTAAATATTTATATTATAATTTGACAGGCAGACTCATTAGATGTACATATCTCAAAGTAAATAAAAATAGGTTCTTATAGCTCTCTTTTTATTTTTTTTTGGCTCACCTTATAGTGCTCACTGAATATATATATATATATATATATATATATATATCTCCTCCGGTTAGGAGCTGACCTAGCTAAAGAATTGATGTGAGTCATATACGTAAGATTTACTCGACATGTTTATCATTTTTTTTTTTAAATTAATCCTATTGATATTCTCTTAATAATAATCAAGTAAGAGAGAGAAGGAAATAATCAAAATGCTTAGAATGTTTTAGAAAAAAAATATATTATATTAATCAATTTAAACAATATTCTTAAAGCCCGTTTAAAACAGCTTATAAGTAACTTTTCAATAGTAATTTACAGAATACGAGACAAGTATATGAGAAGAGTTTTGTCTCAACTTACGTGAAACGTGCTTATAAAGAATTTCCATCATGATTCCAAACATGCATTTAATCTACTCAAATTAGTTAATTAGTTCATATATTAAGAATCGAGAGAGTGTGTGTACGTGTATTGCTTCCTTCTTTTAAACGAGCACTAGAAGGCAGAGCTTGCAACTTTGACCACAAATTCAAGGGGGAAAACCAATCATATCTTTATCAAACTAGTCAGATTGTCAAGTATTTCAACGCATGAGAATAAAGAATCATATACCTAGCGCAAAAACATTACGTTATTGCGCCCTCATTATACTCACAAATCAGTTTTATCGTCGTCGTCGTCGTCCATAAATATTGTATTTCAAAATTCAAATAAGCTCTTAGAAACCACCTTGTTAGAATGCTCTGTCTCTAATCAGTCTCTAACTCTCTATAACCTGACTCATTTAAATTTTTGTTAATAATAATAATAATAATAGCAAACTCTAAAGAGAATCGACATGCAGCCCATCACACCCGTCTTTCTTTTATTAACACAGGACCCGTTTAGAATAGTTTATAAGTAACTTTTTAATCGTGATTTACGAAATACGAGACAAGTATGTGATAAGAGTTTTGTCTCAACTTATATAAAACATGCTTATAAGTGATTTTAATCATGATAGCAAACAGGACTACAAAGTGAACAAGCATACTTGAATGATGGACATCACCTTGAAAATTTCATCCAGCGCTTTTATGGTTTAAATTGCTGTCTCGCCATCTGAAATGAACGATAGCGCCATGTTGGAGCGGAAGTGTACAAATATACTTTCTGCCCAATGATACTATTAAGACATGAACAGCAACTTGTTCACTAATACTACCTCCTGTTCTAAATACAGGAGCTGAACAATTAGTTTATTTGATCCAAAATATAAAACATCATTTCGTTTTATCTTTTAAATTTATAATTTTCTTCAACATATTCTTATTGGTTGCATATAATAAAAGGTTTTCATAATTCCATAAAGAAATAATTATAATGCACATAATTATAAAGAGTATTTTGAAAAGGAAAAAAAAAACAATACACACTGCAAATTAGTTATCTAGCTTTTTATCACTAGAATTAAAAATAATTATCTAGTTTTTATATTAAATATCAAAAAGAGTATTATTACTTCCCTTGCTATGCAATCTTCAATTTCTAGTCCAATGAAGCAGTGTTTGACTTGTCTATTGATCACACACGGCATGTCGGCGGATAGAAACATCTGAATTTTATAAAGGGAAAAGTAATCTACTGGTCCTTAAAGTTCTATATGATTTTTAATCAGGTTCCCAAAGTTTTTTTTTTTTCAATTAAATCCTTATACTTATTAATGTTATAGCCGTTAATCCTTCAGACAAAAAACGTTATAAAATGTTAACAGATAGTAAACGGCACTGACATTGAGGTCCCTAGTGAACGTCTACTCTTTGCTGGAATTTTAATACAACTGCATCAAAGTAGAAAGAATTGGCTAACTTGATGAGACCGTTCATCAAGCGTCTTGGTCTATCATCCTCCCACTATTGTCATAATATATTTCTTCCTTTAATGCATATCCCAAAACTTTCTAATAATTAGCTACAGCAGCAGTATTATACAAACTGTTCCAATCATTACCTATGTTCAAAGTGCTATAGAAGAATCTCGTGATATATTTGGAGAATTGAAACATGAGTTTCTTCAATTCAAAGTGCAATACCCAGTCTTTACAAGCTGATAATTTTATCCCCCTACGCTGATTAAGAGTACCTGATACTTTTTAATATTATCTATTGGTTTTTCAATCTTACATTCTGGTAAATTGTATTACGCTGTTTATCCCTGTTTTTAAGGATAAAAAACAGAGGTAGGCTTAAAACCAATAAACATATAGTGCCCGTTTGGATCAGCGATTGGAAAAATAGCTTATAGAAAAAGTAGCTTATAGAAAAGTAAATTTAGTAAAAGTTAAATTGGATAAGCTGAATTGTGTTTAGATTGGAGTTCAGAAAAGTTAGTTTGTAAAAGTGAGATTAGTAAAAGGTTGTTTGGATCATAATTAAGTAAAAGTAAGTTTAGTTAAAAAATTACCAAAATGAGTATATGTTTTAACAAATAATGAAAAATAATAAAAAAAATGACTTCACATAATACAATGAAATTAAAGTAAATTAATATGAAAAAGTCAAATTTAATGAGTGAATTAAATTTTAAAATTTTAGAGAAATAAAAAAAAATATTTTAAATATAAAGTGAAACATGGGAAAAAAAAAAAGAATTGAGATAACATAATGAAGAAGTGAAATTTAATAAGTGAAGTAAAATTGAAAACTTTAGAGAAATCATAACAAATATTTTAAATATAAAGTAAAACATGATAAAAATAAATAAATTGACATAATACAATGAATTTAAATTAATTTAATATGAATAAGTGAAATTGATTAAGTGAATTAAATTTGAAAACACCATAAAAATGGGGAAAAAAAATAAGGCAAATATAAAGTGGGAGTTTTGGGTTGAAAAAAAAAGAAGAAGAAGTGAGCTTGAGGGAGGAAAAGGCAGATGGGAGAGAAAAAAAGGAATCTCATTCTCTAACATTGCTGAACGTCTAATATAAGCTCTTCTCATAGATGAATAAGCTCCTTCTTGGAGCTTATTTTAATTGGGCGTTTAGATAGCTTAAAAATGCACAAATCCAGTGAACTATAAGCTCTGCCAAACAGACCCTCACTGCAAACCCAGCTTATTTTAAAATTTAAGCTACTTTTGGGTTAGCATAAATAGACCCATAATAGATTACACAAGCATGAAGCTTTGGATCTTTTTTTTTTTTTTGGGCCTGAGCATGAAGCTTTGGATATGATCCAGTTTTTCAAAATTTCTATATACGTAAGTGTAACTCTTAGGTATTAAGCAAAACAATTTGTTGGATTCAATGGAGGAAAGGAAGGAATGGTCTAAACTCTGAAGCGGATTTTAGCTGGAAAACAACTGAGAATGGTAGTAACAAGTGTTATTTTTGTTCCCCTCGTTTGTGAAATTTATCAATGCCCAATGTCAGCATTCCTCACTCCCTCCCCTCACTGGGCAGGACTTGCTCTTCCTTGGACTTCCATGGTCATTGAAAAGTAGGCAATGGCTTCCTAGAGAAACATTTACTGGTGTTCCTTAGTGTTGAAGATCTTATACCCACCACTTCATCGAAGATGTATATCACGGCTCTTGAGTTTTCCACCTCAGTACCAATGCCGTTTTCAATCTGTTAACATTCTGTAATGTTTTTTGTCCGAAAGGATTAACGGCTATAACCTTAGTAAGTATAAAGATTTAATTTTAAAAAATAAAAAAACACTTCAGGTACCTAATTGAAAATCCTATAGAACTTTAAGGACCAGCAGATTACTTTTCTCTTTAATAAATAATCACTTCTCTTATACTTTCTCTCTCCCACTCCCTCTCTCTCTCCACACGCACGTGCCCCGGTGCACCCTACAAAAGCTGATATGTAGATGATCTATGATAAATGATCTGCAGAGAAGCCCAAAAACTGCAGCACAGAACTAACTTGAAAATCCACCCTCCAATGGCACCAGCAATGTGGTGTGGAAAATTCAAACAAGAACTTCACAAGACAGCAAGTTAAGACTGAGATTGGTTAATTATCAGATCTGTGTAACAATTCCAGGATAAAAGACTTGGTAATACAGGACAGAAATGACAGTTTAGAAGTACAAGAAATTATCAGGTAAAAAAACCATGAAAAAAAATGGACAAAGCAACTCATGTTTCCCTGCCCAACCCAAGCTTGAACTCTGATATCAAATGTTGACTCCAACATTCCAGGCATTACGACTCAGGAGCGATATAATAAGAATGTACAAATTTGAAGCAATTATGGTAGCTTCACTCACAGCGGAACATAACTACTGTCAGGAAGAAATGCAATCTCCACAAACACGGTAAAGAAAGTATCAGGCTTTAAAAATCATAGTAAAAAATTAAAATCTACTCCCCTTCAATTCATAACATGTCATCATTACAATATATCATTGAAGTTATTAACAAGCTACGAAATGAGTAAAATAAAGGGAGAGGCCACAAGAACTTGCAAATCCACGAAAAACGTGAGGAAATTTCCTCCTCAGCTCGACATAAACCCTAGAAATAATTCATCGATAAACTTGAATTAGTTAACCTCTTTAGCAGCCATATCACTTTGAAACAGTTACAGTGGTCTGCAATTTTGTGAAAACTTTTCAACATGCCGAGCCTATCTGAACGTCCTGAGATGCATGTAGACAAGTCATGACATAATAACTTGTATGAGAAAATTTACAAGTCAACAGCAATGACAACAGAAATAAGATGATCAAAATTTTTTCTTTTTTGATTAAACTGTAGCAGTTACAACCTGAGGGAATCCCTGAATGATATGAACAATTGAGGACTACACTTTTTTTTTTTTTTGGTTCTCTTTGGTTTTGTAGAGAAGTGTACAAAAAGAATGGGCATAATTACAAGTGCAAATAATCAGAGGTATAAATTCTATTAGCAGCTTCCTCTGACACAGCACCGTTTATATAAGTCAAACTGTCCATAGGAATGTATATGTCCTGGATTCTCCTTCATTAGAACATATTCAACTCAGACAGGTCATCCATTGGTATGTCTAGGCCCACTGCATCATGATCTTGTAAATTTTCGTCATCAATGTTCAACCAAGAGCCCAGGTCTTGATGCTCATTAAGTTCATTATCTACACCCAGTTCTATCGAGTCAAATTCATGCAAGTTAGAAAAGTCAATGTTTGGCCCCAGCTCCATGGATAAATTATTAGATGTATGGCCATGAGAAACAGACTCCATTTTACATTTTCTGGCGTTCCCTTTGTCATTCCCTTCACCAGAACCAAGAGTGAACAGGTGCTCAGAATCAGTACTTTCTGGCAACTTGCCAAGAGATCCATTTACAGATGCAGACAGTTGAGCTGTCTTCTGTTTGGGCTTTGCTTTTGTTTTACGCTCACCCCTAGAATAACCTACAGAGGGTCGACCAGTTTTAGCAACAGAATTTCTTCCTGAAGGGTCTTTGTCCTTCTCTCTCTCACTCCTCTTTCCCTTTGCTCCGCCCATGAAAGAATTGCCAAGAATTGGCACAGATCTCAAAGAAGCAGCAGCACCAACATCATCAAGCAGTAGTTCCTTTTTCTTCCCTCGGTTTAGTATTGGTCCTGTTCTGGCAAAATCATGGTCAGAGAGCTGGTTTAGATTCTCAAATACATCCACTGGACTACTGCCGATTTGATCATTTTCAAGACCATGTTGCTCCCTACAAGAGGTAAAACCTGCAAATGCCAAGCACCAAGTTATTAATTAGTATCGATCCCCTACATATAGCAGTTTGTGAACAAAATTACATAAATGAAAGTACTTCTAGACTGTCACAATCAGAGTAAATCATCTTCCCAAAGGAAAAGACTTAAATCATGGTCAAATTATACAACCTGAGAGCATAGCCTCTCCCTCAGAATTTTGAGTTTGTGGTAGATTGATGGCAGCAACTGAGCCAGCATAATTGTCATGAGCAGGTGCAGCCAAAAGAACATCTTTAAGCACAGGATCCATAAAGCAACTTCTCCCAGTATCCTCAAATTTCCTGCATCTAGCAAGAGTTCTCTTCATAAAAGCCAAGGCAACTTGCTTTGATACCTTCGGAAGTCCATTTCTTGCTGCACTACTTCCACGAGTAGCCTATCAAAATTAGAGACGGTCATTTCACACTGCAATTTTTTCTCGAAAGTTCCAAATGGAACACTGAAGACCGAAAAAAATATCACTGCATAATCATTAGAAAAGCTTAAAAGTCTAGAGCAAACAATACACGCTTTTGCAAATCACTTCTTTCCTGTGTCCTGACAACCCAAAGGAACAAATAAACCAACAAAGACGCATTCAACAGACAGAACTTATTATAAATTCAATTCAACTATTCAAAAATATATACACTACTTTCAACAGAACTTATTATCAAACATTTGTTATTTGACCCAAAACAAAGTTGCCTAAACAAATACTTCTGTTCAGCAAAGACACAACAATAATACTATTAACATTGCATTTTCTCATTCAATTAAATCAAATAGTTAAAATCTAGTAATGAATGCGCCTACAAAGGGAACTTGTTATTTAGTCCCAGAACAAGCAAGTCAATCCTGAAATATTCCAAAATTTCTCACACACTTTAAAAGGAAGGGAAGGGGAATGAAACATGCTATTTCTATTTCTATCGAAGAAAATATACTCCTAACTCAACTAAAATACAGAACAAAGGAAAAAAGTTACCAGCTTCTTTTTATAAGCCAATTCAACAAGTTTCTCCATAGCAACCGGCTCAAGGGCTCTGCAATACAATATGTTAAATATTCATGAGCATCAACAAAGGTACCTATATGCATACTCTTCATTACAATTTATACATCTCAAACGTTTGAAGACCTAATAAAATCTATACACCTAAACTACAATTATCCTACCGTTGTTCCGTTTCCCTGACTTTCTCCATTTCTGGAATAAGGTTCATTAAGTACTCTCTCTTCTTACAAACCTGTAAAGGTGGGCATATATAGACAATACACCTCAGAAAATATGACTAAATGAATGCCGTCCTTACACCTGAGCAAACATCAAACATTAATTTATTAAAAAAAAAAAAAAACCTGCTGGTTAAGACATTTCTGTAAATGAATAATATCTTGGTCAATAGGTTCACAGTCTCCATCAGCAAGATCAGGCTGTTAAAAGACAATCATAAAAAGATGAGTCAGTGATAGAAATTGAAAAAAATTACAAAATACTCAAAACCAAGCTTGATGATCATTAAACCCCACAAATACAAAGCCCACATGAAAAGGTCTGCTAAAAGAATCTTGTTTATGTTGCGTGTTTAGTGTTCGTACAAGATAAATGACATAAGAGGCAAGAAGGGACGGAAGCAGAGTGCTACAACAAACAAAAAGCACCAGTAAAGGGTGCTTTCATATCATGCAAAATCAAATTGAAAGCTCACCACTGCCTCTGGATATAGGCCAATGCTCTGCAGCTCCAGCAAGATTTTATCATCCAAACTCATGTTCTCAAATTGGCAATTAAAAGATAATGAAGACGAATCCATATTCACAGCTAGTAATCCACCGCTACCATTTTTAGATAACTTTGGGAACAATTCAGTGTCTGAATTTAATGGTGCCTGATGTATTGGTAAAAGATCATCAAGTTCTTGATCATGGATGTTCAAGCCATTAGTAAATGCAATATTCCCATTACAAGGTAACACATCTGAAGCACATTGAGTCCTAACTTCAGTACTAGATACACAATGATATTCAAATTCAGCCCCTATCACAGATTTGTGTTCAATATCCACAGAATCATCAGCCTCATCAACTTGATCTTCTAGGACAATAGCTGCCAAAACTCGCTGGTACAATGGTGCAACTTTGCTTTCCCCTGAATCTGCTTGTCTCTGCAAAAAGCCACCATCCACATGCTGACCATCCATGTCAATCATTGAAGATATTTCTTTTGAATTCATTTGACTTGAAATGCTTTTCTCCTTCTGACATTGTGACAGAGAGTTGTTCTTGAGCAAAAGTTCATCCTGAGCAGGGAAAAAAAGGACGCTTAAATAATACCCAGAATTATTTTCTCGGTTCATGTCTTCTTCAAGTAAGTTTCATATATGCTCCAGGGTTTTCCAAGACATAAGCCCAATTACGACACTTGGCATTAGGCGTCAAAAGTGTGTCAGTGAGTTGAAAGTTCATCACAATGAAACATCAAGAAAAAGAAAAAGAAAATAGGAAACATCAAGATGAAAAATATGCCAAGAGAAAGTATGCTAATAAATATATCACAAACCTTGAATTTGGGATTTATATTCACTAATATTGCAGATCAAGTTAAATGCAGACAAATGGTAGATAAATAAGAACCGAGAATTAGTATGCCAATCAAAGACTATAAATCCATAAGGAAGAGTTGGTTCAGGGAGTAAAACATTGATCACCAGTTACAAGGGTCAATTTCAGCAACTACAGTGAAATGCTGAAAAGCATAGCTTCTAAAGTATTACCGAGACATCATTTGTCAGACTAACTGTCTGAGACAAACCATGATCCTCCTCCATTGATTTAACCTGATGCAAAGAAAGCAAAGTTAAGCTCTGCTTAAATTTCACAAGAGCAAGAACATGATTGACACACCCACCAGCTGCTTCAAGTAATCTACATTTGCCAAGCTGAGAGGAGCGAAAATTGGTTCCAATTTCTTCCAGAATGAACTAGAACAGCCAGCATCTAACAAAGCAACATTTAAGCCATAAATACAGATAGATATATGAACAAATGCCAAAAACACAATCCAACTTCAAGTAGAGTTACATACAACTGGAATTGCTCGCAAAATTGGCCGCTTCTAACAATTCTTCTCGGTCATCATCCGACTCCCCTGAAAACAATGATAATAAAGCAAGTGCTAAAACTATTTATATCAAACAAGGATAATGCATATACTTCAAAAAACAAAATTAAGAGGAAAAAAACAATTTTTTACACTTATTCAGCACTGAGAAATGTTTTTCTCAATAGTTAATACCATAGCTGTATCAAAAAACTACCAAAAGTTTCCATCACCAATATATGCATACAAAAACACATTAACCTCCTTTCCGGAGGAAATTCTCCAGAAGCCAAAACCAAAAAACTACAGCAACATTAAGGAACCAATGAAGATGAAGAGGAAGATTGAAAAGAAAACATGAGATGCACAGGTGAGCCGCTATGCAACCAAAAAAAAAAAAAAAAACTCAGAGCAAAAGATCTCAGTATTTTGGCCCAGCTTAAAACATAAGGAGCTAATAGTCGTACCTATACTGGATAGACCAGAATTACTAGATTCGATAAGCTGTATGTAAATGCTATATCGGCTAACTTCACACTGTTGTCCACCCTCCCAACCCTAAAAAAAAAATTTTTTTATAAAAAAAAACCATACTCTCATTCCCAAGATAATGTTAGGAGCTTCTGCAGTCTGTGATCAAGGACAACTTTGCAGCAGCGGAAATCAAAACCATTATAACACAGTGACTTCATCCCACATATGTAGAATTAAGTTTAGTAGTTCATTAAAATGGATCTAATGCTTTTTTCTCAGTCATTGATCAGATTTCCGCTTTATTCAAGAAATTGCTTCCTTATTGGTTAAACCTTATGCTGTGGATGGAGAGAACATGAGGGAGAAAATAGGTGGAGAAGTGGGCTTTCCCCTGTTTGGATGAGAGAGGAAAAGCGGGAAGAAAGAAAAGCTGGGAGAAAATGGCACGGTCCCACACCCCATTTTCCCCCCAACTTTTCTCACCATAAATGAGAAGAAAATGCATCTTCCCTCTTTGCCCTTGCATTTTATAATTTTTTTAGCAAAATAATACGCCTATATATTTATTTATTTTCTTTTCTTCACTGCATTTATTATTTAATGTGATATTTAATTTGATTTTAATCATGCTACATTTTGACATAAGGATAACGGTAGTCCAGTCATTCATATATTTGCTCATTTCCTTTCCTCTCTATTTTCTCTTGTCCATACAAACAAGAGGAGTGATAATATTCTCTCTATTTTTCTCTGCTCTGCATTTTCTCTCTTCCATTTACTTTCCTCCCAACTTTTATTCCCGTCCAAACAGACGGTTACTGTACATTCAACTCCCAGGTGTAACACAACGAACCTTAGGTGACACCACTAATTTGCATTTGCCACTCACAGCACCCAAAAACGAGTAATAGCCTATACAGCATATCACACCCCATCCTAGCAAAGCCTCTTACCCTCACATACCCCACCTCCTATAAACTAAAGGATAGATTACCAGTCTTCCACCCTAGATCACGATCCCTGTACAAATCCTCTAATCTTACACTAGGAATAATCCTTCTGCTGTCCTGCATTAGTATTGCATCATCATCCTATTAGCAAGCACGCAACAATGCGTTCTATCTAAGAAACTACAGCCCTAGACTCAGATATCAGGAAGATATGAGGATATTCTTTGCAAAGAAGAAAAATAAGCAGCCATTTTCAAGATATATTTACAATCTTCATTCCAAATTTTAGCAAAACCATTCAGGCTGATTACATATATTTGGTGGGAGCTGGTCCTATAGCCAAGCACAGTACTGAATCCTGTCAGATTATTGGGCTACATGCTTCTTTTTCCCCCCCAATTCTGAATTCTTGAGCAATGTGTATAATTTTCAAAGCCCATAACACTGGCACTTTCTAGTAATGCCATAAATTTCATGTCTAAATTTGAGAATTAGATATTAGAGAAGATTGAAAGGAACACGTATATCTAGATAAGTGAACTGAATGGAATAATCAATGTCAGCTTCTGTTCAATATGTCTGAATTATCACTTTGAAGACAATGGTAAGCAAGCTGCTGAAATGCAGTCAGAGTTCAGGCGATCATAAGCCCTAACACTGTAATCCAATGAAAATGTTTGTTCAACACATAAATAACGCTTGGACAAGTGGCTCGTTAATCAAGTCAACAAACATCAAACACACTAAACAAATGGATTTGGTAGATCAGGAGCAAGAGCTGCAGTTCTGTATTTCTAAATTGTATAAACGATTGCAAGGACTTCCACTAAACAACTCAAGTTGTTGCTAATTGGAGATTTCCATCAGTTGAAGCATTCTATTATAAAGTTTGATACAGTCAGCGTAACTCGATGAATACTCTCAACATCGTATTTTTTATAAAATAAAATTTATGATGCGAACAACTCAAATATGAAAGATGCAAAACTTTAATCAGAATTACCACATTGTGCAAGAATTCCTTAACTAAGAGTGGTAATAAATGGATTGCATTAATTTTTTATGAAAAATCAACAATATTAAAGTTCACGTTTCTCTTCCCTTGTATAGTATTTCATGCAAAATACGGCAAAACAATTAAACATGAATTTAGATTTACTTGATTACATAACAATATGTCAATAAAAATAGAATTTAAGTATGATATATTATCAATATACTATTAAAAACAAATTCATTGCAGTAGTAGACTAAAACAAATTCATTACAGTAGTAGGCTAAGTTAAAATTGAAACACACAGGATAATAGAAATACCTGATAAATCAGGGGAATCACCAGTTGATGGATGCCCAAGGCGAGTAATAGATTTCCTATCAGAAGATTTCTTCAGAGGAGGACGTCCTGACTTACTGAAACAGATAAACCAATTGAAAGTTTAATAATTGATAAATTGAAATATCACCATAATATTTATCATTTCAAAAATCATTTCCATCGGGGGGGAAAAAGACGAAAACCAATAATACCCTCCATTCTTTTCAGAAATAGGCTTCGTATTTTTAAGTGGCTTGGCCAGGGTTGTAGTCTCAAACTTCTCTTTCGAGGGTGAGAAGCTAGTCCTCAATATTGATGATCCCCTATTACTCCTTCCTTGTCTCCGCAGGCCATCTCCAATCTCTTCTTTACTGGGCATCTTGTTTTTTCTTGTAGTTAAGACTGAATTTATATTCTGAGAATTATTACTAGCTTTTTCATCAGCCTCGCTGCTTTCCAATCCTTTCTCCTTTAATTTACTTTCAACAGCATCAGGTTCTTCACTGTCAGATAACATGGGTGGCAAGGAACCATTTTCATGTTTCACTCTACCTTGTTGGATGCCGTTCGCAGCACCCTTGGAAAAAAGTGATCCACTTGTAGCAATGGAAGTCATTCTGGTGCTAACATCAGAAGGAGAATAACATTCCAATGGCATCTGTCCTTCATCAGTATTCAGCACAGGAGATACCACATTTACTCTTCGAGTGCGGGAAATTTTTTGAGGCCTCTGTCCAACCCATTGGGCCATAGAGGGTGGGGAAGATCCTGTAGGCAAAGGTCGCTTGCGGTTGCTGTTCCCAGAAACCGACTGATGCTTGTTCATCTTTGAAGATCGTTCCCAGGAATCAAGTGCTTCACATGAACGAGATGCAATAGATGAGTTGGCAGCCACTAAGGGACCAGTTCTTGAGGCCCTTGAGGCCTTTCCTTTTGTCAATGGATAGGCACCACTAATATGATTATTATCACGAACATTAAACCTAAAAGGAAAAGAAAATATCATAAAGAAAATGTTAGGTGTCACAATCATATTATTTAAATGATAAATGCTTCAAGTCAACATATATCATGAACACAAAGGGGTTTATTAATACTTGTTTCCTCTCAGGATAATCCGTTCCTTATTTGATCCATCAACTGAATCCCTTTGGACTTTTTCCTGCTCATTCTTAGCAGTGGCACATCCATTTGAACTAGCAGGCAGAGAGGAAAGGTCAAGTTTGCTATTATTGCCAGATGATCCTGATCTGTAGAGACAGACAGTTCCAAGCAGTTTACTCTTTGCTGTTAGACACAAAAAGTCTATCAAAAGGCACAAAGCAACCACATTCAACATCATTTAAAACAAGTAGTGTCAACTAAAAGAAATGTAAGAATCACAACCGACAATCATCATGGATGCAGTTAGACGGTTGCAGGTTAAACAGGAAGAAAATAAGTGTGATAAAATCAGCTTAGTTTATGTGCAACTATATCACTCTCCAGATCTAATGAATCTTCATTTCACATCACCATTGAAATTCAAAGCATCTTATAAACTGGTGTTACCTCAAACCTTGAGTATCAGAGGACTGCAGACCAGATTCATTTGTTATCTTGAGATGCATAACCTTTTTCATTTCTCCTTCCCCATCAATAGATCTGGCAAAACTAGTCCCCATGGAACGTTTTCTTTTCATTTTTCTGTCCCAAGTTTCTCCTGCAGGCAATCTACGAATCTTCTCCTCAACAAAATCACAACATTCTGCACCGTCCCTAAGGGTATCTCTATCTTTACCAGCGACCAAAGGCTGCCTCAAGTTATTATTCTGTCCTTCAGCCTAGAGTTTTTCCGCACAAAAAAACGTGTAAATTCAGTAGAGCCATAATTAGATAGAAGATTGCTCATCTCTTGAGAATAAGGGGGGGAAAATTTAGAGCAATTTGATTAAGGAGAAAGCACTAGTTATTAACAAGCAGTATATATACTGGATTTAAACAAATCACAGAAGCAATCCAAAGCATCTCATTTTGAATTACTATATTTAAGGCAGATATAAAAGCAAGTTGAAAGGGCATCAATATAACAATACATCTGCTCATCTTCCTGAAAGTAGATATTCATTCACCTCTTAATTGTTAAATTATATATCTTTATACATCCTTTGATGGTCATGTATGAACACCACTTTCAGTGGTGTCAAGGTTGCCTCATGCTCACAACATAATACCCTTTACTCCAACTTCCTTTAACGCCCAACTCAGTCTTCCTTAAAATGCCAACATATATATTTTTACCCATAAGACTGAATGGAATTCATGCATTCTTCCCATTAGCCATTGAGGACTGTCGGCTTAAAATTAGTGTCTCTAAATGTTAAGAGAAACACGCCCAAGAAAACTAATTTTTTTAAATGAAAACGCCCACTAATGAGAAGGAAAAAAATATAATAACGGAAATAAAATATTGTATGCACCAAAATCAAGAGATGATGTCTTTCTTATCATGCTAGCCATCAGATTCGCATATCCTTACCCAAATTTCATATTACAATACACATACACTTATAATGTCTGGCACAATTGCCGACTCAATCCTCTACAACTTTATGGCAAGAAATGCAATATATCTAATCAATATGTTATGAGCAAATCAACAAGCATACCCGTATTTCAGCTATTGGTGTGCGAAAGCGCTTATTCAGAGTGACATTCTTGGACCTGTCTTCAAACCTTTGATTCACAAGTTCTGAAGCACTGCGGTGAATCTGACCTCCCATCTTTAACAAGTTCAACCCTCCCAACCTCTCATTTGGTAACATGTCATTCCTAAGTTGCTTTTTTGAGTTTAAAGCTTCACAATACTTGTTTAGCTTGTGCAGAGATTCATCCAACCTTTTTGATCTCCCCCTGAGAAGAATCTTCAAATTTAAGAACTTTTATACAGAATAACTACAGAAGTGAGAATAAAGCAAAAGGGGAAATATACCAGTTTTTAAGAAATTTATGGACCTCGCAACCCTAATTCTGATGACTTAGCAAAAAGCATTGAAAACAACATGCATTGGAGCATAACTGTCAAAGGAATGTGACCACCATTGCACAAAGCACTCTTGCAGCCATGCTTTGCAGCATGTGCCATCGTTCACAACAACATTAAAGCATCATGCACACAATTACGTAATCTAAAGTAAATATAAAAGACAAGCAGTACACACATGTACATAAATCTATTTCATTTATTTCTACCAAAAAATTATTTGATTAACTTATAGTTAAAATATACATCGAAAAATATATGAGAAATAAAAATGAAAATAAAAGAATAAAAAATATAGAAGAAGAGAAGAAGGAAAAAAGTTTAAAAAAAGGAAAATATATATAAAGGAAAAAAAAATAAGAAAGAGAACGCCGCATATGAAGAGAGGTAGATTCAGAGACAGAGCAGAACATAGAAATGATGAAACTAAATATGGCCGAAACTAAACAGGGAACAGAGAACAGAGACAGAAAGGAAGACTGAAAGAGAGCAAAGAGGTTGAAAACTCGGTGATAAAGGAAAGATTAAGAAGTAAGGGTCGGAAATGTGGCTCTTCCAAATGGCACCGGTAGCACTTGCCAAAGGCACTAGTGCAAGTTGTGCCATTTGAAATTTGCAGCACCACAGCTGTGGCCATGCCCAGCAAACCCTGGTGCTGCAGCCTACCTTTGCGTTCAAGTGCATACTGCATACGCAAACTCTCAATTCGACCTGGAAAGTTTATTGAATAAAGAAGAGTGGTTGGCACAATTTGAACTTTGAATAAACAATTGGTATTGCAAAGTGTTCCCTAAGTTACCTAGCCTTGACCGAAGCCTCTATTACACTTGCTTTGAATCGTTTCAGGTCCTCAGGAGCCACTGGAGAGGAAGGCTTCAGACTAGATGCTCCAAAAGAACAATCTTCAAGGGTGCTTCCGCAAGATATCCCCAGTGCCTTCTTTAATTCAGCTGACCGAATGTGTTTTTGATCTCCCATGCTAATAGGATCTAACATCAAACACTGAGATAGTGGAGGCAAGACCCACGCAGAAGTGGAATTTCCCCGGAACATAATAGCACCAGAAACAAACATCCGTCCCTCATTGCCCTCCAGAAAGCTTCCAGATCTGTCCAAACTGCCGCTCATCAAATTTCCCCTCTGCCCATTCAGAACGGTCCCTTTGAAAGCTAATTCCTCTGGACTAGCAGCACTAAAATCAAATCTAGAGTATCCCGACATATGTTAAAGATAATTGAACCAAGTCAAAAGTAGAGTATTTTCCAGCATATTACACCTTAGTGACTCATGCAATGTGTGGTCGCTTGGACAAGTAAATAAACCATAAACAAGTCAGAATTTTCCACCACATTCCACTTTAGTGACTCATGCAATGAGTAGCCGCTTAGACAAGTCACTAAACCAGAAACAAGTGAGTATTAAGATGCATGGAATATCTGCAATTCCCATTAATAGAATTATTTTAAAAGTTCATACAAGTTCTACCATTTCAAATTTAAAGAACTCAGTATAATTTGCCCGATAGAGTGAAAGGCATCCGCAATATCCAAATGTACACAAATTGGTGAAAGTAAGACAGTTTTGACGGCAATAAACCCACGTGAAGCTATTAAAATACGCAAATGTTTTTAAGAAAATAAATAACAAAAAGAGAGCAGACCTTATATTATCAATTGTAAATATGATTAAAGAATTAATGAATAGTCCTATTCAATGTCTAATTATAGTCACATTAAAAAACGAAAAAAAAAAAAAAATAGTCCGCGCTAGAATACCCAGTAGTGGAGGAAAATATGCATCACTAGGCAACCCACACACTATTGCCAAAAGAAAAGGCTTTATAGTATACCAGCGAAAAAAAAGGCTTTGTAAACAGAGTCTAGAAAAGTTCGAACCCAACCGTTAAAAACGGAAACAGAACGAAAATGTGGTTCAGCTCAGAGAGTCGAAAATTGAAAATTGAACCCCAAAGAAGGCAGCAAACAAACGTCACAGAGTTCGAAACCCTAACCCCATCGAAAATTACCAATTAGGGTTCCGTGAAATTTTACCCGCGAAATTCGTAACACGACAACAAAATTTCGAATTCGAAATTCCCGAAGAAGTCTAAAACAAGACCATTAGGTACCTGCATTGACGAGTCGATGGAGCAGGAGATCGAATTGTGGAGCAGGAGAAAAATGAGTGTACGCACAAGGAGTGGGAGATTGCACTCGAGCCCGGAACCGAGACGAGATTCTGCTACCGGGGAGAGAGAGGGGGGTCCCACAGAAATTTAGGGAGCCGAGAGAAGAGATGAATGAAGAAGATTGGCGCATGAGAAGAAATCAGGGCCCTTTATCTTGTTTGGGAAATGTGTCAGCGTCAACTCAAGGGTTGACGCTCGACATGCTGGGAGCTTCATTCTCCAATTCGGATACTCTTCGTTCAACTTATTTTCTCGCTTTTCATTATTTTGGATTTTTGGGTCACAATGATGACGTAATATTTTATTGGAGAATTTGTTTGACCAAGAAATCTTTTGTATTACACCCAAATTATTAAAAATCGTGGTTTTTATGAATATAAAAAAATTATTTTTTTACATTCTCCATCCAATAAAACAAGTCACGCCCTTATTATAATGGAAAAATCTCCCCAAAAAAATGCTTCTTAAATTTTAAAATTCTAAGGCAACCATACTTACTACACTTTAATGACAATTGATTACACTTAAAAACAAATGACAATACATTTTGTAGTGCTTTCTGAATTGAAATTTTAAAATTCAGAATATTATCAAGTAACTTTAAGTTTTAAACTAATCTTTGTTGGATGGGAGTGAGAGATACCCAATTTTAGTGCATAATAATATCTACAAGATTACCTCTAATAGAATAATACGCGTGCCTATAAAAACAAACATGGTATTTTGTGTTAAGAAAAAAGTAACCATTCGATTTTTAATGTAAAGCTCATTTAACTAATTTGATTAGATTAAGAAAGTTAGGTAAGTTAGTTAATTATAAAAAGTATGACTTTTTTTTAAAATAACATAATTATTTTCCTTAATATCTTATCTCCTTCTCCTACTTGATTGTAGTCGAGAAAGTATTAATGTGTTAATTTAAAAAAAATTAATAAATATAAAAAATAGGTTTTACATTTAGAATTAAAACTAACTCAACACTTTCATCATATATTAAGCACTAGATAAATAATTATGAGTGAATGTGTGTAAACAACCAATCATACAAGCACACCAAGCACATCCTTAAAAGTTGTATGGGAATCTCAAAAACAAATTTGGAATCCATAAAAATTTTAAAACCACGATATTTTGTTAAGATTAAAATTAAAATAATCTACTAAAGCCAAAAATCTCCTTCTAAACATGAATCAAAGTATTGTCAACACCTTGTACTAATGAAACATAGTGAAATCTCGCCGTATCCGTCAAATTTCATTTTCTCTTTTTGGGTGATGATATTTCTTTTTACAATATCATAGTGATCAATTCCAAGAGGAATTCGCATTAAACCATGTTTCATTCTTCCATTAATAATAGATTTGCAAAGACATAGTCAAGGCAATGCCATAAAAAAGACACTTCCCATGAACCAAATGGCTTCTCAAGGCAATGCCACAAAAAAGACATCTCCCATGAACCAAATGGCTTCTAACCCTTATATGTCAAGTTCTCAATGAGAAAAATCATCAATCATAGAATCACTAACATTAAAAGATCTCTGATCTGAAACACATAAATCAAATTGGTTAGTTCATCCCAATCCTTTGACCTGATGTTTCTCTAGGGTCTAAACACATAATTCACCCCTTTTAGAGGCACTCATAATGATTCCCATTCTATCCAATTTGGCATACACAAAATGAAATACTAACTCCGGTTCTTAATATAAAACCTCATTTGATTTTTATATTGGTTCTAAATGTAAGACCCCAATCCATTTTGTCTCTCATATTTACTCAATTTTTTTCAAGATAGTCTTTCTAATAATTATAGTTTTAGCCAACATACTTGATTAGTAAGAATATTTTAGAAAAAATAACATCTATTTATTACAAATAACTAATTTAACTTCTTTTCTTAATTCTCTTAAATTAGTCAACTGGTTCTTATAATTAGGAACGGAGGCAATAGTATTGATGTTCAAAGTTTAGTTATTTGTTTAAATAAATTAATAAGAGCTCTTAATACTCATACCATCCTATGTTAATTTTGAAAATAATTTTGTTACTTGAAGGTTCGTGCTTCACCTTATGCAATTAACATTTTTTTCATTTGAAGAAAGACCCACTAGTTCTATGAAATTTGAACCCATGGCTAGCTTTATGTCTAGATGTTTGCCACCAAGACAATGCGCCAAACACTTGTAGTGGGGTGAGAAATTCAGGAAAACCTATTTTGCAGTCTTATGTAAATACTACCTCCATACTTAGTATAATAACTGCTTAATTAATCTGAATATATTAATAAAATTAGTTGTTTGTAACAAGTTAATTTTCCTAAAATACCTTTTTAGTCATTATTAACCTTGAATAGAAGCACATTAACATGCATATTTAATAAAGATATTTTAAAGAATAAATTATAAATTTGAGATACAAGGTGAATTGATATCTTATATTTAAAATCAAATTTAATTCTCAATTAGCTCTTAATTTTAGCATAAAATACTAAAATTTTTTACAAGAAATAACATGTAAACATATCAATATTAAATTTAAATTAGAACCTCATCCAATTATAATAGGGGCATTGCAACTAACTTTTTGACGGGAGTTCGAGAATAATGTTAAAAGTTATTTAAATTTTATAATAAATTTAACATGATTAATATAATTTTTTTTATTCTTCAAATTTGTCCTTATTTTAAGGGGTATTTGAATAGAATCAAAACTATGGTTATAAAAATATCTTTACAGTATATAAGATAAATATGTGAAGGAATTTATCTTGATTTACAAAAAAAAGTGTTTTTACTTTTCACTAAAAACCCAAATTTCCTTTTAGTTTTCATCTCAACTTCTCAAATTTCAAATCAAAGGTTTTGGTTTCTCAAAAGATGAATTTTTTATATTTTTACTGAATTATAAAGATTAATATTTTAAATAAAAAGAAAGAAACTATAATTTAAAATTTAAAATTTGTATTTTTAGTTGTTTTTATTTACTAACCAGTTAATTCGGCCTTCGGCCGGTGGCTGTCTTGTTTCGCCTGGCAAGTGAAGTGACAACAGATATGGGGATGCAGGCTCAGTGGCCAGTTATCACAGGGAAGAGAAACGACTTATGCGTTTCCGGCTCCTGCCCGGAAAACGAGCAAGACTCGAGCATCCTTCTCACACGCAGCGGAGTAAACAATGCGCAAGGCTGGGGATGATGAAGAAATCGAAACGGGTGCTGTGGCAATTGAAAATGTCGGAGGCCGATCAACGGCGGTTAGATGCTTCTCAAAATATCCTCTGAAGTTCATCTTACCAAGAAAGGTTTCGATTCTTCTTATTTTCTCTCAGTAATGTTTTTCAACTACATAAGCTTGACGTTTGAGTTATGGGAAATGGCGATTTAGCTTAATATCTGACTTCACTGGTTGGCATTTTTACAGGTCGGTTCTTCCAAAACTGATGCTGTATGGATTTACACACTAACCTATGGAGGCGGAATTGTATCTGTATGCTCCTTCTCTTCTCTGGGGTTGCTCTTTTTTCTTAATGAGTTTGGTCATATATGCTCATTATTGGAGATCCTTTTATATGATGCAGGGTGATCGGATTTCATGCAAGCTTTCCGTGGGAAGTTCCTGCACTGCAGTGTTAACCACCCAAGCTTCCACTAAGGTCAACTAATTTCTGATTTTTTTTAAAAAAATCAATTTTTAATATTGAAATGAGTGGTTTTTAGATGTGTTTGCTTCTGTGACAGATGCACATCATTCATTGTCTGCTTGGTTGGAGAAATAACGGTTGCTTTGTACTTTTATAGGTTTATAAATCCGTGGGATCGAAGTGTTCTGGACAAATATTGGAGGTGAGGATGCTAATAAACCAAAAATTTACTTGGACAATCGTGTATTGTCCTGTATATTCGTTTATATTGACTGAGACCTGTGCTTGTCATTATTGGCTTGACTTACCAAGTCAACATTTTAAATGACAATGAAAGGCTTAAAATTGATTGTTTTTCCCTTGACATCACTCAATTTATTTTAAGACTCATGGTTTTGAGCTTGTAACATGGTATAATTTTTGGCAGGAGTATAATGAATTAGTAACATTTTGAGTTTTTCTGACATAGTACCAATAAGATGAAACACTTCTTTTTTGCAGGTGTATAGCATTTGTTTATATGATGTTGCTATTGACGTGTCTAATGGATTCAACTGACAAAAGCAGTGATAAATTTATCCCATGTCGTAGGCAAGAGTTGGGAGCAATGCATTCTTGGCCATCTTTCCAGATCCAGTTACATGCTTTTCAACGGCAAGATACTTTCAGAAACAAGTCTTCAGGGTTTCTTCAGACTCAAGTTTGGCCATTGTTGATTGGGTCACAAGTGGGCGCCATGAAAGTGGAGAAAAATGGGACTTCAATCTTTACAGAAGCACCAATAACATATTCTTAGAAGATGATCAACCGTTGCTTCTAGATACGGTAATGTTACCAATTCTTAGCATATAGCCTTTTTACATTTATTATGTTATTTTTTCTGGAAATTCTTAGATACGGCAGATTTGCAAACTGCAGAAATTTAACTTTTCCAAGAGTTTGCCTGTCTTTTCATTATTTCTACCGTGACTTAATGGACGAGAATCCTATCCTCTTTGGTCATATTTTTAACATGTCCTCTGATGAACTGAGAAGAATGTCAATGAGAAGAGGATAAGATGTCCTCTGAAACAATATAGCAAACGTATGAAATGAAGAATGCTAAACAAGCTGCAAAATTCAGCAAAACTGTCTAATCCAAGAATATAATAAGAAAATCTTAGGATTGCTAGTTTAAGGGTGAAGTTATTTCTTGAGAAGTTACTTTCTCCTTCTTTAGTCACCAACCTTTAGGAAATTTTTTGAGAAGGTATTTATTCTCCTTCCAATTCTGGAGGAATGATTGTGATTCGTATGGTTAATCTATTATTGACAAATATGGCAAGTTCTGTTTCATGCAAATTTTTAAGCTTAGCATTTTTTTTGGGTTCTGAAGAAAGAAAGTATGAATAGGAAAAGGGGAAGGGAAAAGAGAGGTGGAGTTAGAAACTCTACCAGAATCTGAAATCCTAGAGGGGGAGAGACAATAATTTTATTGGATAATACTTCATTCATGATGAGAAAGCAAGTACATAATTTGCTTAATTAGTCTGACATCATAACTCCAAATAACCACCTAAATTCTAGGATAGAAACCGAAAATAACTTGTCATTTAAAGCATAAAGCACGCAAAACTAAGAAGGATTCCCAGGCCTCTTCCTAGAGTAAACCAGTAAAGGACTCGACTCTAACAATTTTCTTGGTGGATAGGAAAACGTTAGGATTAATAAGATTGTGACGTAATGGAGATATCTAATTGTTGGATAAGTTCGGTACAATTTATGGAAAATAGAATAGAATGTGTCAGGAGAGAACAGCCCCTTTCCAGGTGAGTGTATGTGTAACCCAATGACAAAAGTTTCTGTGTCGGAACTGGAGCAAACTGACCTGAGTCAGAAGATATAGAGAATCAAGCTTAAACTATGATATCTCAAAGGTTCAAATATTAAAATAATTTTCAGAGGTTTCATTGAATCTGTCTGAGATTCAAATGATTTGAAATGCCCCTCTTTGCGTTTTGACAATTGGTCCATGGGGACGTGATTGATGCTTGTGAGCAAAGTCACATCCTTTAGTCCTTGCCATGAAACACCTCTGGGTGAGGAATCATTATCAAAGGCATTTGACCTTATCACCAATCTTCTCTGGAGTCTAATAAGTGAAGAAGTGGTCCTCTTTCAAATATTTTCAGAAGATACTAATCAAGTGTGGTATAAGGAAATGGTAGATATGGGAGTAGCAGATGGTTTCAAACATCTTATGTAACTTTTGCAGTTCATTTAATTATATCTGCCATGCCCCCTCTACAATCTAAAGTTAGGGGAAAATACTAGAGAGCTGTTGGCCCATAAAAGACGTTAAACAATTAATGTAAACAGATAGCTCAAGGGGACTTCAGATGATACTTGCAGCAAATACCATTCCTGATGACTGCCATGGGACCGTTTTGCATCTCTGTGTGTGTGTGTGTGTGTGATATACGTATTGTGCTTATCCTCCTTTTCTTTTCTTTTTATTCTACTGAGTATTCCCATTCATATATACAGATTTTATTAGATAAAGAAAAAGTTGGCTGTGTCGAAGGTTACATGCAGGACTACCAAGTAATTGCAATGATTGTACTTCTAGGGTGGGTGATTGTATTTTATGTTCTGATATTCTTTTATTACAAATTCCTGTACCTAATGCACTACTTTTTTAGGCCAAAGGTGCAGCATGTTCAGAACCTAGTGCAAGATGATGTGAAAAGAATAATGTCTGAGCAATTACTGCACCCTTCCACAACTTCTAGCCATCAAACTAAAAGAAATTCTGATTACCTCATGTCAAAACCAAGCTTCGTTGCTTCTTGCAGTTTCTTTGGTCCAGAGGTAGTTATTATTTTATTAACACATGAGCTTTGATAACATCCAGATAGTGGATTGTAGTGTCATTATTTGAAGGCATTTTGAGGTTATTTTTAAAGCAAAAATCTGACTTCAGTGGTTCTGGTTTCAAGTTCATCCAAAAGACAAATTCAATTAAATTTTACTGATTGGAGCTTGGAAGTGCTGAGTATTGAAGCGATACTATTGCTTTGTAGATGTTAATATTGGAATATGGAATGAAAAAAATATAAAATATCAGTGGTGTTACTTTATGCCCTTGTTGATCTTAGTATCTTACCCTAACGACTGTGGGACCCAGCAATGATTCCACGTTGATGGTATAATTCTTTGAGCCTGCTGGGTCTGGGATTCAATAAGTTCCGGAAGGACGATTTGGATAAACATCTTATGTATATGCTGTTATGTTCTCTCCCCAAAAAAAAGGGTCAAAGATATATGGATTTTTCTTAATAATTTTGCACTACAAGCTTAATCATCTCAAAAAAGTTCCTTCATAGGTTATATTTAGATTTTTGAATAAAAAACTCCATGCCTGAGAGCAAACACGTAAATAATTAAAATTTTGCACCTTGGAATATACTTAGTTACAAAAATTAGCATGGTGACTTGCTTTTTGACAGAGTAAACAGTTGGAAAAAATCATATTGGAAGATGGCCACTGATCAAGCGTGTTATTGATGTCACAACGTGAACAAATTGGCCATGTTTGAGTCAAAGGAAAATGTTGTGTCATATCCGGTAAATTTGTCAGATATGTATTAGACCTATGATTCTGGTTTTAAAGTTTTACTGCCTCAGATTGCTGCCCCCTCAAAACTTTCTTTCTGGTCATGCATGCTTAATGGCTGTCATATGATTTATGCACATTTTTAACTGCGACCTCATTTTTTGCAGAGAAACGGTCTTATTGTTCGGGTGGCTGCGGTGACAACTGAATCAGTTTATAAGTTTCTGCAACACCAATTGGCTCCCTTGGAGCCCATGCTAGGGATGCCACCATACGGATAAGTAATGCATTCTATATTGACAACCCATAATGAGTTTAAGTGGCCTTGTATTTTATGTAGTATAGGTTGTATTCCTTGTATTTACTGTTAGTGTCAATTCAACGTAAATGACCAAGTGTCCTCTGACTGTAGCATTAGAGTAACCACCTCCTGCATGTTACCATTCATCTGTGTTTTGTGAGAGGAAAATTGAGTTATGGCTAGCAGGCGGAGCAAATTCTAATGGGCTCTCCCTTGCTTCTGAACTAGTTTGGGCCTTCCCATAAGGCCACCATGTTTTGGTTAAGCAGTGGAATGTGATTTCCACTCATTCAGTATTTGTAATGTCTATTATGTTGTTTGGTTATTTGCTAATTTATATATATTTTTATTTTAAAGTAAATTCATATTATGTTCTATTTCATTTTATATATTGAAACAAGCCCCGAGTAAGCGTTTCTTGTAGAATTTGAATTCATGCCCCTGGCATCCATTAAGCGTATTTGGCCAGGATGTGAAAAGTAAAAGAACGCTCGTTGGTTTTTCTGTTTGACAAAGACATGAACTGATGAAGCTGTTTTTAAAATGATTACGGATTTTTGCCCCCCTTTGTATGACAACCGCAGTGAATAATAGGGAATTTTTATTTATAAAAAAAATTCATTCACAAATTTGTATGTCTCAAAATACGCATGTCTTGTGAAACTAAAATCTCGTCCGTCTTCATTTCTCGCATCCAATGACTAATTTACGTAAAAACCATAATTATTATCACGATTTTTGAGCTTAATTATCAATAAATATAAGATTATTTTAAGGTCTGATCAAATAATCTTGTCCTCCAGCTCATGATTAATTTATCCACAAGCAACATTGGTCTTTTGATTCATCTTTATCTAACAACATGTAATCATTTTTTCCAAGTGTGGACCCATCTTTAGCGCGACAGGTTAAATGTAACCAAAAAGGATTTGAACAAAAATAGATTTCCCATTTTCTAATTAAAATAAGAGTAAAATATATTGACTATCTTCTGTTTTACTTAAATTACAGAAACCTCTTTTTTATTTTGAAAATGTTTATAAACTTCCCTTCAAATTAAAATGTATATTACATAAACTTTCTTTATATTTTTAAGATTCAATTTCCATCCATTTAATCATTAGTTGACCTTTAAATTTGACTTTTAAATTTTTATTTTGATCAAAACTTCCCTCTTTATTATAAATGTTATTCAAACATTTATATCTATAAAAAATAATTTTTGATACAACAAAAAATAATTATAATACATGTATTTTCAAAATTTTTAATATGTTATAAAAATTTTAATTTCAATTATATTATAGAATTAAATAACTTTAGTTTCTCATGAAATATTGAAACTTAGGATTTTTTTTTAAATGACGAGAAAATATTTTGAATGCTTATTTTCTTATCACGTAATATAAATTATGCAAGTTTGGAAACTCATACAAATAATTTAAATGTATGTTTGTATTAACTAAATTACTTAATTTTTTGACCCAGTACGATAAAAACATTAAACAAACAACAATTTTTAAAAATAAAAAAATAAAAGTAAAAGAGAAAATTTTAAATTCTTCGAAATAGTTCTAACCTAGATTTTGAGATTTAGTATTATGAAGAGTAATTTGGCAAATAGAAAGTATTTTAATATAAATTTGAATTAAAAAATATCTTTTTAAAATAATCTTAACAGAGTTAATAGTTTAGATTTAAGTATATATTTTTAAAATAGAGGAAATGTCTGTGTAATTAAAACAAAATATAAGAAAATAAATATGATTGGATGACGGTAATCAAAATATAATAAAATGTGTCCATTCACACCTCAAGTGAAGCCAGCAACTAGGGGTGTGCATGGACTAGACTGGACCGGGTTTGTTATTAACCCGAAGTCTGGTCTAGTAAAGACCTCGGGCTGAAAAAAACAGCCCGAGGTCTGGTCCAGTCCAGTGCCAACCCGAGGTCGGGTTGGACTGGACTTGGTCCTCTGGACTGCCTGGACCAGTCCAGGCAGTCCAGAGCTAATTTTAATTTTTTTTAAAATTTTTTTTTCTTCAATAGGAGGCAAGATTGTAACTTACTATATAAAATTTTACACATATTTTAATTCAAAATTTATCAAATTTGATCATTCCTTTTCAATTTCCCAATGAAGTCATGTTTTATTAATTAATTCTCATCAATATAGATCTTAAATTGTAGAAAATATATATGCATGCTCATTACTTTGAAAGTTAATAGATAAATCTTAATTATTTGAATAGATAAAAAATTTATATAGAAAAATTAAATCAAATTAAAATTATATAAATAATAATTTAAAAAAATCGGGCTAGACTGGACTGGACCAACTGGTCTGAGGGGTCAGTCCCTAGTCCAGTCCAGCCCGATGAGACCAGTCCGGTCCAGTCTGGTCCAGTCTTGTTTCGGGCCAATTTTTTTTGGACCGGACTGGACCGGGTTTGTTCGGGTTGGACCGGACCATACCAGACCACCGGGTTTTTGCACAGCCCTACCAGCAACTTTCTGGTAAAAAAAAAAAAAAGAAGCGAAGCCAGCATTCCAGCAAGTAGTTGGCAATTAAAATAAAAAGCCAGCGAGTAGACACCTAACTTGCTTAATTAGATAATCAAATTTGCATTCCACCTCATGAAAATGACATTTTGATTCGGCCCTATCCAGTAGCTTTTAATTACAATTGTGATGGTCTCTCCCACATCTGCTCTGCTTTTGAACGCCTTTACCCGGGTTATTTTCCAAGATACCTCGGGTTACTTTTTAAGTTAGTAATTTCAAACAAGTTTGCCTATTAACTAGCCTGCACAAGTGGTCGGGTCTTTGGTTTCTGAGCCAATCCCTTCGATCCGGTTTTTAAAATTATACAATTAAGTGAATAAAATAATTACGGTTGGGATTAATTTTGATTGACTGACTTTTTTTTAGGAAAAATTTTGTTTGAGGATCACAATACAGAATTAATTTCAAAGAACCCTTAAAACTTTCTGAAATTTCACTGCAGAATCAAAAAGACAAACTGATATTAATTCCACAAAGAAAATAATGCTATTGCCCCTCATAATAAAAGTGAGAGAACCCATTTACAAGTGGGATGAGACAATTTGTAACATATATACATATATTTACAGTTAGAATTAGTCCCTTTACCACCTGAAGAAGGTGTCCGTAAGTGAACAAATGTAGGAGAACCCATTTACAAGTGGGACTAGACAATTTGCAACATACATATATTTATTTACAACTGGAATTTGTCTATTTACATGTCACCTCCTTCACCTGAAGAAGGTGTCAGTGAGTGAACAAGTGTGAAAAAGCCCATTTGCAAATGGGATTAGACAATTTACAACATACATACCTTTATTTACAACTGAAATTAGTCTATTTACATGTTAACCCATAATAAGTATTATGAGGGGCAATAACATCATTTTTTTTGTGGAATTAATAACAGTTTGTCCCTTTAATCCTGCAATGAAGTTTCATAAAGTTTTAAAGACTCTTTGAAATTAATTCTGTACTATGGTCCTTAAGCAAAATTTTCTCTCTCTCTCTCTCTTTTTAAATTTGATACAAGGACCAATATTTTTAATTGACATTTGAGAAGTTAATTTTTATGGCACTATATTATTTTTTTAAATTGGTTTTAAATTGTCATTTTCTCTAGGAAAAGAAGACAAAAAAAAAAGGAGTTGAATCTGACGTGGCTTTCAAGTGCAGTACACCTCTTTCAATAGGACGTCACTCATTCACGGTCACCTCCGGGCTACAGCAACTCTTTCCCCTTTGCAAAGAAAAAGACCCCGCCTCGTTAATTTTAGTCAAAACTACATCTAATGACCCATGGACTAACGGATTTATGTTGTTGCCAAAAAAAGACTAGCGTATTTATATTTAAAGAAATTAAAAGTAATAAAAACATCACCAAATTTCTAAAATATATTATTGTAATTTAAAGTATGACTGAATTTATACTTACGATTCTAAACAGTAATCAACATTTTAATCATGTTCATGAAAATGTTGCCCAAACAAATAAAAATACAATGCTAATTAAGTTACAATAAATTATCATACTCAAATTTAATATTAAATATAAAACTTTTAAAAAATCAGATCTCTTCTAAACCATTTAAGAAAATAATATTCATTCAAAAATTTATGAGTACGAAAAAAAATCTAATTATGTCACTCAAAATAACAATTTTTTTTAAAAAAAGATAGGCAGACTCTCAATTTAATCGATGCGTTCTTTCTTTTTTTTTTTTTTGCCAGAATTGAATGGATACATTCATTTATTATAAAAACTTCAAATATCAATTTGATTGATGAATTTAACAATAAAAAAGGGATAAAAAATTTTATTAAGATAAATAATATCATATAATGAAATGTACAAGTTGTGCTATTCAAGAAAGTGTAATTTCAATTCATGCATACAAATTTTACAAATTGAAATTATTTCTACCAAAGAAATTTGATTATAATTTCAATTTAATTTGTAAAAATAATCATAATAATTAACATTCTTTACACAAATTCTCTAAAATACTAAATACGAAGACGTAATTTTCACATTATTTTGCTCGTGGAGATTCTGATTTCTGATGCTCTGGGCTCCTCGACATTTCTCCTAACTCAGTTTCCCAGACGTCACCACTCACCCATCGCCACCTCTCTCTCTCCCCTCCGATCTTCGCATTCTCTCACCCATGGCTGCCGCCAAAGCCGTCCTTGCTCCTTCATTCACACCCCACCGCGCAACCGGGGCTCACGATCCGCTCTTTCTTCCTTCTCACTCATCATCCTTTGTTTCTCTTCACCAGTCCCGGAAAGATCTCTCCAGGAGAATGTAAGAAACGCCTGTCCTTTTCTCTCACTCATTCCTTCTTGCGCTGTTTGGTTTCCTCGAGTCCGAATGTGGGGTAAACAAAGTTCTATCTTCGTTTGTGCAGGGTTTGATCCTCTGAAGTTTTTTAGTTTGGAATTAGTGCGATTAGATGAATTGTGATGGCCTTTTTTGTTATTTTTTTTCCTTCCGAAATTTGGGTGCAAGCGAGTGGAATGAAATGTGATTTTCGCTAAGCAATGGAGTTGGACGAAAGTCGCCCATGATCGTCTTTTTGTTGTGGTGGTTTTGACGGAAAATGATCAGAACTTCAGAAGCGTGGTTTATTTATGTATATAAAGCAGAAGCACGTGCTTGTTTGTGAACTTAACTGAATGATTAGATTGAATTTATTGTTGTTGGGTGAAATTGAAGTTTATAGAATTTCTTTTGAAACTCTTGTTTTCCTCTTCTTTCCGTCTACTCCCGGGGGAACAAATCATTCCCGTTGTTTACTTCCCTTCCTTACCGGTCGCGTATCAAATGGATTCTGCCTTAATTTCCATCCCATCAACTTACCCGAAGCAGCTCTGTAATTAAGCTGTGCCATCTTTGCTTTGACTCTGTTTTCCTTTTGAATGTAATGATCCTTTATCATGCGAAATAAAGGTAAAAAGAGTTAACGAGTGATCTCATCATCATCATTATATTTGGTTTTTGGCCATAGAAACGCTGTATGGAGGAGTCAGCACATTGGGAGTATTTATATGCTTGTATTACTGTTATACTCTGTCATTTTTCTATCTGCTGTTTTCTAAGAATCTGCATGACAACTTTCTCCTCTTACGTTCTGCTATTCTCAATATTATATAGCCTTCCATCCACACACAGCCTCAAATTTGCATGTAGGAAAGGCTTTGTAGCTCTAAAATAGCTATTTTACTTGAGTTATTATTGTATTTTGTATTAGAACATGCATTCAATGCAGATGTTCCATCTGAGTGGCTGCTTTTTTATGTTTTTGTTAAGGCTGTTTTGCACAGAATTTCTCTCCCCTGTCAGCAATTTAGCCCAATTACTCCAAGTTGATGCTTTCATGGATGATATAGTATGTTACCCATTTAATTTGTTATAATCTGAAAAGTGAATGAAGTTGTCTTCATAATATAAAGCATAAACTGCTTATAAACCGAGATATGTCAAAAACTCAACTAAACAGTATGGTTGATTTGTGTTATGACTTTTTGAATTTCTTTTAGAACACTTCCTTTTGATATGGTTTTCATCAGAGCGATGATTTCTGAAAGTGAGATTGGCTAAGGTGAATCTTTAATTTTCTTTAATGAATTTATTGTGATCGATCTATATATTATTTCACTCTTACTATTAGTTTAAACGTTATGCAGGATTGTTATTAATGCATCTGCATATGATTTGAACGCAGTTGGTTCTGCTTCATTGGTAGGTGATTTGTTTATTTCCATCATTTCAGTTACGACTAATATTTGTGATTATCAAGGTGACAGGAGTTACGAGCTTATTTTCTTGATACTGGAGTTAGAATGTTTGTTGGTTGAAAGATTTGAAATCTGAAACATTCATTCCCATAGTATTAGCTACGATTCGAAAATTTTTCTTGGATGGTTGATGGAACAGGGCTGAACTAATTCATGCATGTGGATCATATGTCATATTGCAATAAGATGCAGCCGAGGCTATCACATCCTAACTTCTGTATTTTACTTGTCAATTTTTTATGATCTTTCCCTCTTGTATGCATGCAAGAACCCGTGTGGCTGTTGAGCCTGTTCACAACTAAATGGAGGATTGTCTCTGTTGAGCATATGATACTCGGATCTTCTATGTCTTACTGTCATGTGTACCCTCTGTGTTTTATGGTTTGTTATTTCACAAAACAAGGCTACGATATGCTTTTATGCATGCTTACAGCTGAACATGCGTTTGGCAAATTCTTATTGCAGAAGTCTGGTGAAAGTCTTGATAGTGTTCCGATGCCAGTAGTTCTGATAGATCAAGATTCAGATTCTGATGCAACCATTGTTCAGATTAGCTTTGGTGATCGCCTTGGAGCTCTTGTTGACACAGTAATGTGGCTATTAATAACTCGATGTGCCTAGTCTTTTGAATTCCTGCAGTATAGTAGGATCGCTTAATGCATTCTTGATGTGATATCTTGGAGGCGTGATTCTGTTACTTAAGAGATGCTCACACTACTTGATCGAGATTGTTAAAGAGGATTTGCTCTTGCTACTATCCTAAGTATTAGTAAGCTTTTCACATACACGTACACACTTGTGTGGGTGGGTATGTAAAGAATGGTGCACTTGGTTCTATCCTAGACTATGTCTATTAGTAAGGGTTTTTCTCATGCCCACACACATGCCTACACAATCCTCTCCTACTCATCATCCCTTCTTTTACTTTGTTTTCTCCTTTCCTCATTATCATTGACAAAAGAAAAACTCGAATGATCATGATGGTGGGAAGGTTGACATTAAACTATTTATTTGTGATTTTGATGGAAAATCACTTGTTTTACCAAAACATGTTCTTATTAAGTTGCCTAAGGGTTCTGTTCTACATGCATGTAGATATGAGCTTATTTCTCTTTCTAAACCATTAGTAATTATTAATAAATTATAATTAATAATTGACTCGTGTTTATGTCAAGGCAGATTAATGCATTAAAAGAGTTGGGATTGGCCGTCTCAAAGGGAACCGTTTCCACTGAAGGATCTGTTAAGCAAACAGAATTCTTTATCACTCAATTGTGAGTGTCCGTATTCTCCTTTATTGAATATTGCCTCTTGGATAGTGAAAACATGTAACATGAAAAGAAAAGGGCTTGTGGTTTAATGGAGTTGTGAAGTTGTTATATTAATTACTATCAGATGTATCATTATAATCAACATTGCTTTTAATATGGCAAAGTTGAATATATCGGGTTTTTATATATTGGTTTTGATTATTTTATTTTGCAGAGACACTGGACGCAAAGTTGAAGATCCTGACATGCTCGAGAGCATTCGACTTACCATTATTGGCAATTTGTTGAAGTACCATCCTGTAAGTATACTTGATACATGTTTATTTTGGGGTTTTCATCTGGTGTATGCATATGAGTTTTTCTCATTATGTACAATTTTCAAATGCTTTTCACTTATAAGCACTTTATACTTTTTATAGGAGTGCAGCGCACAGTTAGCCATGGGTGAGGTGTTTGGAATTAAACCTCCAGAAAAGAAGGTGATTGGTACCTTTCCAGTTTAGCCTTCCTTCATGACTGCTTCTGGAGAGATTGCTGCTTTGGAACTGGATTGTTTTAAGATCCTTTTTTTCCCCCTCTAACCATTGGAGAGCAAATATTTGATTTTTTTTTTTTATTTGCTTTGGATATACTATAGATCAGAGCTTTTTGTAAAATCTTTCTTATGTCATATTTGGTTCATTTGTGCATTTCTGTCACAAGCAATAACTTCCCTTTGTTGTTTTATGTAGCTTGATGTTGATATTGCAACCCATATACGTGTCAAGGAAGATGGACCTAAGAGGAGGTCTGTGGCTTATGATTTTACAGAGTTACAGTTCATTTTGGCATCTTCTGTTTTGACGTGTTTTGGGTGCTGAAAATTAGAAATATAATTTGCAATGTTAAACCCATCCAGAAGACCTATAGTTGAATAAAATAAGTGGAGGAGAAAGTATGTGGATTTGCGGAGAATGAATCAACAGATGTCCTGCCTTTTTCATGTGCTTAGCTTTAGTTAGGCTACTCTACTAACTGTTTTACTGCCTTTTTCTTGTGTTGTTGGCGTTAGGTGTTTGTATCCATACTAAGGACTCTATCTCTTATGGCTCCTTTAGTTTATAGAACAGAGGGGAATGTAATGAAAAAGGAATTGCAAAAAGTAATTTTGAGAGCACAAAATGACCTTGTATCCCTATTTTTTAAAAAAATAAAAAGAGGATAAAAGTTTTGACATAATAGTTACAAGGGTAGAATAGATATTACTAAGATATGAAGGATAGAGAATCCCTCCCCCCATCTATTACACGGGGCATTACTGTGAGTGTGTCATGGAACTTCTCTGAACTCTCTTGATCAATAATATTTGGCAGTGCTATCATAATTGGTGCTTGATGTAACTTAATGCATTTTCTATTCAATTTTTACCAGCTTGCTATGCATAGAGACAGCAGACAGAGCGGGGTTGCTAGGCGAAATTATCAGTGTCATTGCAGACATAAACATTGATGTTGAATCGGCAGAGATCGATACAGAAGTATTACTTCGCCCTGTCTTCCTTTTCTCTCTTCTTCTATTCTGAGATAATCAACGTCACCTTTCATCTTTCAGGGTTTGGTTGCCAAGGATAAGTTTCATGTCAGCTATGGAGGTGCAGCATTAAACGATTCAATGTCTCAGGTACATTTAGAATTCATTCTAAATGGAGACTCGGTCAATTTCCTTACAGTTTCTGGGGCAGTAGGTTTTTCACCTTTGGTGCTGCAATGTAGGAATTAGTTGTCTGTTTCTGTAAAATTCAAGATAAAAGCTGAAATATGATGAATAGGAAGGCTAGCACACGCCTCCGTTACGTAGCAGCCCCTCTTCTCTTCTTTGTGATTATTCTGAACAATAGAGATTAATTACTAGATAAGCTTCTTCGGGGAAATGAAAGACACTGAGACACTAATAAACTCTACCACTCTTCTAATTTGTGATGTCTCGTTATAGAGAAGTATGAAGTGACAGAAGTTGATTTTGATGAGGTAAAGTAATCTTCGTTTTTATTTAAAAAATAATAATAAAGGAGACTAAAGGCATGATCCTTTCGTTTGTCTCTGCCAAATAGGGCATTAAGTGGGGCAGTACGTGGAATTTTAATTCTTTAGGAACTTGAAAACCTATTTATTTACCTGTTGTATGTGTCCTAAATAAAATGTAAATACTGATTCGTTTCATATATCTAATACTCAAGTTTTCTTTGAATAGAAATTCAATTTTCAATTAAAAATCAAGATGTTCACTTATCAAACATAACCATTCTTGTTATGGAACCAGAATAGCTCATATTTGGAACCCTAAATATCTTGTGCTTGGATGTGCAGGTTTTAGTGAACTGTCTGCGTTACTACCTGCGGAGGCCAGAGACAGATATTGATAGCTACTGAGGATAGATGGGTGAGCCAATTTTAGAATATAGTTATAAAATAATAATAAGTCAATGTAAACTGTTCTTGTAACCCATCATCAATGATCTCAAGATCTATACATGTCTTTCTGCTGTCTGGATTCTATGGAACAAAACCTTCCATTGATCTTCCTTGAAGATAGACTCGCGAGTGGAAAAATCTAGATCCTGGGCTTTGCCTCATATTACTCCCCAGATTTGTAATATCATCAATTTATTATAATTAAAAACCGTTTGATATGTTATCTTGATCCTTATACTTTGAATGTCCGATAATGCCCAAAACCAGGATTATTTTTATGGTGGTGACACCATTTTGAGTGGCATCTTTTATGAATTATTACTTAAAAAAAAAAATTATGGAGCAATGATGATCAGCCTGTTTATTTTGGTAAAATGAGTCTAGTTATACAATCAATGTTACATGAACCAACGATATCTTGCGTTCGAGTAAGAAGGCTAATGGCATATATAATGTTAGTTGAGAAGAAAAATGGCAAATCAAGAAAACTAAATGACAAAAATGAACTGTATCTTAAACGACTTTGTTACTCTAATTTTAGCATTATTTACTGAACATTCACGCCTCAATCCAAATCCAAAGAATAAGATTGAAAGGTAGCAAGATGATGATGGAGAGCAAAATATGGAGGCTGAAAGTAAAAGGACGAAGATTTATGAGAAGCTACGAAGATGCAAGCTTCAGATGGATGAATCTCGGCGAGTGTTGCAGAACAATGTGGGAGACACGATGCAATTATTGAAGAATGAAGGAGCCAATAGCTCATCGCCGACGACGACGAAGAGCCCAAGAAGATTGACGAGAATGATCTCTGCGGTGCGAAAGGCCGTCAAAACTGAGAAAAATCAGCCGTCTCAAAGTTCTGATGCTGTAATGGATGGCGATGAAGATAGGGGCTATGATCTTCTTCGAGGTCTGAGGGAGGGAAGTGACTCCGGCTGCAATTAGAAATCGGAATTCGCATGGGTAATTTAATCGATACTATTTCTTCATCAAAACGTATGTGAGGAAGTTCCTTTCCTAAGAGTTGTTTGGATTGGATATAAAACCAATGATATTTATAAATTTATTAATCGTTAATATTGATTCTTAATCTGTATATCTCTTTCTAATTATAAACTTTTCATATTTTTTTATGCATTAAGATTCTGAATCACTCCTCTTCTTTTTTTTTTTAAAATACCACTTTCAATAAGTTTTAAGCTGTGCTTGGATGAGAAGAAAGTTGGGAGGATCAAAAATGGGAAAAGAAAAAAATAGAGAGACAGGGAATTAAAGAGAAAATGCTATTATTTCTCTTATTTGGATAGATGGAAGGAAATAAGGAGCAAAGAAAATGAGTAAATATCAAAATGTCCAAAATATTCTTTTCGAAATATATATTACAATAGGAAAATTATACTAACATCAGCATTATTAAATAATTTAAAATCAAATTATTTAATTTTTATATATTTTCAAATGATGATATTTTAAAATCAAATTATTTAATAAAAACATTATTTTAAGATAAAAATTAAAAAATGAATATGGAGAGAAAGAACTTAAGAATGCACCAGAGTCAATCACTAAAATCTTGTTTTCCTCCCCAAATCTTTTCATATGTTAAAAAAAAAAAAAAGATATGAGGTCCCCTTCATTTTTCCACATACTTTTCCTTCCTCCCCATTTTCTTTTCTCCTAATAGAGAAAAACTTATTTCTCCTCCTATTTTTCTCTTTTTCCTAATTTTCTCTCCATCTAAGTATTTAGCTCTTTTTCAATATGTATGTGTGTGTGTGTTTTGTAAAAAAACAACAATCTACATAATAGTAAATTAAAAATAATATTATATATTCAGATAATAAAAATAATGAGAAAAAATACTCTTAATTTATACCTCTCTGGTTCTTAATATATAATCTAAGTGTGAAGTTGATTTTGATCCTAAATATAAGACCTAATTCTCCTATTTATCATTTTTTTTAAATTATTCCTATTGACACTCCCTCAACCATATCAAAGAGGAGAGGGAGTGAGGATATAAAAAAATAATTATAGTGTTTTAGGAAAAACATGTTATATTTCTTATAATTAACTAATTTGCCTAACTTTCTTAATCTAATCAAATTAGTTAGATAGGTCTTATATTAAGAATCGGTGAAGTACAAGGATAAGCATTAAAAAAAAAACAAGCATATAGAGGAATATTAGAACGCTAAGTATATAATAATTAAACTTTGAGTTATATAATATAATGCTGCATAATAATATTATGCTAAATAATTATTTTTAACGTTTTTCATTTTGGTTTTCTTCTCATCAAACCACGTATATGGAGAATTAAGATAAAGAGGAGGATCCCAACCAAAAAAAGGTAAGATTATTCTGTTTATTGATAAGTTGAAAAAATATTAAATTCTTATGATTTCCATTTTAATTTTCAAATTAATCATATTATTAAATCTTTATCAATATATTAAAAAGTTAAGATTCCAATCCCCTAAAGCATTTTTCCAGGGATACTAAGTATTTCAAAGTATTTTATGATATAATTTTGTCATTAATTTTTTTTCAGGAAACAATTTTAACCTAACTGTTCATTCCCAAAGAATCGGCTAAATAAATACACCTTAGGTACCCTAACTCCTAGTACTTCAAAAATTCTCCGAAACCATGAAGAGTAGAGACACATGAAAAAAAAAAAAAAAAACTCAATCAACCACAAAATAGTAGTGCATAATGCAGCTGGGAAATTAACTGCAAAGCCTAAGGTGTAGGAGAAAGGAAAGCATCTCCTGGAAGTTAGCGGTAAGCCAACGTTGTTCCTGCCTCTCTCTCGCCCACACACGCAGACAGTGACTGCTTTGGTTCTCTTGATCTTGAGGATCAGTTCCTGCAATTACTGATTGCCTGAGGCCAATTTGGTCAACCATCTGCGAACTTTCTTTCTAAAGCGTGTCTATCTTAGTTTCTCATTTCTTTTTGGGGCCGTTTTCTTCCCTAGAAGCTTGTGAATCTAATAAATTTCTGACTCTCTTGTTTTCCTCATTCTTGTTGTTTTGAAATTATAGAGAAAATGGGTGTGGGTATCTCTGTTCTGATAGGGTTGAAAGCTACTATACTATTTCTGAGTTTTGTATACCTTCGAAGCCTAGGTTTCATGCTGTTAACTATCCCTTTCCTCTATGCCTCTTTGGTATCATTTTTGCTATCGATTGCTTCTCACCCATCAATCAATCTGCCGATCCTTTTGGGGAAGAACACAGATGGGAGCTTCCCTATTTGGGCATTAATCATGTTCAGCCCTTATTTGTACTTTGTTCGACTTTTCTCGACATTAAGGAGAATGAGAAGTCGGGAAGCACCTTACAGTGAAATTTCTGAGGGACTTTATGTTGGTGGGTGGCCATCTTCACGTGAGAAATTGCCACCAGGGGATCCAGCCATTATTGATTGCACCTGTGAACTGCCTAGAAAGTCAGAATTCTCGGGCTTGTCGTATATGTGCGTTCCAACTTGGGACACCAGATCTCCTCAACCTGCTGAAATAGAAACCGCTGTTAAGTGGGCTATTCGTAAGAGAGAGCTCAAAAGGCCCATTTTCATCCACTGTGCATATGGTAAGCCGTAGACGTTTATTAGCAAAGCATTTTGGACTGCTTGCATTGGCCTTTCATGAAGTCTTGTTTAGCTTTCTAGTTTCTTCCCTAGTATATGTTCTGTAACTTACGTCTAGATGTGTTTTACTTGCACAAGGGCATGAGAATTGGCGATAAATTATCAACCGCAGTGGTGTGCCAGTCATTAATCATCTGCATATCGTGATTTACTGATACTCATGACTTTCAATGGATCTGATTGTTTTCCTCCTTGCGGTAGTTTGTCATTTATGGATCTATCACTGGGGCATACACTGATCTTCTCAATTTTCTTTTGTTAAAAAATTTGAAACTCTACATAATCAATCAAATGTTGGCCGGGTTCTTTTCGTAACATATGATATAGATTAAGCAGAGAATCATTATGTGGACTTAACTCTCGATGTCTCCCGTAAAAAAATTGCTGGTTCTGAACTTACGATTGTTGCCATACCGTAACTCTGATCTCAACATCCTGCAAGCACCTCTTTTTTGCACCAATCCTTTAGGTTCGTCAAACATGATATCTTATCTACATTGTGACTTTCAACATTGGAAAATGATGGTTTTCTGTTAACAGACTTGTCTATTTCACGTGATCATGTGTCTTGCTGTTGCTATGACTTATTCTCCTTGTAACTTATTCTGTAGTCGGGCTGTCTTATGCTAATAAATGGCAATTTAAAAGTGCTGAGCAAAAGTAAAATTGGCTGTTAGTCTATGCTTCAGCAGCCAGGGAAGTTGCATATTGGCCAAAAAGAATAGAAACAAATAAATAAATAAAAGACAGTCAAGCTGCATTTCTTTATCTTCACGTCACAATAACACATGATTGCATTCATTTCTGTTCTAGTTTCACATTTTCTCTTAAAGTCTAGCATATTCATAATCCTTCATAAATATGCTTGTCTGTATGTTATGGTTCAACTTGTTGGTTATTTCCTCCTTTATTGCTTTGCCCCCATCTTGAGATGGTGCTTGGTTCTGCCTTGAATTTGGAGATGGTGCTTAACCATTGCTATGCTCTTCGCTCTATCATAGCTCAAATGCTTAACTACGCTCCCACCATGTTTCATTAAACGATTGGGATAAAATTACTTTTGGCCTCTTTATGGACTCCTGTTGGTAGGTTTCTTTGGTGACTGTCTTTGTCAGATTAGCTAAGCTCGTATGAGTTGATATCTTGTAGTCTTTGTTTCTCTCTTTCTTCCCCCTCTCCCTTATTTTTGTCTTTAAATTTCTGTTTCTCAGGCCTTCTATAGGAATATTCAGTTTAGAGGCCAAGGATTGCACACAACTCCCCCCCCCCCCCCCCCCGGGGGGGGGGGAGGTGCTTGTGGTTTTTCCCCCTGCCAGCCATATTTCTTCTTTGCTTTCACAGATTTTGTCATGATGATGAAAATAGGTTCATTTATAGATTTACAGCAACGTTACTAGATGACCTGGACTCTTTCTTTGCAATCTTCACTCTGCCCATGTTCCTTCTCTTCTCTGCACTACTTTTTTCTTCTAGAGCAAATATAGGTGAGAATCATGAGTATATTTGCAAGGAGCCACAAGTGGAATAGCAAATTGAGTTTGTGAAGTCTCACTGGGATTAAAAGGTGGGTGTTGCTTTGGAGGCTGGGAAAGAAGAATGTACTGTGGTGCGGCAGCTGCTGCTGGGTGGTATTGCAGTCAAGAGAGTTATCAAGTGTTTTGAAGTATGTCTCAAGGTCAATGAACTTTATTCCGGGTCGTTTTGGGGCTTCTCGCCTCATGCTATTTTCTAGAGAATCTAATGGTTCAGGGTGTATTTTGTCTTATTTAATCAATCTAGGGCGCCTAGGTGTTTAAGGATAGCTGGAAGTAAACTTTATCCAGTCAAATTTCTTAGGATCTAATTCAGAAAATGTGAGCTAACCTGATCCAAGTAAGAGAATGATCTCAAGACTATTAGGATACAGAATGTTTCAATAAATAAGGAAATGAACAATATTTATTGAAGTTAACTACCATAAAACGCTGCAGATATGGATTTTGGCCATTATTGGGCTTTTGAGCAGTTAGCCCAATTACTTCCAAGAAGCCCCATAAGCGTTCATTGCTTGATATTATAGCTAGTGGTCAGTGGTTGTAAATTGAGCTACCTGTGGTGGGTTCTAACCAACGAGAAAGCAGGTGGGGTATTGGAGAACATAGCGGTGGGGATTTGGACTCTTTAAGGATAGCCAATTGATAGAGACCAAGGTAGCGTGAGATAAAGAATCCCAAGTTAGTACTATAGAATGCTCTTTATGGTACTTAAGTAAGTTGGCTATTCCATCTCAATAGTCAGTTTTAACTATCTGGAGGAGCATTCCCATCTTATGTGGGTGCCCGTCAATTCAGGACTTGAATAAAGCCTTTTGGGCCCTGTATTTTTTCTTTAAATATGCATCTGTTCAGTAGTTGTTGATTCACTTATTCTTGATTATGAGTATATTTAACTGATCTTGCATTTTGAGAAATTTCTCTTTCCTCTTCGGCGTCATAGTGCATGTAGAGCCATTGAGCCAACCTATAATGAACTGAGAGAGAGAGAAAGCTCCCATTTGTCCTTGCCTCTACATAGTCCTATACAGTCACATAAATTTTCTGGATTTTGCCTGGAAAAATTCTTTTTTACTATAATGAATATATTGTAGAGAACTTTTCGTCGCAATTCTTTCCTCGATGTGAATGTGAAAAACATTTTTCAGATTGATTAATTGAATTCTTTGGTCAAAATGAAATTGCAGTTATAAACCCTGTGATCTTACGCTGCTACTTTCTTCAAGTCAAATGATAATGAGATGTTATAGCTATTTAAAATATTTCTCCTGTCTCACAGGTCATGGAAGAAGTGTTGCTGTTATGTGTGCACTGTTAGTGGCACTAGGTATTGCAGAAGATTGGAAAAATGCCGAGAAGTTGATCAAGCAAAAGCGGCCTTACATCCGGATGAATGCTCTCCATCGGAAGGCACTCGGAGAATGGTCGAAGCACCGGTTATCGATGCCGAAGAAGAAAGGAGAGATGGGTGTGAGTTCCTTGAGTCAATCACAGTTTGGTGGTCTTTCAAATGGCAGTTCATGAAGACAACTGAAAGCCATACGTTCTCCTAATTTCCTTTTGAGCTATTGTTTCCATGTCCTAATCAATGTACTTCATTGTCGTATTCTTGGGGCTCAGATAACTTGGAATGACCAGAAGCAAAACAAAGCTAACCTGTTAGCAGCACCAAAGAGTTTCAAGTCCAAGAAGATATTGTCATGAATTGCTGATAACTTTTTAAAGAAGAATCTCATTTTATCTTATTTTAAAGGATTAATATAATTTTTGGTTTTTTAAGTTTGCTTTCATTTTGGTTTTGGTCTCTCAAATTTCAAGTAATAGGTTTTGGTCTCTCAAATTTCTTTTCATTAACATTGGTTCTTATAATTTAATAAAAAAATGGTTTGTTTTGCCCAAGAAGGTTTAAAACTTATGGTTTAAATTTTGAAGAATTAAAACTAAAATAAAGATAAATTTGAGAGACTAAAAATTATATTAATTCTATTTTAAAATATGCTTTTATTATTTGCTTTTATTTTTTTTTTCTCTTCTAGATTATTTTATTTTGATTCTTAAACTTTTGAAAATTAATCAAATGTGTGTTTTTCAATTTTTGTCAGGAGAAATTTGTGTCACAAGTTGTATTCATAGGCAATAATATGTGAACGTTGTCTCAAATTTATAAAACTAAACATGGATCCAATTTGTGTGGAAATGCCAAAAGCAAATCGCAATATTCATAGCCAATGAATAATATTGCATTTTTTTATAGATCATAAACATGCATTTAATATTAATATTGATATTCATGCAGTGATTATTGAGTTGGCAATTATTGTAAGAGATTTCTTGTTAAACATCTTCGTAACTAACTGGATTTGTTTTTTTAAAAAAAGTTGGATGACCAAATTAAAACTAATTTATAAAATGAAAGTAGACTTTGAGACGTTTAACAAGTTACATTGAGACAAATGGAGTAGTTGACACTTGACAATTTGCTTCATAGATCATGTATGTATGTGCATGTGTGTGTGTGTTCACATATATATGTGTGTGTATCAATATATACACAAACATGTAAACACACAAAAATTAATTTTTTAAAGCATCATATTTGAATTTAGTTCTTCAAATTTATAAAGTGTATTTTTAGTTCATTAATTTTAACAATATTAGTAATGATTAAAGAACTGGACCGGACTGGACGGTCAAACCGGTTGAACCGTCAACGGACTCGTTAACGACTCGGTTTGGACTAAAAAACATTCACATGGTTGAGCCAGATTGGACCAAAGTTGAGCCATCATTAAGCCGGAAACCGGAGTTGGACCGAAAACCAAAGCGGTTTTTAGAAAACCGGACAGTTTTTTAGCCTGACTGAAAAAAATACTAAATTTTTTTAATAAAATAGAAGAAAAATAAAAAAATTGACCCCCTAAATATCCTAATATATTTTTAGACTATTTATAATCATATAGTACTATTTCATTGAAAATTTCATATATTGTGATGTTAAAACTGTGAGTCGCTAGTCTTTTTGTTTCGATATCTGGTTTATCTTTTAAAACAATGTTTTGATTTGAATGAATTGATAATTTTTAATATCATTAAATATTTTAAACATACATAAATTTAAATATATAAGGTTTTAGTCCATTTTCAATTATTTCATTATAATTTTAGATTAGTTAAATACATTTCTAAATTATTTAATAATTTGATATTTTTCATATATATTAATTATATGTATATAATATTGTTTCAAATTAATTATTACGTCACCGGTTTGATCGAACGGTTTGACCGATTTGACCGATTGAACCATAACCCGTTGATCTTTCCGGATCGACTTCTGGTCCAGCTTTTAAAACATTGAATACTAGTTTTATTTAACCAAAAATACAAACTAGACAAATTTACATGTTGACTTGGTACTTAAATGCCGAAGAAGATAGGTAAATTTACTAAATTTGAAATTTTTTTTTTGGTTAAACAAGAGACTAACTGTAACACCTGATGTAATTATATCCACATACGCAATAAAATATTTCATTTAAAAGTCCATACGTATTTTTAACATTCAAAACATGACATAATTTCAAAGCATTTTTCTGACATGACTTAACAAAATAAACTATTGAAATGTTATAGTCATGGCAAATAAAAATATAACATAGCATGCGCTTGAGGAGTATAGAAGCCTTCATTGCTCACTTTATTAGTGCCTTTTCTTGATTCCTACTAGATCCTTTGCCTGAAAATGTTAATATAGGGATGAGATCTAACGTCTTATTAATTACTAAAATTCTAACCTATATAAGTAAATTATATATGACAAACAAAAATCCGATTATATGTATTTGTGTATGGAAATTACGAATGTATACATTCAACTTAATTTCATTTTCAATTTAACAATATGCCAGCATGATTTTCCAATACAAAAATAATGCAATTTGCATCCTCCCTCATATCACCATCCACCCTTATACTATTGATTGGAGTCATAGACTAACACATAATTCAATAGGAACTAATCTATTTTACTGAATTATTCTAAGCTCACCGATACTTGAGATATATTCCCAAAGATATAGAGCTAAAGTTCACATAATGATTAGCTTACAAATATTTACACAATGATTATTTTTTAGATTTACCTAGAGATATATCCAGTCAAAGATATAGAGTTACTCATTACTTTTTAGCTTACAGATATTCACACAATGATTACTCCAAAATTTTTAAGAGTCCACAAAATTACATATAAATATTTATTAATATATAACTCAAATTATTCTAAAATTCTAAAGCTACCCTCTAAAATTAAAATTACAAAAAAAATATATTAATTCTCCCAGATCTAGCTATTTATAATAGATACAATATTATTTTGAAAATAAAATTTTCATATAATACTATTTGAATTTCATAACTTAAATAGATATATTTGTTACCTAAAATATAAATATTTGAAATTAAAATCTCAATTATTTATTATAGTCTCGTTTAAAATTTTTCCTCAACCAAACAACTCCTTTGAAGTATAAATGAATTTTAATTTTTATAAAATTCTCAATTTACAATTCTTTAAGCTTTCAAAAACATATCTTTAACCTATTTAACATTCTTGGACCAAAAAAAAAACCTATTTAACATTCAAACCGATTAAAACCTCAATAATATATTAAATAACTCAAATGAATTATTTAACTTAAATTTAATCTGTACAAACATTCTATATGTCTTAAATAACAAATTTTTTAACTAAAATCTTAATTTAAAATTCTCAAAACAATCAATGAACAAATATAAACTAATTAAAATTTCTTAATAATGTATCTTTAAATTTCTACAGTCATATATTGTCAAAACTCTATATTTAATCCATACGGTAAAATTTTCTCTAAACATTATAATAAAACTAATAATATAAAACTCTAAATATATAGAAAATAGTCATTAAAAAATTTAATAAAAAGAAGTATATTTGTGTACATAATAATTCCTAAATCTTGTCTTATTTTTTAAAGGGAAAAGTAATCTGCAAGTCCTTATATTTTCATTCTGTTTTTAATCAGGTCCCTCTAAATTTTTTATTTTTTATTAGATCCTTGAAGTTATCTCTGTTAGAAGTGTTAATCCTTCCGTCTAGAACTGTTAAAAGACGGCCTCAAACAACGTTAAGACATGGTGAGTTGGCTGAAAAGCATCCAGGTGTTAAAGAAGGATTGGACAAGTATTATCCTTTGACCCAAACGAACTCTAGTGGCCAATGAGTCTCTCCCTTCCGTAAGCGTGTGGGCAAGGTATGATTCGGTATGAAATTGTAAACAATGAAGTTTTTGTTCTCCTCCTGTATATATAATCCTCTCAGACCTCATGGATATTTTTGCATCACCCTTCCAAGTACTTCCACTTCCACTGCAAATTTCATCATTGTTGCTCCGATCGTCATCTTCCGTTGCTTCACTACTATCTAAAATCATGTACATATATATATATATATACATATATGTATGTATGAATGTTTAATCATTGAATATGGCTTAGTTATAGAAATCAGAATGAAAGATGCAAGATATATGAATATTATATATACTTATTCGATCCCCATCAACACTTCCAAAGCCACCATATCTTCTGGTTTTTTAGAAGAATTTCCATATCACGGCAATCATTATCTCCAAAGCACAAAAACTTAAACTGCAAAGCGCTTTTTCGAGTGTCGAGATGGCTTTGAGCATATTTTGAGCATTGTCACCCGAAATTGCCGTTCAACGCAGTCATAAGATGGGAGAAACTTCACAAGTGATACTGCATCAACATCCAACGTGCGCCTAACTTGTCTGTTGTTTGGTTCAACTCCTCTTGGGTGGGATGGATTAGATGGAGATGGGCCTCTCCCTTGTCAAGCCGGATAATGATCCTGATGATAGCTCCAGCAACTTGAATGATGATAAGGGTAATGATATACTTGGAGAGCCGGAAACCCTAATGGCAATGGCGGAAAGGAGAAATTTTACTTTGAAGTGAAATCACTCAAAGCAGAAATGACTGTCACATCAAAAACCCCAAATGCTGGAGGCTAAAGGAATGGGGACCATCGGAAGATTGCTACGAACATTCATGGAATATGGTCGCCGTCATGGCCTCACTTCAACGGCCGTTAGGAGGCGTCTTTTGTGTTTTAATAGTTTTTAGACTGAGGGATTAATTCTTGTGACAGAAATAAGTTTAAGGATCTAATAAAAAAGAAAAAATTTAGAGGGACCTGATTAAAAACTGAATGAAACTAAAAGGATTAGCAGATTACTTTTTCCTTTTTTAAATAGCACATACTTTTACTTTCTTTTGATTTTCCTCTACCTTTCGCTCTCTCATTCTCTCCTCTCACTCTCGTTTTTTTTCTACCTCCCACTCTCTTTTATTCTATCACTACTCCATCTTCCAACCACTTCTTTTCCCCTTTTTTCTTCCTCAATTAATACTCCTCCCCCAAATTCTCCCTTCTTAAATTGCTTGAGCTTTTTCACGGAATTCAATGGAAAAGCTGGTTGTTGTTGTTTTTTTTTTTTTTAATTTAATAATAATAAAATATTTTTTTATTTTTTTAATTACAAACTTTTTTCTAAAAAAAATAGTATGTTACACTAACCAATTTAAGGGATTAAAATATATTTTATAAATTAAAAAGTTAAATTGAAAGTTAACATAAATTTAAAAAATCAAACGTATATTTAGCTCAAAAAAAAAAAAGCAATATCCACAAGCAAGTTGAAAAATATTGATGGAGTGGTCCCTTGGTCAAATGTACAGCCAATTCAGGAGAAGTCACCTTACGATGAGCAAGACCAAGCCGTCCCCCTAAACATCCAAAAGTCACTTTCTCGCATAAAGCCCGCCTTCCTTCGCTGTTATAAATACTGTGGGTGTGCGCGTGCGAGTACGTGTGCGTTAGTGCGTATTACTACACTTCCCCAAACGTCCAGCACCTTCCTTTCTCATTCCTTGCGTTTTTAGACGGTGAGTTTTGCTCTCCTTTCTCTTCTCCTGTTTCCGCATCTGATCTCTTGTGTTCTTCTCTGCTCTTGATTGATTCATTCGGCGATTTTGTTTACTTTTGTAATCGAAGCTAAAATACTTGTATGTGTTTCTTGCGATGCCTGATTTTTTTTAATTACCAACGGTTTTGGCTTTTGTTATTGTGTATCGCCTGGTTCTCTGTGGATTGTTGAGTATTGATGATCCTATGGACAATTTTGTTGTTGTCTTGAGCTTCTGATCGATTTCCAGTTCCTCTATTTCTACGGGGTTATTACTGCTTTTGCTAAACCAAGAGGTGCAAAAATCGTGGCATGTTTATTTGATGATCTAGATTCTTTGAAATTCATAAATTTGATTCAGTTGCAAATATTGTTGTGCTTTCACTCTTCCAAACCTCTGGAAAGCTGGCTTCTTGAACAGTGGCACAGTCAGGATCATGATTTAGGAGTTGACTTGATGGCGATGATTGCTTAACAAATAATATATATAGGCGGGAAATGACACGATGAGAGACTAGAAGGGTCCTTTCATTGTTAAGAATCTTATTTAATACTACGTCCAATCTTATATAAAAACCAGTTTGACATTCAATTTGATCGTAAATATAAGACAAAATCTATTTTGACTATCATATTTATCTTTTTTTTTCAAAGTACTCTTTGTAATAATTTCATGTTAAAAGTTTTATTAAATGATAATTCTAACTAATATACATGATTAGTGAAGATATTTTAGGAAAAACGACACGTACGAGTAGCTCTTATTGATAAGAGCTAACTGGCTGATTTGAATAATTAAAAAAACTAGTTAGGTTAGTTATTTGTGATACACAAGTGTTGTCTTTTTTAAAATATCCTTACTATCAAGTATATTAATTAAAACTACCATTATTACAAGAATTATCTTTTAAAAAAAGAAGATAAATATAAGAGACAAAGTGGATTGAGATTTTATATTTATAATCAAAATAAAAATAAAACAAGTTCTATTAATGACAGGAGGTAGTAATTAATGCAAGCTTTTCTTGTCCTGTTCTGGAAGTGACCACTCTGTGAAATATTTAGAATTCTGAGTTATTAGCAAGTTTAGCTATAAAAATACTGTATTACTTGCGATGGTGTGTGGACAATTAAGTTATAACAAGACAGTGATAGAATAGTATAAAGAAGAGTAGTTACCATTGCTTGGTTGTTGATTGATAGCGGTTGCCATTGCATTTTATGAGTTCATAAACGTTAGTATGGTAGGTCCAACTTGATGATATGATTGACAAGGCCACATTTCTGAATCACGGATTAACCTTCTTGATTCTATCAACTGTAACTAAGTAATTCTCTTGTGTGTTTCTATTTGTTTTTATCCGAGAAGGACAAATTGTCTAAATTGATATGGATTCAGGTGCAAGATGTCAGTTGTGAACGTGTCCAATGTGAGAGTTCCAGCAGCTTCCTTGCCCAGAACCCCACCCACAAGGAGATCTTGCGCTCTTTTTAAGAGTGGGTCGTCCTTAGGCTCTGTGAAGAGTGTTTCTAAGCTTTTTGGGTTGAAATCTGAATCCTTCAGAGTTTCTGCCATGGCTGTGTACAAAGTGAAACTGATTGGACCTGATGGCAGTGAGAATGAGTTTGAAGCTCCTGATGACTCTTACATTCTGGACTCAGCTGAAAATGCAGGGGTGGAGCTGCCTTACTCATGCAGAGCCGGCGCCTGCTCTACGTGTGCAGGCCAAGTGGTTACAGGATCAGTGGACCAATCAGATCAATCCTTTTTAGATGAGAAGCAGATGGAGCAGGGATATATTCTGACCTGTGTTTCATATCCAACCTCAGATTGTGTGATTCACACCCACAAGGAGAGTGAGCTCTGCTAATCAAATTTATGGTTTTGATTAGTCTTATATGAGCTAGAATATGTGTCAGTCTAGTAAGGAATTGTGAGATTGTTCTGGTGCTTGTACTAGTTTCCCAATGATTTTATAATGATCTTGAGATTGATCCCAGAATATGTTGGGACTGCAACTTCGTCAATATTAATAAAAGTCGTGATCAATCGTAGAGTCCGCGGTATTATTTTAGTGTTCTTGTTATGGCCTATTTATTGAATGAACGAGTAGTTCAACCATCTTATTTTAATAATTTCATATTAAGGACATTCATAGAGCTGGACGATGTGGTTGTCATTTGAACATTCCAAGTATGATACCGTTGAAATATTATCATCGTATGCTATATGTTTCATTGTTTTGTAACATGCTTGAGTAATTAAATACTTGACCGTTGCTTTATTAACATAAATTTTATAATAACGATCATTTAGTTGACATGCCTCATTCTTTTTTTTTTTTTTGGCCCACACATACTTCATTCCTACCAAATTTGTTATAATAATTTTGTAATAAAAGAACTTCGATTACATAGAGGGGTCCGTTTATTGCCAAGTTTTCAACAAAAAACGTAACATGTGAATTTTTTCAAATTTTTGTGGGCAATTTTTTGTTTAAAAATATTTAACGATTTGTCATTGAGCTGTAAGGATTAAAAATAAGCATATTTTTACATGTTTTTTTGTATTTAATTATTTTTTAGGGTATCACAATCTCTATGTTGAGAATTATAATTAGTGGGTTATTCTAACTCTTCAGTAATAACATATGATTAAATATATAATCAATCGATGTAAAATTTAATAATTCCAAGAAATATATATTGTATGCTGTTATATTTATGAACTTTTGATTTTATATTAATTTTCTAAAAAAAATACATAAACAATTCTCAAAATTATGTCCCGCCAGAAAAGAGAACCCCATTAAGTACGTTCCCGCCCTTTCTTTCTCCATTCCTCACTGAACACCGTCGAGGCGGCCACGGGAAAGAACGCGATCGAGTTCCCGGTTTTTGCATCGGTCACAGGTAAGAGAGTCTGTGTTCCCTTCTGCTTCGAAAATGTCTTCTCTTTCTCTGAATATTTTTGCATTGCGATCTTCTTGCTAACGTTTCTTTCGGGTTGATTTTATTTAAATTCATAAAGTTAATCTTCTCAGAAGTTCCTCTTCCCATCATTTTCTTCCTTTTGAAAGTTGTTTGGTTTTGAATGTTTGAATTGTTGATTGTTTGTGAAGTCCTGATTTGATTCGTTCACCGGAAAAAGGGGGAAAAACAAGGGTTCTGTTTTGGCTTTTGATTCAGATCCTTTGAAAGGAGACTGGCTCTGACATCGAATTATGGGTTCGGGTTTACATCATCCTTTTGATTTCAAGACACTGCCTTTGTGCTGTGTTTTGGTTTTTTCCCCTATTTTCATGTGAGATGTGTCTGATGAATTGTGGATTCTGGCTTTTCTTCTTTGCACTTGTTCTATTTGTGGAAATTCCTGTATGACTGTACGACTCGCGATTCTTCTTTCTAGATTTTTTCATCCTTTTTTTTTAATTTTTTTTTTAAGGTTCAACGTAATCTGATATGGTTTGGAGCAGATTTTTGAATCATATCAACAAATTGCTCAATATTTTCTATTTTCTTACCAACACAAGGAAAATCAGCATAACAACGTCAAAGCAATCATGTCACTGAAAAAAAAAAAAAAGAGAGAGAGAGAGAGAGAACAACAACAACAAAATCATTTACCCTTACTTCTATTTGGGCATGTTTTCATGATATATTCAACATGTCATTAGACAACTTGCGTAGAGCTCCATCTCAAGCCGTTATTGTTTAACTAGTAGACGTGTTTCGGGATTTTCATCATCATAATTAAAGCATTAGAGTAAGAATCACGAGATGCATTTCATGGTGAAAAAGATTGCCCTGTCTCCGTGGAACAACGAAATGCATCAAGGACATTAGACCTTACCTACTTCTTTTCACTTGGATTGCTTCCTGATTTCAGGCCATGGACACGTCAAATCCTGCAGCATTTGTAAATGCGGAGTTGCTTCCCAATTTCATAGGGAAGAAAGTTCGAACCGTGGTTCAAGTTCATCAATCTGATGGTGGTGTTGCCGTTGGAAAATCCACAGATGACCGTCAGCTAACTGTGAAAGGATTGCCACAGGTTCCTGCTATGAATTATGTTGAGGTGATTGGTATTGCAGAGAGCGGCCAATTGATTAATGCTGAGATATGGACTGACTTTGGCAACACATTCGGTATGAAGCCCTATTAAACGTTTTTGACTTTTCATTTCCTTCGCTATAAACTTTTATTTTTCATGATGAGTTTTAAGTTGTTAATTACTGCAGAAATCTTAAGAACTAAGTTTGATTGTATTGTACTCATCTAAGCGCGTAAAGTCATTGATAATATAGAAGCAAGTCAGTCCAGTGTTCTTTTTTCTTTATACCTAGTTCTATCATCGGTACTAACAGTGCCATTATGCTAATACTGATGATCGAAAGCGGAGAAATCTCTTAATAATATTCAAGCAACTCTATGGAGTGGGTTTTTTTTTCACTAAATGCATTTTGAGATTATAGTGTGATTGAAAAAACTAGAGCGACAATCTCAATATGCATGTATTGGTGCAAAGGCTCAATCTTTCAAGGCAAAACGAGAAATTCTTAAATAAATTCGGACTTCAAAGTATATAGGTCAGATCTTATCATCAGTATATATATAGATCAGATCATCTATAAATAGACATGCGAACACAGTATTTACTTTTGGCATAGTTTTTTTGTCATTCGCTTGTCTTGATTATTTTTGGGGGATCAGATCAATTTAAGGATTTCTTGAGGAGAACATTTCGTGACTCCAGGAAATTACCCGATATTTTTGTTATCAATATTCATAGTATTTGAAAATGATTACTCATGCATCATGATGCTTGATACATCCAACTCATGTCATTGCCTATGTATATTGATTTTGATGTTCCCTTCTTTGCAGACACTGGCTCGTATAATAAATTATGCCAACTCGCAAATGGGGAATTCAGAAGTCTGTTTCTGTAGAGACATTGACAGATGCTGAAGAGCCTATGATGGTAAGGAGTTGCAGCTTTCAAGCTAAAGCGCACCTTCTATCATCTAAGTGGCATATGTTTGAAGTATTTATGAGGACTGAGGAATGTTTTTGTTCCCAGAAAAGTAATAGATCAATGCATAGTAGGAAGTCTGTCCCATATTTGGAGTTCTATTAACTTATCACTTTGCTATATATAACGTTTAGTTTTTATTTGATTGTGGTTGCCCTCTTTTTTAAATGTGAAATCAGTTTACTGTCGCACGAAACACAATGTTCAAGATTAGGGGAAAAACTGCCGAGTGTGTAATTTTGGTACTGACATACACATCAAAATTGATAATTGGCAACAATGCTAAATTTGTTTGGAAAACTTTAGAATAAACTGAAATAAGCTTCCTCACATTTTACAAGGCAAAATCAAAATAAGTTAATCCAGATACATACTTAGCATCAAATCATATAATTTTAATGTTTGTTTTCAATTGTCTTTTTCAGTACAATTACGGATACAAACTGATTTAGCTGTGATGTAGTTTCTATGATGGTAGTGGTGAGTTAAGAAAGCGGTAAATCTTGGCAGGACTAGTGGATACTCGGATCTATTAATTATGAAAAAGTTCGTCTTTTTTATAATCAGAAATTAATAGTGGAGAACAGATAGAGTAATGGTGAGTGGGTGTGTGAATATTTAATGTTTTATGATTTTGTATTTTACAAAGCTTGTGTTGATTTTATTTTATTTTTTTGTTTTGTTTCTTCTTTACGAGCTCCACGAAGAAAGGGACTGGCTGTCGCATTCTTCCCCATCTACTAATCCCTTATCATGCGGGGGAAGTAGTCCCCTTTGTGAAAGAAACATGCCAATTTTCCACAATAGTGATGTTTGTGATAATGCCTTTTCCAATAGCAAATGGCATTTCCAGGTTAATGAAACGACAAATGGAAGAAACATGATACAGCTAACTTGACATTTTAATTTTGAGTTTTCATGAGGCAATATTTAATAAATGAACTATAATTTATGGAAATTAGGTTCCACTAATAAAGTATAGAATTGGAGAAAATCTACTTTAAAATGCAAGCCCACCAATATACAATAGCTTTTCCTTCTTCCAAGATATACCTTCAATTTTTTTGACCGAAAGAGAGATGTATCTCAAACTTCAGAAATTAGAAGTTTCCCATCGTCATTTTTTCACAAAAATATAAAAAGTAGGCCTCTTTATTTTCAAGGGAAAATTTCAGTTAGTCCCCTCCAAAGTGATCTAATTTCCAACAGTCCTTATAAGATTCTGAAACTTCATTTTAACCCCTACGGCCAAAATAAAATTAAATTTTATAGATGAAACTACGCCCTTGCATTATATTTTTTTTTTTTAAAAAAATCAACCTTGCTTGAGTTTCTCTAGCCAAAGAAGTTTTTTTTTTTTTAAAAAAAAAAGATGGCTGAAGGATTTGAACCCATAACCTCTTGGCATAATAAAAACATTATAACTACCAAATCATCTAATCTATTTAATAAAGCAACGAAAATATATATCATAAAACAAATGCAATTATCCATGTGTAATTGAACAACTGAAATAAGACAATTCACAATATATACTAGACAATTTACAAGTAGTATATAAGAATTCACAACTTTATCTGAGATCATGTGGAATAAAAAATTAAATGTTAAGGTTTGTATGAATAACTGAAATTAAACTATTTACAACACAAATTAAGTAATTTGCAAAAGATTTATCAGGGAACATTGACAATAAATGGCATTTCAAGGTTAATGAAAGGATAAATGAAAGAAACATGATACTGCTAACTGGACATTCTAATTTTGAGTTTTCATGAGGCAAAATTTAATAAATGAACTATAATTTATGGAAATTAGGTTCCACTGTAATTTGAGAAAAATATACTTTAAAATTCAAGCCCAGCAATATCGAATAGCTTTTCCTTCTTCCAAGATATGCCTTCAAATTTTTTTGACCAAAAGAAAGATGTGCCTCTAACTTCAGAAATTAAAAGTGTCCCATCTTCATTTTTTCAGAAAAATATAAAAAGTGAAGCTCCTTATTTTCACTTCATATTGATTTAGCAGGTTCTATATTTCCCCCTTCTACTTTTCTCTCTCTACTTAACTTTTAATTGTTTTAAGGATCCAAAGTTTCCCTTTCCCCATCGAAATTTTTATTCTTATATCCTCAAAAGATTGCTGTTAAGAAGGAACAATTTCTAATTCAATCCCTCTCTTTGTCATGTTTCATTATGATGGGAAGAGGTTTAAAAAAGAGAGAGTAAAGAGAGAAAATAACTCAGAGGTTGCTTGATTATGTTTTGTTAATGGGTGATTTATTATAAGCGGGGGAATGAACTGGGATATAATGAAATGAAAATAATGTTAGTGGACATGAGGGGGAATGGCAACCAAAGAATGAGAGGATTGGGGGAAGGGACAATATAATGAATTGAGACTTATTTCCTTCCATTTTTGGAAACGCCATTTCCATGTTTATGGGAATGGTGCTTCCATAGGAGAGGGCAATATTGTGTTTCCATAGAAAGCTCATTTTCATGTGAAATACTCCTCCAGTCCTAAATATAAGACTTTTATACTAATGTGTATAAGGGTCTTACATTTAGGACCGGAAGAGTAACTAATTATTTAGTTCATGTAGTTTTAATTCAATTACATGCAACTCAATCCTTAAAGTTTAATTTGATGCAGTTTAATTTCTGAATTTTTTTGTCGCAATTCATATACACATAACTCTTATAAAGAATCCGAACTCACAATCACACGTTTAAGAAAGACTTAAAAGTTTTAATCATTTAATTTTTGGTTTCTAAACTAAAAAAAAAAAAGTTAAGGTAACCAGTCAAATTTTAGAGATTGGATTATAATTAAATCAAAATTATAGAGGCAAAAAAAAAATCATTTTCTTTGATCCTATATAACTTTTGACGAAAATGTGCCTCACCTATTTCTCTTCTACACAAAATCACAAATCACAGTCATCAACTCATTATTATTCTCCGTCACCATCCTCTCACCACAGTCCGTATATGTCATCACAAAATATGGATGGATGTGGAAAAGTCTTCCCAATTCTAACTTTAACCATCATCATCATTCAGATGCATTTTCCATTTAAGTGATTATATCTTTTTTTTTTTGGAGGACTCATTATATCTTCAACGCCTACTTATTAGAAGACGGCGGCCTCTAACTCTAACTTTAACTTGTCCCCCCTCGTGATTCGTCCCTATACATAGATAATTTCTATAACAATATTTTCATTCACTGCATTTGTTAATTTTACGAAAACTAGATAAAGCAACTGAAATTAGATGCTGGATTCTTTTTAATCAAATTGAAGATATTAAAAGAAAGAATGAATTGATTTTCTATCTTTAATTTTAAAGCAGTTTTCCATCAGAAGCACTGATATTAATACCCACAATTATTGTAGCAGTGATAAACCAAATCATATAAACTAGTTTATGCATCCTATATGTATAGTCACACAAATATATACACTACGATTTGATTAAATTATAATATTATGATGAATTCTTGTGGCTCAGAAATAGTGGCTTCAGCTTCCAACTGCTGGCCGTCAGACAAACCCATTTCCAAAAGATTCCACAATCTTCATTATTTAACACACGGACCACTACCTTACCAGTAATCACAATGCTCTCGTTTTATAAAGCTACTTTTTTCACTCAAGATAAGGATCAAATAATTACAAACTATGGATTTTTTTTTTCATATATCAATACTTTTTATTTGTAATTGATGTAATCTGTTGATTAAATTAATCCTAGGCTCTGCTTTTGCAAAGATTCTACACCAAAAAAATCATATTTAAACAGCAGTTTTGCCTGCCATTATCTATCTCTCAGTGCTGCAAGACCTTCAAGACTCAAGCTTTCAAGGAAACGAAAGATCATTGAGGAGGTGACGCAGATCATCTGCATCTGTATGAATCTCTGAAAAAAAAAAATCAAAAAACAGGCAAATGGGTGTCAGAGAATTGGGATTTTCTATTATCTTATTCATGCTTCTTCTTCATTCTGTGTCCCCTTCTCGAGTTCAGAAGAGCTTGACTTCAGGTACTGTTCTTATCAAGCATATACATATCTTACCCTTTTCTCTTCACTACAGATGCAGTCTTGCAAAACTTGCAAGTTATCTGCTAGTGACCATCTCATAGTAAATGTTATAATAGAGATTTGAGACAAACATCATATCTGCAGAAAGTGATTTCTTGCCAAGAGATCCTTCAGAAAGTAAATCAGTCATTGAAGGAAAGATGACTGGGAATTCTGTTATTTAGTTCACGCTATCACATCATGTTATTGTGTGTTTCACCTGCATATAGACCATCTGGAATTATGGCAAGAAGACGGGTGAGTAGTTGCAGATTCCGTAGACTTGATCGTTGTTAGAAGAAATCCTGTTTTAAGGTATTAGGGAGGAATCTTTTTGAGTGACTTTGAATTTGTGCGGTAGATCATTGTGCTTTCTTGTCGCCCATTAATCAAGGTATCATACGCTAGCTCTTGCTGAAATTGACAAGGCATCAGAACTATAGATTCTGAACAGTCAAACTAAAAGTTTCTGTAGTTAATGTTCATATGCCTTCCTTTTCCCGAGAAAGCTGTTCTTTTGAGAGAACCCAATACCCCAGTATGTATCCCTACCTTCAGTATTGCCTTTTCAGCATCCTACTACAGCACGTCCACATTTCAATCAATGAATTATATCAAACTGCAAGTTTTTTGTCTTCTTTTTCAAAATACAGGTAGACCCAGTCTTTTTCTTGTTATTATGCCAGTTTCCTTCTGAAGCACATGAAGCAAACAAAAAAGAGTGCGTCTAAAATTGTGATGCTTACCTTGTCTGCAGAATTGATGCAGAAAAGCAAGGTAGAAGAAGACAGACATGTTTATGGAGGAAGTAAGATAGAAGGAGGAGGCATTGGTCATGGGGGTACAAGTGGTGGCAGAGTACCCAGCAATGGTGAAAATGGTAATACACACGGAGGTGGTGCAGCAGTCATCCCTGTTTATGCAGCCGGTGCCGCCAACCATCATCACAACCACCGTGGAGCTGCCACCGGCAACCTTAAAAGACTCGGGTTTCCTACTTTGATTATGATGGTCATGGGGGTCTTTACTCTTGTACAGTTATGTTTGTTCACATAGAAAACGAAAGCTATTGGCGAAAGTTATTTGGTTTCTCAAACCTTTTTGGTTCTTCAGAGTTTTTTTTTTTTTTTTTACTCCAAAATGTTTTACTGTGTCAATGTACTTCAATGTGGTGTGTCTGGTTTGGGATGTATCTGCTTAATTTTATTTTTTTTGGGAATTAAAGGCAACGCAAAACGCCAAAAAAATTACCTAGTTACTGGGAGTCTAGAGTTCGAATCTTCGAAGAGAAAAGCTCTACACCCTACAGAGGAAATACTGATGATGATAATTTTAGCATTCATTTGATAATTTTGGCAAGTCAAAGATCATCTGCTTGATTTTAATCGCTTGATTTTAAGCCAAAGAATTGAGCTGTAGATTATAATAAAAGTATTCATTTGGCCCTCACAAACAATACTTATATTTATTAAATAACAGAAATATAATAGACATCTAAATGATCGAATGGTTTAGTTAAGCTGAAAATTGACTGAATCACTTTTATATAAGCTATGTTGCTTAATCAGCCCACAAATTACACGCGACTAATATAAAATCTTATCAAGATGAATCTAATGACATACAAAGTGTCTGTGAAGAAAGTCTCTGAACTCGTTGCATGCTTCATGTAACTTAACTAAGAAATTTCTAAAAATGTTGCAGAGAAATCTACCTATCAAAATTAGGATCAGAAATCAGTAACAATCTCAAGCTTCCGAGTCTGGAAAAACCTACTGCGACCTTTGCCACTTGATTCTATTTCTTCACTTTTTCTCTTGGTCGTGGTGAAACCTACATTTCTTAATTTCAATTGCCGCTTGCCACTGTTGCTACCGCCTTCCCCTTCTTCTTCCATTTTATCAGATTCCCTACAACATAATTACCAGTGTGAATGAGGAAAGACTAGCATAAACAATCCCCACATAAAGCTTGTAACACAGAAGATACAAAACGTATGAAAAAGAGGAAGGAGTAACATGAATAAATGGCCATAAAAATGAATGGAATTTCATCCTGCGACCTACTAAGAGGGATCCAAAGGAAATAAGCCCATAAAGAATTCAAGTCCAGCTTCTGCTTTTTTTAATCTTTTCAATCCCAAAAAAGATTAGAGAGGGAGGTTGGTGAGGAGAGAATGAAAGCTTGTACTTATTAAATAGAGAGAGAACAACTCATGAAACCCATAAATTTTCTTAAAATTCATAAGCATATAGTGTCCTGCTGCAAGAACTTAACGACAAAAGCAAATTATACGAAGAGATGTCGGTTTGAATTTGAGACGGCAATAAAATGTTGCAGCCCCAAAAATATTGTCATGTAATCGGTCTGCGTAAATTGGGAGGCTGACCATGAGTTAGTTTCTTCCCAGGAAACAGATTCAATTACTTCCCTCCAAAGACGGTTGCAGGGTAGAGGCAACCCCAATATATGCTTCAGCCTTCATCCTTTCCCCTCGACTCTACCATTTCTACCATTACTTTCTATCCCACCCCTTGTTTTACAACAAGCATTTGTAAACTTTCTTCATGCCTATGACAATTTCTACACATTTATTTGGTTTGAATATGAAACTTTAATAGAAATTAAAGTTACAGAGAAAGAAATAAATCAAGCTGATGTCAACAAGAAAGGCAACATTCATAACAACATACCAAATGACCATTTGTATTGCTGGAAATAAAAGAACTCCAAGATAGATGTTGGAATTCTTTTCATAAACATAAAAATCACACATCCAGGATGCTACCCAGCCATTTTAATGATAGCAAATACTCAATTCACCGCTACTTTGTTCACCGCCTTATATGGGGCACAGATTGCAGCTTGGATGGTGAGATATTTACATAATTAGTGGTAATATGCAAACATAATAATATGAATGCGTTAACAAATACGAAGGGCAACAAACTCATGGATCACATGCTATATATAAAGATTTCTGAAAAGATGTAGATTTCTGACTGACCATGAGACTTCCACAATATCTTTAAAATATGTAGTGCAGGTTCCCCAGCTGAATCTGACCAAGGTTGGGAATCCAAAGACAGAATGTTTGTGATGTTCTAACCAGGATTTGGTTTGGGGGTCTGTGCAAATGAAAATATACCCAGGCTTTTCATAAGCAAAATAATCTTGCGATAGATGAAGAACATATATTCATCAAGACAAGAACATAGCTTGAGATGGACTCATGTCCTTCTCACCTCCAGGATATCCGGACCCAAAGTTCCTGTGCATGTTTTCAGCAGTCTCATCAAGCACCCATTCACGCAAAGCTCGGTCTCTTGTGACCTAAATAGTAAAAATTAAAAAAGTTGATGCTTGTGCGCTAACAGATTTTGCACCATAAGTAATAAAAAGGAAGACCAGTACCTTAGCAACTATGCTAGCACCACTCACAACAGGATAGAGACTATCAGCCTTCTTTGCAACCACAAATTTAATAGATGGAAAATTTTTTGATAGCATAATTTCATATTTTCCTGGATCTCCAACGGTATCTATATAGACCTGAAAAGCATAAACAAAATTTTGCTTACCCTTTTATTTACTAATTGCGGTACATTTGCATTAACGTGACATCCCAAAAAACATAACAGTGATAAACGCATGCTTCTGCACTCAAATTATCCTCAAAATCTGCAAAAAGATATCCCTAAAAGGAACTTTGTAAAGAAGAGTGTATGCAAGAGCTTCTGCTTCAGGACTTAATAATCATTTAATTCATTCTTAATTGATAAGTGGTTGTAGAGGATTTGAATATCAAGTTGCAACCTAGGAATTTTTCTAAAAAGGATGATGGTTTTGAAGTATGCTGGATATATTAATAATACCTCATTGACCTTAACTAATAGCCTATCCTCCATGTTGGATGTGATTCTTAACATGATACCCAAGTCTCAAGGACCAAGTGGTCAAAAGTTTGATCCTTGCCACCCATTTTTCACAATTAAAATTGAAATTTCAGCACCAAGTAGGTCAGTTCAAACTTAGTCTGCACTCCAGCCCAGGGGTCCTTCACATGAAGAGGAATACTAGATATATTGGTCAAACCAATCATCATCCTCCACTGAACATCTAAAGGTTTTGGGCAGAGTATTACTTGAGAAAGTACACAGGTAATGAAAGAATCGCATAGAAAGATGAAAAATAAGATTGGAATACACAGAAATATGAGAAAAAGGAAGAATAACATCAACCAAGTTTTCAACAGTCTGTGCAACTGCTACATGCAATTAAAAGAAACTAAAATTGATTAATCTTTCCTTGAAAGACACGAACTATAGTTCAGTTAACTTGTATTTGATATTGAAAAAAGTTGAGCAAAGTTTTACCTCAGTCAGAAGAACTCCCATCTTCAGTACCCTATCAATCAAGCCCATTGCAGATTGATGCGATATCTCATTCAGGTTTATCTTGTTCCTGTTAAAACCATGACAAGGAAAGACCTTAAGAAAAGAAAATCATTGTAGAACTAATGAAGAACTAAGTTATGTTCGATTCACCTCTTCAACATTTTAGCTGAGAGTTCCCTTGGGTCTAAGACATCAACTGCCCATCCAATCGATTCATTTCCCTTTAGATTATCAAATAATTCTTCCCTCTTCTCTTCTTTTAGCGTCTTCGAATCTGCACCAGAAAAGTGGCAAACGATAATACAGAAGCCCAGTGAAATAAAAAACAACAGAACATTAATGCCCTAATTTGCAACGCAGTTTTGTAAATCATATGTGTCCATGCATGAGCACTGGTTAGTCTTGAATTCTGTTTAAAGCTATTGTTCAAACCCAAAATTTTTTTTTTTGAGCTACCAATCCCCAAGAAAAAAAATCCTGTTATTGTAATTTGAAGTTTTGATTACGTCTTTATTGGATAATTAACTTAGATATCACTAAGTCGGCATGACTAGACCATATCGACGATCTATCAGCATCCCAACAAGAATTGCATCTTATTACAAATTTCACTCGACTTCTGGAGACCAAATTTCTAAGAATTCCAGCAGTGCCACATAGGCATTCAATTGACTTTTACAAGGAAAATGAGATACTAACCGTTGCAATAATTAGGATAGGGGGTTGCCACATTTCAGTGAGTCTTATGAAAATTATGATTATTATATAAAAGCTTTCATCTTTTCCTTTGTATCCAAAAAAAAAGGCTTTCAACTTCAGCTCTATCATCATTCTTCTCGCACAACAATCACCGGCATCACATGATCACCACAAAGTGAACAAAAGAGTTGAGGCTGAACTTACCAGCAAAACTCAAAGTTGCGAGGGTCTTCTGATAGGAGCGAGCACAATACAAGCATCCATACACCATAGGCCCTGAAATTTTTCCCCGAAATGACAGAACAAGAATCCACTATGAAATTCAGATTTTTTTAAAATACAAAAATCGAAAACCCAAGCTCAAAAAGCTGAATTGTAATGGGAAAAAAAAAAAAACAGTAATCAGTTTGAGAAAGAACCTAAAACGGGTCCTCGGCCAGCTTCATCGATTCCCATGATACAAGGCTGGGATGCCCATTTCGGGAGAAGGGTCGCTTCAGAGCCCATTGCGAGTTTCTTCCCGGGGTTATTCGGCGACTCAGGATATGCCCGAGCTTTTTAGTTTCCCGCCATGAAGATATCACCCGCGAGTCTAGTCTCTCGCCTCCCGAGCACAAGATACCCGTCATCAAACTCCGCCATAGAAGAATGGAATATGTTTACTTTATCAAAAAAAAAAAGAAAAGAAAAATGAGTGGAATATGTTTATGTCAAATTTTATTTATAAATGGGTAGGATGACTAATAATTTTCTGAGAAAATATATTTGCAGGTCTTTATAGTTTGATCAGATTTTGAATTAGGTCCTTATAGTTTTTTTTTTTTATTGAATCGTTGTAGCTAATTTTGTTAAATTTACAAGTCCTTCCGTGACTAATGTTGCAAACGCTGTTAACCCATAATAGTAAAGGATGATCTGGCAGCGCGTTCTCTCTCTCTCCTCCCCCAACTTTGTGTGTCTCTCTCAATCACCTTTCGCTCTCATATGTTAAAGATAACCACGATGAGCTTGATGACACCCAAAAGGAGTGAAGAAGGACTGCCTTTTCGATTGGTTCTACTCCTCATCAACATGAACACTCTGCTTCTATGTGGTTATAAGTTTGATTACGCCAAGACTGAGTATAATGAGAATTGGCATTCAGCATTGTACCCATGGCAATTTTTTCGGCGAACTTCTATGCCCACTTTCATTAGCACCGTTGCTTCTGTCTTTTGTTATACATAAGCAAGATTTGATGAATTCAGGTCTTAGAGAAAAACTAATTGCCATATATATATATATATATATCATGGATCATGGAAATACGATAAATATGAAACTTGCCAAAAACACAATGTGCTAGCTCAAGTAGACTAGAATTAGAGTGATATGAAAAGGAGGTTATATATATGCCAGAAATATTATTACAAAGTGAAGAAATAAAGTCTAAGATGCGGAAAAAATTTCATCAATTCCTCCCATAAGACTCTGATCAAAGCTTATTCTTTCTGATATATTATAACAGCATAGAAGCAACGTGCCCATGTTGATGAGGAGTAGGACCAACTGAAGAGGCAGTCCTTCTTCACTCCTTTTGGGTGTCATCAAGCTCATCGTGGTTATCTTTAACATATGAGAGCGAAAGGTGATTGAGAGAGACACACAAAGTTGGGGGAGGAGAGAGAGAGAACGCACTACCAGATCATCCTCTGCTATTATGGGTTAACAGTGTTTGCAACATTAGCTATGGAAGGACTTGTAAATTTAACAAAATTAGCTACAAGGATTCAATAAAAAGAAATAAAACTATAAGGACCTAATTCAAAATCTGATCAAACTATAAGGACCTGCAAATATATTTTCTCTAATTTTCCTTATGTTTGAAACGATAAGATCGGCATGGTCAACCAAAAAAAAAAAACAATAAGATCAACGGAAAAACGGTAATTTGTTTTTCAAACAAAATTTGTAAATATATATATAAAGTATTTAAAATGAGAAATAAAAATATTAAATCTAACAATAAGACATAAATGAAAAATATTCTCCTTCTATTTGAATTTATAAACTATTTTTTTAGAAACCCTTCATATTTTTATTTATAAGTTATTGTGAAAAATCCATGAAATAAGTACTATTTTTAATATATTTAAAAAAGTGGTCATCTTATTAAAACTATTTTAATAGATTTATTAATTTTAATTATATTTCCTGATTTATATGAAAATGATTAGTTATTTTTTTATTAAAAAAATTCAAAAAAAAAGTTTACAAAAATTTTAGATAAAGAGTTGGGCTCAGTCTCAAGTAGAGCCAGTAATATAGACCAACCCGTCAGTTATGGGTTGGTCCGTGACGGGCTCAAGGACTGACGGGCCGATCCTAAAAAGATCGATTTTTGGTGGGCCGCTACTTTTTTTTTAAAAAAAATTTTGTGCCTTTTGTTTTCTTTTAATAAAATTTATTCTAATTCTTTAACACCTAAAATAAATATGCATATAGAAATTATTATAAATAAAATATGAAATCTAAAGTTCCAAACATTCCAAAATACTACTATAAGCTTATACATCATCCTAAATGATTAAACATACATCCCAAATTAAAACATAACAAATCTAAATTAATAATAATACAAATACAATGTTACAAATCACTATGAGCCACCATTTAATGTTGATATAGTTCAAAAATGATATGAAGACATGAAATTATTTGGTTAAGCTTCATAAGGAGAATCACCTTTTTTTTTTTTTTTTTGCTCAACTAACTTTGCCACAAATAAAATTCATAATACAAAGTAAAAGATATATTACATTATGTTAATTTTAAATAATAAGAATGAGATAAAGGATCAAAGGAGTAAACATAATTATATTTGAGGGAAAAAAAATTTAAAAAAATTAAAATAAAATAAAACATGCCAGCCCCCAACCCTACAGGTTAGCTTGCTACGGGTTCGGTTTTCGTGGTTACGGGCTCAAAAAATCCATTTTAAAACGAGCCTAATTTTCATCAACCCAACCCCCTATTTCTTGGTGGGTTAGGGGGTTGAGCCCGTGTATGACCGGCTATACTCCCAAGTCAAGAATAAGAAAATCAATCTATCACACACAATTCATTCGTTTGTCAGTCACATGCTACCCATGAGGGCCATATTAGCTACTATTTTCGATTCTAAATATAAGAACTAATTGATTAATTTGAGTAGATTAAGGAAATTAGTTAATTTAGTTATTTATAATAAAGATGTGTTGTCTTTTTTAAAATATCTTTACTAATCAAGTTTATTAGCTAAAACTATTATTATTAGAAAGACTATCTTGGAAAAAAATAAATGAATATGAGAGATAAAATATATTAGGATCTTATATTTAGGATCAAATAAAATCTTATATTAAAGATTGGAGTTAGTACGTAAAAATTTAACTTTAAGTGACATGCTCCACTTGGCCGTGAAAACCGTCAGTGTTTGTAGGAATTGATTCCCCCCTCTCTTTTTTTTCCCCCCCTTTTAAATAAGAGTGTCCAACTCTTGGATTTAGGATGAAAAAAGAGTTAAACAGGATGGGAGAAAGTACACCCTGGTTTTATCAAAGGGGAAAAAAGATACCTTGGCTAAACTGGAATCCGAGTGGTGTTGAATAATAGCCACGAACCAATTTCTTAACGGATTCACTTGGTGGAGATTTGGTTGTTTTTGGGTCCAACATATGGTTGAAGGAAAGTGGGCCTATTTTGTTGGGGTTTGATGTCCGTCCACACATCATTAATCCTTTGTCCAGTTCTTCATTTTCATTCTGTTGTCTTTTCATGGACTTGGACTTTGTGCTTTCCTTGGATGCTTCCTACCTTCTCATTTCCTCTAATCCCTTTTCTTCTTTTCCCACATGCCCTCCCGTAAAAATTGACTATTCATTCATTCATTCCTCACCCCAACAAGAAAAGGAAAAATATATCTGTTTGAGGAGCTAAAATCACTGTCCCTTTACAGAAAGGATTAAGCTTCAAAAATTGGGAAAACCACCCCACAGCTTATTTTAATGCATCATATCTCAACATCTTTGTTGGACCAAGACTTTTCAAGATATACTACCTCCAGTTCTAATTATAAGAGCCAGTTGACTAATTTGATGAGATAAAATAAGGAAGTTAAATTATTTATTTGTCATAAATAGGTATTGTCTTTCCTGAAATATTCTTGTTAAATAAGTGTATTGGCTAGAATTACTATTGTTAGAAGGACTATCTTGGAAAAAATATATAAATATTAGAGACAAAGTGGATTAAAATATTATATTTAGAACCAAAATAAAAGTTAAATGATGTCCTATATTAGGGACAGGAGGTAGTATTTATTAGAAGACAGCGTACTAGTTTTCAACATATTTGTTGGAACAAGGCTTTTCAATATATAAAACATAGAGTATGTGTTAGGATATCTGTTCCATTGCAACCAGTTTTTTCTCACACAAGAGATCAATATAAAAGTATGTTTTACTTTTCACAACAATACAGCATTGTACTACAACCTAAAGACTTGTATTAACAGTAATCATTTTTTTGTGAATTTTTCATGATAAAAAGGAGTAAGAATAAAGAAAGGTGAAGTTGGTTTTTTATCGTAAACAAGGAAAAGGTAAAGAAAGATGGCAACACATGATTTTTTTATATGGTAAACAAAGTTAAGGTGTAACGTAACTTGTGTTAATTAGGTTTAGTGGTTAGGATGTAATTACTAAGAGACATAAAATGTAACAATCAAATTTAATATGAATTTTTTTTTAAATAAAAAGAGGATTAGGAAAAGATGAATGGGGTAGTAAAATTGAAAGCTGAAGACTAGAGAGAGGTGGTTGGTGGTCGCAATGGTAGTATGTGAAGTGATGGTGAAATATTAGCTTTGTGTTTTTGATGTGAATGTGATGTGTGAGTAACAAGTTATCCCCACAACTATGAAATAATAATAATAATAATAATAATAATAATAATTATAATTATTATTATTATTATTATTATTATTATTATTATTATTATTATTATTATTATTATTATGTGTTAGACCCATGATTTATTAAATTATGAATTTGAGGTGTTGGGGGGACAATCATTCACAACTTAAATCATTTACCATGTAGTGCTCTACACGTTTGCTATGTTTATTTTATTTTTTTTAAAAAAAACTAAGTAATTAATTTTACGTTATAGTTGTCAACATTTTAATCATTAGGTTCTCTACTTTGAGAATAATATATTTAATATTGAAAATGACTTTTTTAATTAAATTAATTTTATCAAAATACTCGAGAAGAGGTTTTGGATTTTCTCTCTATATTGGACGTCAACTCTTGACCTGAACTTTTTTTATTATAAAAGAAATTCAAAATCTGACGAAGTTTGATTCCCAATCTCTCGAGTCTTACCTCCAGTCCTTAGTTTTACTAATTAACTAATTTAAATATATTAAAAAAATTAATTTAATTAGTTATTTATAATAAATAAGTGTTATGTTTTTAAAATATCTTTACTAATCAAATATATTAACTAGAACTACTATTATTACAAAAACAAATATTAAAAAATTAATAAATATAAAAGACAAAATAAATTAAAATCTTATATTTATAACCAATATTAAAATCAAACTAGTTTATATATTAAAGACCGAAGATAGTAATTACAGTAAAGTCGTGTTTGTGTGTGTGTGTGAGATGGTTTTCACTTTTTAGGTGGATATAAATAAATTCCGCGCATGATTTAGGCTAGTAATCCCAGTTTGCGCCTTTATATTGCTAACATATAATTATATATGCAAAATTATTATTTTAATATAAAGAAAAGTTAAAGGGGAAAGAGACTGTTGATGGAGATAAAAAGGAAGGCGGAAGTGCCGTAGCCGCAAGGTTATAGCCTGAAACAAGAAAGGCCGTAATTTTGTTCACGAATGCAATTAATGGGATCACCAAAACTCCCTGCAAATTTCTTGTGAATGTTTTTATAATTATTGGTCGTTCTTCCCTCTTCATTAACATAAAATTAAAAAAAAAAAAACTCTTTTGCCATGTAAAAACTCTTCTCACAGATTATCTTGTACGGCATAAAATCATTTAAAATAAACTCACCCAAACACCCTCCAAAACAAAGCAAAACACAGACCGTTAAAATTTGGGGGAACAAAAGAAGAAGACAAGGGTACAGAGAGATGGAATATGGGAACCTCTTCATGTGACAACCTTATCCAAAAAGTAAAAAGAGAGTGAGAACAAGTGCCCTTCTTTCTCCAAAGGCCAGGTTGACAGATTCACAGTAACATGCACTAATCCACAAAAGAAGAGGTCACCATGATTGCATATACATGTGCTTCGTTCATCAACCAGCACACCACAAATTCTCAAAAATAAGTAAATAACTTCAATCTTTTTTTATAAAACTAATCCCTAACATATTTTTCGTGGCCTTTGACTTGAACTTTTTCTATACATAAAGTGGGGTTGGGAATTCATCACTGTCACTGAACAATCATCTGAAGCATGGATTCCATTTTTTCTCTGTTTCTGCAACTGCGGATCAAGTCCAGGTACTGCATAGCATCATGAGGTGGCAGCCCTTCCAGAAAGAACTTGAATAAACGATTGTGTGTGGCTTGCATCAGCTCAAAGCATTGTTCCACTGCGCTCTGTTCCTCCTCTCTGCTCATCTCCACTGCCTCCATTAATGGAAGCAACTCTACTTCCTCTTCTCTGAAGTGTTGCTTGCATTGCCCCTAAGTAGTAAACAAATCACCCACCACATAAGCTCACAGTTCATATGATAGATTAATCTTAATCAAATTTTGATAGTGATTTACCTGCAACGATTTAAGCCTGGAAGAGAGAGTGGAGAGAGCTTCTCTGTAACCAGGGCTTCCACAGTCTAGAACCCCAACAGATTTTATAACTTCTTTGATGCCATTCATGAGTGGTAGGTCCCTCGCGTGTTCCTCCTTTGCAGCTTTTGATAGCCCTATGCATACAAGTTCATTTCACATTCCATTCACGCGTATTTTCTTCATAGCATTGATTCAAAAGCAAGCAAAGTTCTTCCTCTTCATTTATTTCCCCTTTAATGTATGTAAAGACTTCAAACTATAAATGCCATTTTAGTTCTTATTTTACCCTTGTTAATCATAAACTAGAAAACTACGACATTGCATAGAGGATCTCGTAGCAGACAAGTTGAACATAAAGAAATATTGCTCACTTCACTTCACTGGTTCAAAGATAAGGTTAAGAAATATCACGTTGAAACCCCTCCCCAAAAATAATAACAGTGATCACATGATGTTATATACTTAAAAATACCAAACAGATCCAAATCCAATAATGAAACGTACAAGTATTTTATTCCTAATTACTTAAATCATTATGTTATCTGATGGTAAATAACTTCAATATAAGATTATTTGACTTTTGTGAAATTATTGGATATACTATAAGATAATAATAAACTATGGGAAGTACATTAACATAATACCTAATGCCTAATGATTTTCAAGATCCACAATAATTACCCATGGCCACTATTCAGGTTTAGTAATAACGCTCCTATTTCAATTATTCCTATCAAATCACCCATCTAATGCTATCCTTTTCATTTGTGAAATTAATCATCACAAGTAAACAAACAACACTTGTGTGCACAATAATTAACCATATGCCTACTCAGGTGTACTAATCACTCCAGTTTCAATTATTTCTATCAAATTGCCCATCCAATACTCATTCTTTTCATTATCAAATGAATCATCATAATCATAAGTAGACAAAGAAAACTCGTGCGCACTTCCCTGAGGGTTCTTGACTATGACATCTAACAGAACTTATCTGAAATAAAGTAGTCGGTAAAATACAACAGGTTTCAGAGAAATTCACGTGTTGGGATTCAGCCTCCACATGGCCAGAAGTCAGATTATTGAAATTGAATCTTAATCTTAATCGTCTCAAGTTCAAACAGCATATTATGTTACAGATTAAAATTTCTTAGAAGCAGTATTTTAAAAAAAAAAAAAAAGCTCAGAAGCAGTGAGGTTTCTGTAGAATGTGGTAATACACACAGTAAGAGGCGTCGTCCTAACCTCGATCAGCCATGTCGAAGATGGGGAAGAGGACCCTCTCCTCCATCTGAGCGTGCTCCAGCATCAGTTCAAGCAGCTGCGAGTAGCTCTTGGCGAACTTCTTCGCCTCCATCACAGGGCTGCCCATCGTCGGATCTGCGGCTTTCTTTCCTCCACGTGTCGACAGATCGTCCGCCCACCTCACCATCCTCTCCAAATGCCACAGCATGCTTTTGTGCTGCAGCCTCGTTAACCTCACCATCGACTGCGTCATTTCATCTTGCCCCTTTCCTCCACCACCCGCTGCCGAAGTCGCCGCCCCCGCAGCCGCCGCCGCCTCCGCCGTCCTTGTCAGCGGCGGGTTCGGAAACCGCGCGTCAATGAACCGAAGCAATGTCTCTCGGGTCCCTGAAATAGTGTCGGATCCCACCTGCAGTGTAACCGGGCTCTCCGAATCGGAATCGTCGGCACGCGCGAGCTCCCCTGCCAACGTGTTTCTTCGGGAGGAGGGAACGAAGTCAAGAGAGACGGCCCTGTGGATGAGGGCGAAACGAATGTAGGCGGCGAGAACGCTCTTGGGCGAGCCGTATAATCGAACGGTGGGGTAAGCAGCCTGAGCTCCGTCGTGGGGTACAATCTCCGCCGTTAACTTCTCCGACGTACGGACACAATTACCCATTACAGGATAAAAAGAAAAAAGAAAAGGAATGAAAATGCAATGAGCTAAGATTTTCCCGGGAAACAAGCAGAAAGTTAAGAGGAGGGCAAGAGAGTTTTCTTAGGGAAGAAAAAGCATGGGGGAATGAGAGAGAAGGATAGGGGTAGAGGGAGAGTAATGGTAGTTGAAGCTTAAATAGCAATATTGATAGTTGGTAGAGGCTTGGAGAGAGATATGGATGAAAGAGTAAACTAACAGAAAGCGACAGAGTAATTAGATTTAACCTCTGTATAATTTTGCAGACAGAGAGAGAGAGAAAGGGGAGAAGGATAGCGTAAAAGGAAAGGATTGAATCAGTGAACGTGAATGTGTGTGTATTTGGGAAGAAACAAACTTAATTTCCTCCATTTTCAGTACCCGCGAATAATTTCAGCGGGAATATAATAATTTTTAAATAATTTAATGATTAATCTATAATGTGCTGTTGGTACACATAATAAATTAATTGTTTTTTACTTAAAAATGAAACATATTTCAATTATGATTTTATAAAGTTGATTTAATTAAAATCCATTTAAAGTAAATTATTTCAATAGAAGTACTCCTCCGGTCCTTAATATAAGACCCATTTAACTAATTTGATTAGATTAAGGAAGTTAGGTAAGTTAGTTAATTATAAGAAAAGTGACACATTTTTCCCAAAATACCATAATCATCTTTCTTAATACCCCCTCTCCCTCTTTTACTTGATTATGGGTAAGAGAGTATCTATAGGGGTAATTTAGAGAAAATTGATAAATATGAAAAATGGATCTTATATTTAGGACCAAAACCAACTTAAGAATTGAGTCCTATATTAAGGACCGGAGTAGTAATATGCAATCCAATTGCCGTTTTAGTTCTAAATTTGCACTGGCTTTTAGTGGCTATGCTAAGCATTAATTTAGTAATATATATATATACTCCTCCGGTCCTAAATATAAGACCCTTATATTAGTGTGTATAAGGGTTTTACATTTAGGACCGGAGGAGTATATATATATGGGGCATGGTATCTTATATATACATGTAACTATTACTTTTTGGTATTAGGACATTCAATGTAGTAGAGAATGTAAGATGTCATAGGCAAGGAATCAACGGGATTTAAATGTTTTTTGACTAGTAAAGTGCCACTTGTGAGTAAATTTATTTGTCTATACTTCTTGCCTGAACTGACCCTTTGTAAATGAAATTCAATTTATTTTCAAGTGAGAATTGTTCATTTAATATTTAAAATGGCCTTAGGAAATCTTATAGAAAAAATTAGGGGAAAAAATTTCATTGAAAATTTTGTTGGTGACATGAGCTTGATAAATTTTTATATACAAAAAGTGCTAATATTATGCAAGTTTTATATAGGAGGAGTACCAAATTATGATTTAGATCAGAGATTCTTTTTCAATTGTCCAGTTTTGTATTAAAAAAATATGTCCAGTGTGTTTTATTTCACGCTAGAGTTCAAGTTTTGAGCATAGAGTATTTATTTGGGTAAAGCCATTAAGGGAGAGGCACAGTGTACTAAGAAGAGATAATGATAGTGAGATTAAATAATCATGAGGCACAATTATAGTATTAGGTGCTGATGCTTTACCAGATCCGCAATGGATCTAATACGAATATTTACATAGTGATTAGTTACTAACTACTGATGAGAAGATTAAATAAACACCATTAGTTAAGATGATAATTTTTAAATATTAGTTTATTAAAATACATCAATAAAGAAGAGATGGTTTTAATTTTTGTTCTCGTTCCAGTAAAAGCTCGTGGTCAGGCATGGGGGTTGCAAATTTTTGGACATTGACGTGGGAAAGCACAACCATTGGTCCAAGAGGGGACTCGAGGAATGAGCTTCTTTTTTTAAAATAAATAAATAAATAAATAATTTTTGTTAAGTTAGCTAAATGAAAACCCGAGGAAAGAGTCAAGGAGATTTGTAAGATTAGTACTAGTTAGAGACTGGTACCTGTTTTCATATCCCAGATATGAAAAAAAGAAAAATAATTAAATTAGCCTTTTTTAATTAAAATATTAGTTGCAAATTTTTAATATGTTAATATTAAATTTTAATAGCTTAATTAATACTTATCACCTCCTTAAATCTTACATAACTATAAGGTTGCCCTTTTTATACGCCGTGAATATGATGGGTTAAACTAGTTTTTTTTGTAAACAAAAAAACACTATAAAACTATTACATCTACATGTATTAGTTTAAGGGAGATTTCATTAAAAGTTCTTATTTCAAAACTTAATCAGCAGAAAAAACTTAAATTTGAGCAAGTGTAGCTATGATTTGTTAGTGCAAATTTTTTCTGCCCTGTACAACATATCATCAATGATGTATAATAATTATGTAATGTTTTTTTATCACATAGTAGGAACTCTTATAATTTCTCTTCTTACTATATTTATGTAATTTCAAAAAATAATTTTTTTCTTTTAATGTTACTAATAGAGGCTATCTAATTGTAATATTTTAACTCTTTTTTTAATATATAATTTTGTTGCAGTTAAAAAAAATTTTGTGTATCTAATTGCCACAATATTTGATCTTCTGTTAGAACTCTGAAATGTTTTGGTGCTAAATTGTAATTTCACCAATGTTCCAAAGTCTGATTCCCAAAAAACTTTTTGTCAAAAAGCTAAAACTCAATATCAATCTTGGGCTTGGACTTGCAACCTATGTGGGCCCCTTAAGGTTCTTTATGGAATTCAATAATTAATTAAAAATAATAAGTCTTGTAAGCCCATTTAAGATCATTGTTTTTAAAAAAATCAGACAATCTACGACACAATAGGCTTGGGTTGTGGCTCTTTAAGTCCAAAGCATATATTTAATGAAAGTGTTTCCTCACATTCTGTGTAAAACTTGTATTAAAAAAATATATTCTTTAAAAAACAACTATATAAATCAATGTAAAACCAAACGTGTACAAGAGATGTGAATATCAAGTATATAGATTATAGTCTGAATTCCCACTAAAAGAAATGCCCATATTCAGTATCTTACAATACCTTAAATAAATTTATTTTCAATAGAATAATGCCTTTATGTAATAAAAAAAAAATTAGTTCAATCTCCTTAATAGGTAAGAGACCCATACTCATCAATTTTTCTTGGTCTTGAATAGTCAAACTTTATTTTATCAAAAACCCTCTTTATGTATACAAGGTAATCCAAGTAGACTAACTATTTATACCTAAGCTCTAATCATCCCTTTCTATGAAACCCCGGCTCGCTTTCAACAATACTTTTGCTAGAGGTACATGCAAGCAATTCGCTACCTACAAGTAGACTATGGCTCTGTTTGGATAGCACCCCAAACCATGGTTTGGGGACCCAAACCATGGTTTGGGGAAAATGCTACCTAAACAGCCTCTCCAAAAACCAAAACCATGGTTTTGGAAAAAGCAAAATTTTTTTGCTTTTGGAGAAAAAAGGGAGAGTGTGAGGGTCTATATAATATGTATCTTATTATTTTTTTTATAAACATATTTTTTTTATAAATATATTTAATCTTATATTTTATAAATATATATAGACATTAATTATTTATTAATTATATTATCTTATGTATTATTAATTATGTTGGTAAAAAACATATTATTAACAATTTTATTTCTTCAAATTAAAATATATCATAAAATCTATTTTTTCTGTAATTATCATATTAACTTATGTCTTTTTTTTAGTAATTTGTACATATAAAAAGTGCTTCTGATAACAACTATCCAAACACTCTCACTTCTCAGAATCACTTTTTTACAAAATCTATTCTTCACAGAATCTATTTTTTCCAGAATCTATTCTCCAGAATCACTTTTCCAAACCACGGTTTGGTTTCATCCAAACACACCCTATATTGCATGTTGTGGTTAATCCCTACCACTAACCCACTATTTTTTTCTTCAACAGCTATGAGTATGAGACTATTAAAGTAGGCGTCCCACACTTTAGGATTAATATCAATCTTATTTGTAGCCAAATGGAGTACCTATTATAAAAAATTGAGTAAAATACACTAACTACCCCTATGTCTTACCTAAATTACAGAAACCTCTTCTTTATTTTGAAAATGTATATAAACCTCCATTGAAATTAAAATGTATGTTACCCAAACATTCCTTGCATATTTGAGATTTTATTTCATCTATCTAATAGTTAGTTGACCATTAAGTTTGACTTTTATGCTCTGCTTGGATGGGAAGAAAAGTTAGGAGGAAAGAAAATGGGAGGAGAGAAAATAGAGAGAAGGAAAAACTAGAGGAAAAATGTTACCATCCCTCTTGCTTGGATAGATGAGAGAAAATAGAGAGGAAAGAAAATTAATAAATATCCAAATGACTAAAATGTCCTTATTAAATATATCATATTTAAAATTAAATTAACTTAAATATTGTGATAGAAAGATTATACTAACATTGGCATCATCAAATGATTAAAATCAAGTTATTTGGTTGATATATATTTTCAGATTATTATATTTTAAAGACAAATTATTTAATAAAAATATTATTTTAAGATTAAAAAATAATAAATAATAAATTTTTAAATATAATAAAAGAAAATAAATATGGAAAGTAAGAGATGGTAGGGGTAGTTATGAAAATTTTATTTTCCTTTCCAAATCTCTCCATATATGGATGTAATAAGACAAGAGATGGAGGCCCTAAAACAAAATCGCACTTGGGAGATCATTGATCTTCCAAAGGGTAATAGGATGTGAGCAGGTCTTTAAAATCAAATATGGGTCAGATGGTAAGGTAGAAAGATATAAAGCAAGATTAATAGCAAAAAGATATACTCGAAAGGGTCCACGTTGTTTTTGTTGTCATCTCCTACATGCGCCACCTGTGTGCTTCTGTGCACTCTCTCTCTCAGTGCATGCTCTCACGTCTCAAACAGCTTCTTGACATAATTTGATTTTGCATATGGAAAAGTCAGAAGTTGCCTAACACGTTCTTGTTATCCAGAATGACTCCAGTTACCACCTATAGTTGGAGAGTATGTGTGGCTTCTTGAAAGGATACTAACTGTGGTACTATGTTGCTACTAGTGATATTTGAGGCCTGTTTGGATAACATAGAAAACTATAGTTTTGGGATTCAAACTATGGTTTGGATCTAAGACTTGCCAAACACCCAGAAAAAAACAGAAACCATGGTTTTGGATCAAAACCATGGTTTGGAGCTCAAAACCATGATTTCAGAAGAAGTGAATCCATTCTGCTTTTGGCTCAAATGGGAGAGTATGATTGTGCTTGTAGAGTAGATCTCAACGATAATATGATTTTAACATTCCTCAATTATTTTTTTATAAACATATTTAATCTTATATTTTATAAATATATATACATATTAATTATATTATTTTATATATTATTAATTATGTTGGTAAAAAAATATATTATTAACAATTTTATTTTTTCAAATTAAAATATATTATAAAATCTATCTTTTATGTAATTATCATATTAACTTATGTTTTTTTAGGCAAAATTTGTACATATAAAAAGTTTTTCTGATGACAACTATCCAAACACTCTTATTTATCATAATCACTTTTTCACAAAATCTATTCTTCACAAAATCTATTTTTTTCAGAATCTATTCTCCAGAAGCTATTCTCCAAACCATAGTTTGGTTTCATCCAAACACCCCTTTGGTATCCTATTTGCTAAGTAGATGATACTAATTTGAAATTCAATGAAGGACTTGACGAGCGGGTAAGTAGAGCGGGAATATTTAGATGTAATTAAGAATTTTTTTTTGTGAGCCAGAGGAAATGCAAAATTAATTATTTTTTTTACAAGATATTTGGAATTAATTAGCTGTATATTATTGTTGATAATATTTGGATGAAATTAGGAAATGTTTTTCCTAGCTAAATGAAATTTAAAATTAGTTAATTTTTAAACCAAAAAATTCGGAATTTAGTAGGTGTGTGTTACCGCAAGCAATATTTGGATGAAATTAAGAAATGGGAACGGAATTTTTTTGCCAACAAATTCAGAATTTATTAACTATATGTTACCATTGTTAATATTTGGAGGAAATTAAGAAGTAACTTTTTTTGTTTTGCGGGCTGGAATCAGATATCTGTCTTTAAAGCCAGATTTCAGGCAACCACCTTCTGTCTATCTTTAGCCCTTATAGCTGTTATGAATCAATTGCGGTTATATTTCTTTTTTTAGGCCAATAATTACAGTTTTATTTATTTAAAATCAGATTTTAATATTTTATGCAACTGTCTTCTGCATTTCAGTTTTTTTTTTTTTTTTTCAAAAGAAGGTTATCGAGTAACCGACACCGTCCAAGGGTGCTAAGGTGAAACTCGTGAACTCAAATATGTCATGGAAGCTGACAAAACGTGTAAAGCTAAAAGACAAGGTGCGCTATTCTGGCAACTTGGCTTTGCTTTAAAACAATGACAGAAAATTGATTATACGTCAAAACTCGGTTATTTTCATTATTTTAGGATTATTTAAATAATATGCAAAGTGAAAGTTTTACGGATTCGATTTTTTTTCACTCTAATTTCTTTTCTTTCTTTAAACAAAACGCATACTATTTCCAACTTTAATTATAAAATTTTATTTATAAATTATAAACGAGATCTTATAATTAGAATCGGAAATAATATATAAATTTTGGCTGACCATATAAAACGCAACATCATATCTAAATGCTGAGTGTTAGAGTACGAACACAGAGGAAGATTTTAAGAAATTAACAGCTAAAAAAATCTTAAAATTAATTTTTTTAACAAAAGTAGTATTTATTTATATTTTAGAAAAAATGAATAATACATTTGAAAAATTCAATCCAAATGGTAATCCACTTTATTTTCTTAGCGCGCCCTGGCGCCACTTCCACGTTTGCCGTACCCCACCTCGACCACCACGGGAAAGTTGAAACCGATAAAACTGAAGTCATCGTCGATCGACTCATCATTCTTGCACAGGAAGCAAGGAATCAAAGCATCGAACTGCGCAAATTTCACTTCTGGTACCTCTCTCGCTTCCATCTCTTTGTTTCAATTTTTGTAATCGGTTCCTCTCGAACAATTCATGTTTCTCAGATTGGGAAATTTTATGATCGGATCAGCTTGGTAATTGTTTCGGCTTTCTTGCAATCGTTCGTGGTCGTTTCTCAACTTGGTTTTTTCTTTTTCTGCATCACCAAGTTGATACACAGCCGGCGAGTAATCACGATGTTCCGATTGATGCGTTGAACATCTGGACTAAGTGTTAGCGGCGTTGGTTCTTGTTTTTTGGTCACAAGTGTTAGCGTTGTTTATGGTGCAACCTAACTGTAGTTTGAGCGATTCGAAAAAATTGCAGTTACATTTTTTTTCTTTTCGAATTGAAGTTGTGCTCTGCTTTCTTCCCTTGTATTTTATCATGTATTTGGCTCTGACATGAAGTACGGCTTCATCCATACGTAGCAACTACGATTGTGACTCTCGAATGAAGGGTTTTTTCCAAATGTGTTTCGGACGAACTTTCTTTTCTTTTTCCTTTTTATAAGAGTTTTGGATTTACGGCTTTAATTACTCTTTGTTGTATTCAGATTATTTTTTGTCTTGAACCAATTAGCTCGAGATTGTTTCGGGAGGAGGAAGAGGGGATTTTCTGTTTGCGGAACGGACGAATTTCTTTCAACTCTCAACTCGATTTTTCTCATTCTGTTGACTTTCTTTGGCATTTGTTTTCTTAATTTAGAAGTTAGAGCCACCAAATACCAGCACTTACAGGCAAACCAGGTGGCCTTTAGCATCTAGTTATGTACCTCTAACTGATATCTATACATGAACTACAATAATTTAGATGTGTAACTATGACAACTTTGTACGCAATCAAATTGCTAATCACAACCGACTAAATCCATTAGAAAAAGGTACTGTTGGCAGTTTGAGTTAAAACTTTCCGCTTGCAAAGTTGCACTTGCCCTGGGTTTTGCTTTGTATCTGAACTATTCATTAGTATTTAAGGGTTTTTTAAATTATATTTGTATGATAATTTTTTAATCAAATTATGGATTTATAGCTTGGTTAAGTTTGTTGGCGTTGTTCCATTCAGGGTCTGGCTTTGATTTGCGGAGCTACTTAGAGATGAGTCAGCGGGGTTTAATCTATAGCTTTGTTGCTAAAGGAACTGTTGTGTTAGCCGAGCACACACCATATACAGGAAATTTCAGTACAATTGCTGTTCAGTGCTTGCAGAAGCTACCTTCCAACAGCAGCAAGTACACATTCTCATGTGATGGGCATACATTTAACTTCCTCATAGACAATGGGTTTGGTATTGACTACTCTTAGTTATTGTTCGTATGCATTATTGGTGTTGATTGGTTTACATGTCATTTGCTGAATTGTTTGTCTGCCATGTAGTTTTCCTCGTGGTTGCAGATGAATCAGTTGGGAGGAGCGTGCCTTTCATTTTTCTTCAACGAGTGAGGGATGACTTTAACCAGGTTTATGGTTCAAGTATTAAGAATGGCGATGCTGGTTCACTTGCTGATGAAGATGACTTATTTGAAGACAAATTTGGCATTGCATACAAGTTAGACAGAGAATTTGGGTATGCATATGTGGTTGATTTTCTTCATAGCAGTTTGGCTTTTTGAACTTTTGTTTTCAATTTTTTCTGCAGGCCAAGGCTTAAGGAGCACATGCAATATTGCATGAACCATCCTGAGGAAGTAAGTAAACTATCAAAAGTGAAGGCTCAAGTAACGGAGGTCAAGGGGATAATGATGGACAATATTGAGAAGGTACACGTTTCTTAATCTGTTACAAGGATGATCAAAATACTTATATTCTCTGGATACATGGAAAGCTTACCCATTTTTATGTCTCTGAAAAATTAAGGGTTTGGGGAGGCCTTCAAGTTATGTTGATTTTGCATTTGAATAATGTTATGTAGACATGTCTCTACTCTCAAAAAATTGCTTGCTCTGAGGATTTCACTATTCATTGGTGAAGGGGATCGGTATTTAGTTTGTTGCTTGCTAGTGGATGAGGCTGAGGATGAGAGAAAAATATATTTCTCAGGGTTTGTGCATGGAGACTGTAGTGCCCTGCCCATATCTTACCGATGGTCATCTTTAACCTGTTTTTAATGTTAAGTACCTTGTATATAGGTAATAGATTCTGGTTTAAGGGACGATTCTTTGCAATGGTGAGGATAGTGCGTGGTCTAGAGGTATACTGGTAACTGCAGCCTGCATGTCACCATATTTGGCAGCAATGGATTATTTCCTCCTATCCCTGTTGGTTCGATTCAATTAATGTTTGCAATAATCAGAGGATAGTTTATTAGAGTGGAAGAACTCTCATTTTCGTTTGGGAACCATGAAATAATATATGATGTTTTAGGCACGATCGTGGTTCTAATATAAAGCTAAACTGTGAGATGTGCTTTCTAAGGCATGGCTTCGAAACAAAGTCCAATCACTTTGGTTGTCTTTAATGTCTTCTTGGCTCAGATGCACTTATTAGTGAAATATGTTTTCATCAGCCATATTAATATGAAATAATTAGGATATAACAATATACATTTTATCAATCAGTTATAGATTTTTGTGAGGGAAGATGAGAAATAATGATGATATTGATAGCTGTTAATGGTGAAGTGAATCCAAAGCGTGGAGCAATTCTTAGGTACACCAAAATGTGGTCAGATGTTCTCAGACCCAGGGCTAGGAAAATGAGGAAGACAGTTATTTTTGTCTTCTGATTTTCACTCAAATTATTATTCACATATTCCTTTTACAAACACTAAAACACAAGTTTGTTTGCACGCGCCTGAATGTGCAGCCAGACACGAACTTTGGATCTCAGTCCATTACACATGTGAGCTTAGATCCTCCTCTAAATCAAACTATACTTAAAAGGTTTTGAGCATTATTATAATGCAACTCAAGTTGTTAGTTCTTGATGCCGAGATTGACATCATAACAAATGTTTCTGTCTGTTTAAGAGTCTTTGTTGACTTCAGCATGATTCTCCCTTGTGTTGCTGTGTAAAGCAAGGCATGAAGTTATCGCTCATATCGGGCACTCTAATAATGGCCTTTGCATTACTTGATTGCAGGTTTTGGATCGTGGCGAGAAGATTGAACTTCTGGTCGATAAAACAGAAAATTTACAGTTCCAGGTATACATTACTCTTCGCTTGTTCATGTCAGTACAGAAGGAGGACAGTGACACGTGAAATGTCTATCGCGTTCCCGCTCATATCAACCCTCTGTATTAGACATGACATGATACTTAGATTACACAAAGATACTTCAAATTCTATTGGCTCGTAGCATCTATGTCCATATAAAGTCCCGTATCCATATCTACACATTTTAATTTGATACTGACAAACGATGATGTGATTTTGTGTTCTTCCTCCCAAATTTAGGCTGACAGCTTCCAGAGGCAAGGCAGGCATCTAAGGCGCAAGATGTGGCTGCAGAATCTCCGAATGAAGCTAATGGTGGGAAGTGCAGTCCTTATCCTGATTATAATGCTGTGGCTTATTGCTTGCAAGGGTTTCAAATGTTGATGGGTCTAAGCAACCCTGCATCAACACGTACATGACATAAATGGATGTGCACGATGAAGTCATGTTTGCATGTATAGTTTTATACAGGAATGTATAATGTTAGTACCCTAGCCTGTATAGATTACGTGGAAAACTGCTTGCTTTCAAGTCGTTAGATTTTGACGGTACAATTTTCTAATTTTATATTTTCAAAGAGAGTCAAAATGTTCTAAAGTTGGAACAAAACCACGGTCGTAGAATGTAAAAGTAATTCGTCCTCTTAATTGACTCGCATAGTCCTACTTCTCTCCTCTTTTTCTAATCTTTGCTATTGCAGATGAAGTCCTGGACGGCTTGATTAGAGAAAAGTATAGGATACTGGGAGAAGAAAACTGAAAAGAAAATAGATTTTCCCTCTACCTCAAAAAGGAAAGAAAAAGAGGCATGTGATCTCCATGTATGCCCTGTAAAACCCTTACCCCAAAACATTATAACTCGTCATAGAACCACTACTATGGTAGAAAAGGAAATCTGTTAAATGAACTACCATAGTAGAAAGAAACTTGCATTTTTTTTTTGAAATTGACTTTCAAACTCGGGTCAAACCCAAACTCCGTTGCATGCAACTAAAATCATTCATTCATGTCCACTGGGCTTCCGAGCCTCCGGCTTGGGTAACAATATACATCAAAATCAGCCCATCCAATTAGTTTTCAACCATGTAACAAAGTTTCATAAAACAATAGAAATGGCCTCCGGCCAACTAAAACGAGGAGATAACATATTCTCCAATTTACAATAAGATCAACAATCAAAATATCTCAAAAGATCCTAAATGTGGCAATATATATACTAGCCATACATATACAAAGACTAGAGGCCTAAAGCTAACCAAGCTCAAGCCTCTGCGTCTCTTCTCGAAGGCGCACGCCTAGAACCTTCGCATGAAAACATTGTAAACCACGGGGTGAGACAAAGTCCCAGTAACCAATCATTCCAATTCAAGGTACTACTAAATAGGTGCTCGTGAGGTGTCAAGTGGGGCATTTCACAAGTAATATAATAAATGATGGCCACAACAACTCATGCAAATGCAATGATGCAATTTCCATCAACCATATCCCTCACTTTGGGGGATTTTCAAGAGCCGAACCCGGCCTATCCCTCACTATGGGGGACGTAAGGAGCCATAAAAGGCCTATCCCTCACTCTGGGGGACGTAGGGAGCCGAAAAGGCCTATCCCTCACTATGGGGGATGTAAAGAGCCAACCATCATGCATTAATGGAGGCCTTACCACGTGGTAGTAACTATCAAAAACTCTCACCAATTCCCAATTCATGCATCATGCTCAACCCATAATCAAATAGTAATTGAACATTTCATAATTAATTTCTTTCAGTGGCATATCTTTCATAATTCCAAGATTTATTCATTATCAATCGAAACCCCACAAGACGGTTTTCCTTTCTATATATACAACATACAATTTGAATATAATTGTTACTCAGAGCACAAAACATAAATCTATTCACAATACCACAGAAACAAGTACTAAGGATTGGAAAGTGGTTACCTCTCGCCTGAGCAAGGAATAACAAACCAACAAGGTGGCCCCGTGCACCAACAAGACTCACAATCGGTCTACACAAGCACACAAACACACAACCATCATGTATTAGCTTTCAAACTAATAATATGGCCAAAACAACATTTGGGGACACAAAATTCTTAGCTCCAATCAAAACTCTACCCAACTCAAAGGGTATACCCATCAAAACAACACTCCAAAGTCATAAAAGTCTATTAAAACATCAAGTCCCCTTTTCAAGCATTAATTAGAGTTCAAACCTCAAGGACCCACTATAGGAATTCAACCTCCAACATCCCATTTGAACAGTTGAAGTCTTAACAACAATCTAAACCGATTAAACATCCAATTTAACCCTCCTTAACATAACCCAATTCACAAAACTCAGAATCAACCTCTACATTATCATCCTCAATCACAAACCTCCTATTTCCATAAACTCTAGCTTCAAAAACTCAATGTTCTTCAAATCCAAGAAAACTACACCGATTAAATACTTAGATTAACCCAAAGCAATCAATTAAGCTCAAAACAATCGGTCAAAAATCTCAATTCCATCACAACCTAGAAAACTCTAGGGTTCCACCAAAAATCCTCAGAAATTCCAAGAAAGAGAGTAGATTAGAAGTTAAAATCACTTACTTGAGATAATGGATCTTTAGAAATGTCTTTCCCAAGCCTCAACACCGAAACCCTAGCAGAGCTCCTCTCTCCTCCTTCAGATTTTCTAATTTTCGCATAACCGAACCCTCCAGTGTCTATATAGATTCGACACCTTTCGCCACGGCGAACTAATCCCGAGAGGGATTACTCGCCTGAAAACCCGACTTCGCCGCGGCGAAAGCTTCTCGAGAGGAAGCTCTAGCTCGCCTAGAAAATCTTCTCCGCGGCATGCCCTTACCTTCGCTACGGCGAAACCTTCCCGAAAGGGAAGTCTCGTTCACCTGAACAACTTCGCCGCGGCGTCCCTATGACTTCGCCGCGGCTAAACCTGCCCGAAAGACAATCCTCTTTGGAACTCCCGGTTTGCCGCGGCGAACATACCTTGAAAGGGGTACGTTCACCTATTCCTCCAACATACCTCAAATCCAACCCAAACACCAAGATCAACATTTAAATCACTAATCTATCCTCAAAAATCAACCAAAAGAGGTTATTAAAACCCGATAAAAACTCAGGATGTTACATGCCCCTTTGAAGTTTTTTCCAAAAAAATGGAGAAATTTTGTAAAGGAGCAAAAGTAGCTCATAGGAGGAATCCCCCTTTGAGTTTTCTCATAAAAAATGGATAAATTTTGTAAAGGAGCAAAAGTAAGAAATTAGTCACTCTATTTTCTTTATGGTTTTCCTTCAGATTTTTTTTTCTCCCAACATTTTTTCAGCACAAGAAATTAGTCACTCTATTTTCTTTATGGTTTTCCTTCAGATATTTTTTCTCTCCCACTGAAAAAGAAAATTAAGAGACAGGAAGACATAAAGAAGACTAAAGGAGGACAAGGATAGATCTCTCCCGAGATTTGTTGAATGTAGTTGTAGATTACTACTTGTGTAATTGTCCCCTCCATTGCACTTATACTATTTTCTCTACTTTAGTCTCTCCATCTTCAGAATTCCGAGTGTGTTTCAGCTTTTATTTATGGTTTTTAAAGTTACAACTTCCTCTATCAAATTCGCAAAAATACTATTAAAATATATGTAGAAGGCAGCATGGAGGAGACAACCTTAAAAAACAAATAAGGAAAAGAAACGACTAACAGTCAGTTTGGTATGAAGGATTTGGAGGGAAGGGGAGGGAGGAGGAGGAATTTTAATAATTTTTTCTTGTTTGGCAAGATAAAAATTTTAGGAGGGGGGAAAATAACATAAGCCTCCCCTCTAAAATTGAAAAAATTTGGAGAGAAAGAGTAATATTTTGACTTGTGTTGATTAATATGCCCAATTATTTTGTAATAATCCCATGTTACCCTTCATTGTTGAATTGTATGTGATTTGGTATATTTATGGATTCAATCATGCCTTTCTTCCCTCATTTATATGCTATCAAATATTTTTTTAAAAAATTGTTATCAAATATATTTTAATTTCCAAACACAAATCAAGCATTCAAAATAAAAACATACAAATAAGTCACCTTTGTTGTCTTTGAAAAAGTTATTTGACTACTTGTATCAACAACACAGAAAAAAATGAAAGCTGGAAAAAACATACTCAAATTAAACATATTTACTTCATTAAACCAGATTTTGGATATAAATACAATTATAGTTATTGGATATATAGTAGCTATTAATTATGTATTATCATTATATTTATTTAATTTTGCTAATTATAAAAAGTTGATTTCATGTATTAAATATTATTTATAATTCTATTTTATTAATTACTCTATAAAGTTTGTAAAAATCAACTTAAATAATATAAGGGCAAAGTTGTTCATATAAAAATATTTTGCCTCCCCTCCCTTCCTAAAACCAAACAAGGTAACATTAAAATTCCTCTCTTCCCCTCCCCTCGTATTGATAAAAACAAGGTAATATTAAAATTCTTCCTTTTTCTTTCATCTCCTTTCCTTCCATTAAAATCCCTTCCATCCCATCCCATCCCTTCTATTGAGTCAAACACACCCCAAAAGGTATGAGTATTTAATGTGTTTTCCTGGCGTATTCTTATGATTGTCATAGTGATACTAGTATTATTATCTTCTTGTTTGCTTCTTAATCTTTTTACTCTTCATTAATAATTTCCCAAAAAATTCAAACTTGATCTTAGCAAGACCAAAAACAAAATTGAAGTTAGACAATGTTTGCCTCTTATCTATGGATCATAATTACAAATAAAATCTTACAAGCTAATAATGAAAATTTTCAAAAGTATATTCGGTTTCTTCTTTTTGTGTGCAGCCGGCAACCAAATGGTCGCTATCTCGTTAGGGAAACAAGAAATTGAGTCATGGAACGTTACAGAAGGTTACTAGACGATGCCGTTTTAAGTGTGTCTTATGGAATCCAAGACCAAGAATGACGAGGTTTTTTATTTTGTTGCCAGCAAGAATGATGAGATTTCAAACCAATCACGTCAAATTCTTTTAATCATATTAACTTCTATAAATTATAAATATTATTATCATGATTGACTTGCTTGACTTTTATTTATTGAACAAGGCGACAAGCTAAGTTTTTTAATTTCATGCGTAATAGATAATTTGTTTTAAGATAATTCGAATATTTTACAATCTCGTAATAAAAATACTATATAAAATCATACATTAAATTTATACAACATACTAATTAGAAAAATAAAAACAAATTTCATAAAGTGATGTCTCGTTATTTTCTATCATTCACCATCTCATTATTTTGTTGTTTGAAGCTAGTATATGTTCTTGGGTGGACCAATGTCTTTCGTACATAGTTTCATGCTTTAATTAGTAAGTATATTCCCAGGCCGGCAATATACCTCTATACACACACACACGTACAATAAAATGAAAAACGATCAATGAATGAATTAATTAATTAATCAATTTGAATGAGAACAAGAACTGGTCATAAGCTAGATTGAACGAACATCTCAAAGAAAGCTGAATTAAGATCTTTGGCTGCACGTAGCGGTTCGTTACTAATCAAGTGTATTGATTAGAACTACCATTATTAATATGAGAATATTATATGTTCTTAACATAAGAGCTAATTGACTCATTTGAGTAGATTAATTAAA